AAAATACTTCATAGTCCGTTGATCCCGTTCAGTGAACTTGTGCGCCTCAAATGATTGATCCCACAGAGTAGTAATAGATGGGCGAGGTCCTTTCCAGTTCGCCATGGCTTAAACAAAGTAAGCATGGTCATGCAATACTGCTCATGGCTACCAGAATCTTTTCGGGAAGAGACCCACCTACAAAGTTGGGAACAAAGGCTTCATTTTCAGACATCAATCTAGCATGATGGGTAGAATGGTGGGGGTGGTTTTCATGGAACTTGAAGTGCTTTTGTGGGATAGTAGCCTGGATTTCCTTCTCCAGTTTCATATTTGATTTAGTGGTGAGCAGCAGCTCATCATCAGACTCCTCCTCCTCCTCCTCCTCCTTTTTTGCTTGGCCCTGCTAGCTCATCTCAGATCCAGACTCTTCCTCCTCTTTTGCTATAGCTGTGTGGCCTCCAATCTGAGCTAGATTCTCTTCCTCACTGTCTGACTCTGATTCTTCTTCTTTTAATCCTGGGTCTACATTATAATCATCCTCAAACTCACGATCATTGTCAGTAAAGTACTGGCTAGGATCTATGTCATCCTCAACCTGGTTGTGTTTCTTCTTAGGCCGTGGAAGACGCTTCTTATCTGACAGCCTAATCCAGTCGTACAAACACACAGACTCATACTCTTCAGGTCGCCAAACATAGTCCAACACAGGAGAAACTGCTACAATTTCTGACTTCAAGGCAGATTTCTTCATGCCTAGCATCACTTTTGACTTTCCCTCACGGTCAATAGCATCAGAGTCTTCCCAGGCCTTCATCACCTCAAAAACATATCCTCTCCAGTAGCATATTCTGAACCTGTGGTTTGTATAGTGGTCTGGATGCTTCAACAAATACATTGCAGCCATAGGTCCCCCAATTTCTGAAGCAGCAGTGAGTGCATTCACAATCTTAGTGATCATTCCACGGGCCTTTTCTCGATTGGATTTCTGGCCGCCTAGAAGCTCGGTATTACATGAGAACACCTCTCAACAGAGCGGAACATCACATGAGTGTTAAGAGGTGTTTTTGTGATATAATCAGCCACATATGCAATCACAGACTTGATGGCAGTGCCTGAGAGCAAGCTGGTAACATCATGGTTGCACCTTAAAACATATGATAGAGCAGGTGTAAATGTGTTCAACATGGGCTCACCCTTTTTCATGACTGGTGCACCAGACTCGGGATCAACTCCAGTAGCCTCATGTGTCTCTCGAGGGAAGCAGGCCTTGCACACTTTGGTTACTGGGTCACGCAGCCTCGGTTATCAAACTCTGACTTCTCAGTTGAAGCTGGCTTAGGTGGCTCATTTTCTGATAGCTGGTTCTTGTTTGCTTTCTTTTTCCCAGTGATTCTGTCTCTACATTTGCGCACATTGGAGAAATATAATATTTCATCCACCTCTGCCTCGTATTTGATCCACCAATCTTTTTGAGCCTTGCATGTGGTGCATTTTGAGTCTGTTTCATGTTTCTCTGAGCAACTGGGAGGTGGAACTTCTGGTAGTGTCTCTATGAGTGGCACTCGAGTAGGATTTGCCTAGGCAATCTCTGTCACACGCTTGTCTACAGTCTCCAGAGTACTATTCAAAAACTCGCCTTGTAGCAGCCCTCTAGATACTGCACCATAGCCTGCTGAAAGTCGAGGTGGGGTCCAAAATGCGATCTCTAATCTCTTGTGGAGTGAGTGCACATTTAATCCACAGCAGCATATGCAAGTGCAGAGTCAAACGGCCCTGCTGTTCAACAGTTCCGTAGTACCCAGCTGTGTCACCATATAAACCAGGTTTACTAGTGCCCACTCCAAGAACGTGTTTCAGGAACAGGTCAACCATGACATTGAAGAAACGGGCACCTGCACTGGGTTGTTTGTAATCAGATTGAGACGCTGATCTCTTGGTCTGAACTCTGGCATATATTTCTGATCAGTGTCTGCAAAATACAGTGCCAGAGGGTGTTTGACATCAGTGGGAGCAAATGTGATGAACCAGGAGGGTGCACCCAGATAAGATACCATTGCCCAGATCTCATTGCGCATATACTTTTTACTAGTAATAGATCCTTTCACCTTGTAGTTCACATGGTCCAAATCACTTAGGAGCCGGAAGCAAGCCTTTTCCTCCTCAGTCTCTGGTTTAAAACTTCCCTTAGACAGCCTATTAGCAAGCTCAGTCACAGTTTCTGTGCTGATATTCAGCAGTCTGTGCGCAATCTCATCAAAACGCTTCTTATCAGCAAGAAGATAGCCTGCACTGGTAGACTGCTTGATTTGCTCGTGGTTCAAAGCAACCAAGGGAAACAATGGCTCAAGTTGGAAGCGTTTATCATGGTACATCAGCAACTGCTGCTTCCGCTTCTCTTCAGACACATTAATAGTGCCTTTCACATTTTTTAGCCCACCATAGCCATATGGGAAGAGCCACGGAAACATTTGTGGGTAGAGCTGAGGATTGTTATAGATGCTCTCTGGATTTTTTTCCTGACCAATTCCAAGCACCTTTCCACCAGATTTAAGTGTTCTACAGCTCTTGCCTTGATTTCATATGGTCTGATCTTCCCTAGATGTTCAAGACGTTCACCAGTCAATCCATGCACTACAAATGGACACTTTCCATCATCTACACCCTCTTCTTCCTCTATTCCAGTGACTGCAGCTGCCTCTGGATCAATATTAGACATACTCTTAGTCTGAGTATAGTTCACAATCACCGGAGGCTCATCTTCTGGATACTCTGCCAGATTTTGTACGAAATGGTCAGATCTGCATAGTCAGAATGGTTGAGCTTAAGCCACTCGAGTGCAGCACTGACTTTCTTTTGCCTAACAAGCATAGGTGTGCGTTTGTATTCCTTTGCTGTGGGCACATTAGGACCCAGAAATATAAATGCAAGCACTTCATCAAGCTCGTCTCTAGGTGGAGGCAGCACAGAATATATTTTAGGCATAGGGAGAGAGTGGCTGACCACATTTGCCTTCATCTTAGACATTCCTGAAATCTGGACTTTTACTATACACATATTGTGCTTTACTCGTGCAATCAAGAGTTTTTCTGTCCAGCTCAAGTCTTTGAGAACATCTGGTACCTCACCTATCCAAAGCCCATTTGCCAGACTGTTTGGTGGTAGCTTTCCAGAGAGTAGATCAGATGCGCAAGATTTGCAGACATCATCACAGCTTGGCAGGAGCACCTTTCCTGGGACATCACAGATAGGATCAGAAAGGGAAGTGCGTTCTACCCGTGTAACTGGCCTTTCTGGAATAAGAATATTGAGATCACATGTAAGCTTGCTGAGTGGTTGAAGTGCTGACTTGTATGTCAATAAACCACAGACTGCACAAGCACCCTCTTGGAAGTTTCTAAGCTGAATGTCTGAGGCAAATCCAGTGATGATCTCACCTAATAACTGAGTATCAGGTGGACTAGGTGGAAACTGGTGCTTTACAGACTTGGAAACTAGGGCTCATTCAAAGGTAGAAGGGCTTTAGCACGCTTAGTCTTCTGTTTTTTACTATTTGTCTGCACTGGCTCAGTGGGCACAAACACCACTACATATTCAGGGCATGAAATACAAATATGGTTCATTAGAATACTTAACAAATGGTCTTTGGTCTGTCTGATTGTAGCAGAGAAACCTATTGCATGTATTTTAGCCAACCGCACTAGGTCAGGTTTCTGTAGTCTGGTAATCAAGTGTGATAATGGTATTTTTACCAATATGGCACACTCAGTCTTCACTATCTCACTGGAAAACACACATTTATGATAGCGGTAGTTCATATTCATTGCTATTTCACCTTGAACTGGATACCTTCGGAGTTCACTTGCTGTCCACCACTTCCCTCTGGTATTTTTGGAGGGAATAACAGCACCACCAAATTGTGACAATCTCAGAGTGCTAATAGGCTTAGAAGATGTTTCAACTGCTATCTGAATAGAGTAATATTTGCTCTTGATAGCAGCCCAGAAGTCATGCTTAAGCATGCAAGTCTGCATAAACAAAAGTCTAATAAGCCTCACTTGAGACCGTGGAGAGTTCCAGGTCAAGTATAGTGATACACTAGGCTGCATATAGCCATACATAGACCCAGAATAATGCCAGACAGGTGAGGGGTAGATAACCTCGATGTTTGACTGAAGGCACAGACAGACAGAGCTTAAAACAGAGGTGCTCGTCCAAACCTCATCCACAAGGGACCTGGGGCTTTCAATCAAGGTGCCCAGAGTAACCTGCTCAGTGTAGTCTAAGCTATATAGAGGTGATCATCTATAGATGTATCAGTAAGGTTGTGCCATAACAGAGGAGAGAAGTGCACTTACAACATAGATTGGAATGGATTGGGAGAGAGAGGCAGAGTTAACTTGTGCAGAGGTGTGCCAAGCACACTGAATCAGCCATAAAAGGCTGAATAGTAAGGCGGGTTTGAGTGCAGAGTAGGAGAACATCGTGGTTCGAGTTCAGAAGTGAGAGGCGCCCAGAGGCTGCCTAGCCAAAGTTCAACTTCAACCTCCATCAAACTCCCATGGTCATGTGACCATGTGGAAGGCGCCAAGTTCTTATCTTAGTCGAAAGCAAGACTCGGTGAAGCGCACTTGATTATCACACCCAGAAGTTCAGCAACAAATTATGAATCAGATTGCAAGAGTGTATATCGAGTTGGTCGTAATGAGCGTGATGGTAGTACAAAGCATTAGTGTGTAAGTAAAGAAAGAATTAGATGATTGTAAAAGAGTCCAGATATCAGTGAGCGGAGGGCAGGGCAGGAGAGTATGGTTCATGATATGTACATAGGGATGTCCACAAGATACCAGAGAAACAAGGTAGGAGAGAGCGAGAGATGCATAGTGGTAGTGGGTATAAGTGTAGCACGACATACATGCACAGGGAGACACAATCTGTATAAGACAAGAACAAAGACGACACAAGTCTGAGCTGATGCACATGCACAGGGAGATGACGATCTGCAAAAGACAACCAGCGCACTAGGTGCTCTCCTCAACCGACACATGAGAGGCGATCTTCACTGCACCGCAGAGGTTGAAGCCAATTGAAGGCTTGTCGTCACTGCCACTCTTACTAGAGTAAGAGTTGCAGGTGAAGTAGACGACAGCCAGATCGTGAGGCTGGAGCGGTTCACCACCCTCACCAGGAAGGCAGCGAGGGAGCAACTGAGGCTGGTTGAGGAGATAGCTCTCGACTCTGTCTTCCTTCTGGAAGTGCGCAGTGGCGTCCCAGACTGGGTCTGAAAGCACAGAGTAAGCACTTGAAGCGCTTCAATGTGTGTAATGGAGAACTTACAGGTGGCATCGGGCGAGTGATACGACTTCACCGTGTCACTCAGATCCTTGATGGGATCAGACTGCCGCACAGAGCGACTAGAGGAACCCACTTCCTCGTCGTCCTCATCTGAGCTGAGGTGGATGCTCTTCGCTGCACTCTAAATTAGTCACTGCATCAGTGCAGACAAAAATATGCACTCACGGACAGGACCAGAGATTGACCCTGTGACAAAAGCACCGACTCAGTATCGCAGAGCAAATAGAGCAAGCAACTCACTTTTAGGCCGAGGTGTCATGGTACTTGCACGTTCAGGGTTGTGCAACGCAGAGTGTGCCCAGAAGCAACCCTGGCTAACAAGCTCATCATTCTTCAAGAGCGCAGTTTCACCAGTGGCGATCGTTGCTTCCTGGTAGTCCATTGCACGAAGGACAAAAGGACCCAGTCGAGCATTATCAGCCTTGCCGAGCAGCTCAAGGTGAATGCCTTTGCCGTATAACGACGTGGCACCAAACTGGAACTCCCCGTTGTTCTCCGTGTGCGCTCTGATCACCATGCCAACAGCATAGCCAATAGCTATGTTGTTGCCAAGAGCCAGGTTGTCGAAACACAGATAGTACGAGTTAGCCTTGAACTTGGAGACCTTCTTGAAGAACTTAGGGTCAGCGCATCCAATATTGAAGACCTTCATGCCGTCGCCAGTGTTGGCCAACGTCTTGTAAAAGATCCTAGTGAACACCTGATGAGTATAAATCTGCAGGATTTGATTGAATTATACATACGTTGGATGCACCGTGGGGTAGTGCTTCGAGGTCAGAAGCCTACTAGTGGGGCTCACATGCAGTGGGTGAATGTAGTTCACCATGTACGTCTTGCCGCTACAACAGAAAAGTCAGCAAAGGAGTCCTAATTAGAATTAAAAAAACATGACTCACTCATTCTCAAAGTCAGGCAGCCCATGGCGGATGTTGGCGATCGTGGTGCTCCTGTCGATCGACTGCTGAACACCCCAAAGCTCGTGTGGTACGATCTGTAAGAAGTGTGAGTAGAAGTTACTGCAACTAAAAATGACTCACTTTGAGGCCTTGTCCTTGAGCTTCTGCATGTTGAGAGGCTTAGGCAACACCCTTATAAGCAGTGCAATGTCAGCGAGAGCACCACTAGGGAGTAAGCTAGATAGAGTAACTCACAGGCGTTCAACTTTCACTTCCGACAGGTCGTGGTCTGGGTTGACGCAGACTTGTACTTGATTCTACACAGATGTTAGCAGAGATCTGAGCACTATAAATGAGAAGCTTACGAGAAGCGGGCCTTTTTGTGGGAGACGTTCTGGAATATAGAAATATGTCAGAAGTGTGTACCAAAGAACAGGGAGAAGATGCGTACTTGAGAGCGTCATCACTGCCTTCATCTTCAGAAGACTTGGAACGCTTGCCTGCCGCCTTGAAAGCAGATACAAGACTACCACTAGCATGAGAGGCAGTGTCAACCAAGCTGTCAGCTTGCACCTTGACGTTTCTCTTCTTGGTTGGAGTCGAGCTAGAGGGCATAATAAGCACGATATCAAACACAAATTTGAGAATTGTACCTAGTCGAAGGAGTCCTGTCTTTCATCTTGATCGAGGACATCTTGCTTGCAAGCTTCTTGCTCGGTGTGCCACTAGAAAGCATGAGCAATTGTGTTCACTAACAAACTGAATACGTACTTGGTGGTGTGGTCAGGACTGAGCACGTAAAGAGCATCTGGGTTAGAGTCCTCGTCATCAATATCCATAGCGTCTTCAGCCCCCCCAGCTGCCTCCAACTCAAATTCAGACATGATGTCATCGTCTGAGTCCTCAGCCTGGGGCCTGAGTTGGGCTGCCTTGCCACGCTTCGTTGGCGTCAAGCTGGGAGAATATGTAAGTATACATATGATGTCACAATATACTGAACTTACTGAGTGATGTTGACTCTGACTTGGTGCGACGCTGCTGACGCCCACGGGGTGTCATAGTGCTAGTACATATGAGTAAGAATGCATGAATATAAAGGCACATTGCTCACATCTCGACCACAGGCTTGGAAGCTGAGGGGTGTCTAGGCTTTTGCCTATAACAAAGGTAAGCCAGTGGTTGAGCGTATAAAGGAATAGACTTACGGAGATGGAGACTTTGGAGAGACGTTCAGCTTTCCCATAGAAGGCTTTCTATAGCTGAGTGTGAGCACTGTAGCACAACTTAAACAAATTACTTACTTCCTAGGCGTCTTCTGATTGTCAGGAACACCACATGGTAATCGCCATCGTCAGAGGAGATGCCAGCCATCTTCTCAGCCTGCTGGGATTCTCGACGAGCCCTAGCAGCCTGCAGCTCCTTCACCTTCAACCTGAACTTGAAGTAAGCAAGCAGTGTAAGCCAAGTAAATAAGACTCACGAGGTGTCGATCTCGCAGTACTTGTCCTGATCGGAACCTTCATCCTCTGAAGTCTCAGAGTGGCAATGAACGTCATCAGCCTCGTTTGAAATGAAGCTTTTGGTGATCCTGAAACAAAGTTAGTAACATAGTAGTCTGAGAAGTGAATGTGCGCACCGTTGAACCTCTTTCTCATCCCCAGCCAAAGGTGTAGAATTCTGGTGAGCCTGAGAACGAGTGGGAGTAGGGGAGAGAGAAGGGTTGCGCTTGGTCGTAGCTGAGGCCTTACGAGATCCAGTGCTACGCCTTCCACCGCGACCAGTGCTTTTGGCAGTCTGTCTACCAGACGGAGCAGGCTGCCGCTCAGCCTCATCACCAGAGGCCTGGGGCTTCCGAGGACGACCTTCTCGAGGCTTCTTGATGGTGCTGCAACCGTGAGTGAGTATAAAGAATATGGAACACATATGGTAGACACATATATCGTCAAGGTCTCCTTCTCCTCACCCCCATGATCAGGGGAAGGGGAAGGGGACTCATCGCGCGTGGATGGTACGGGGGAGGAGGCAGCTCGACCACGCTTGGTTGGGGTTACTGTTTTTTAGACCTATAATAAACGTATCAGCCTGGCATACGCAAATGAAAGGAATCACATACGTGGCAGAGGCGCGAGTCTTGGCCATAGTGAGTGTATAAAGGAGCGGGTATCGGAAAGGAGTGTGATTGGGAGTGATTAGAGGAAGCAAGAATGAGAGCAAGAAAGAGAGAGAGAGTGTGTAGACGACAGCGCGTCTGCCTAGGTTTATATACAGCACTGTGATGCTGTTTATTTGTCCCTTGGTCCGTGCACATCGTCCCACCAGCCCACTCTGAATTTCTCAGCAGTTCCTGAATCCGCCTATACGGCTATTTAGACCGTCGGCTATACTCAAGCGAGTCTGCCAGCACTTGGCTCACTGTTGCATAGTCCCATACAACAGTGACCCTATACAGTTCAGTGACATGTAGCAGAAAGAAGTAGCTTTTGAATGACACCCAACATGCAGAAGAAGGGAGGGAAGACACGGATGGGGCATTGAAAATAAGCAAAGTCCGATGTTGTCCGCTCTTCGGATGAGCTTATCCCGATCAATAATGACGCACCGCCAGAGCACGTTCCAAAGAATCTAGACCATGCACAAACAAACAGTTGGAAATTCCTGTTCACGTGTTGAGAAGACACAGAGATTAGACGAAAAGGGGATGAAGGGCTCCTCACCTTCAACCAACTATCGCAAACATCTACTTCACCTCCTCTTTGCTATCCCCTATGCTTTACGCTGCTCAGCTGGCTTTAGATGAGGCCAAATATGGTGAGTAGAGAGTGTTTGGTTCTGACTTGATCTAATGCGCTTCTGTGTGGTGCAGCGAGAATGCTTAAGCAGGAGATGTCGAGCCTAGTAGAGGCAGAGGCTCCGTACAAGCAGCTTCAGAGCATCAAAGAGGTGAGTTTTGGATTGTGCAGCCCTAGAACAAATCTCATACCGTGCATGGTAGCCCAGCATTCTCAATGCGATTGGAGAGGTGGTGGACGTGGCGAACGGAGTGCGGATGACGCTCATCCATCAACGAGCGTCTCCTGAAGAGCCTATCGAGGAGCTTATCCTGTCGATCCAAGGATATCTCGTAGAGGCCAATCTCCCTCCTATTCGGAAGATGGAGTGAGTTTTGTGTATTGTGATGCGTACCTGAGTTCACCTGTCTGCTTCCAGTGTTCCTCGGTCCAATCATCGGATCATTGGTCTTAGCCAGTCAGTCGTTATCTCTGGCCTAGGTGAGGACCTGTTCCAAGACGCGGTGCAGGGTGCGGTCTGCGTCTACCAAGTCTATCAGCGCCTTATCGAGACTCTTCATGGACGACTTCGAGAGTGGACCCCTTTTGATCGCTCAGGCCACCTGGCTATCCAGTTCGGTAACCGTCTTCTGAGTAGGGGAAAGGAGGTTGGAGATGATGAGATTGTGGACTTGGCAGATGTCGTGGACCCCTTCAATGTTCTCCGACCAGCTTTGCGTGATCATGTTCACACTACCGACAATGCAGTTCAGTACTGGGAGCGTACAATGAAGGAGTCCAAGTACGTGCCAGATTGCTATGAAGCCAACCATAGCTGACGTTGTTTAGGGCAACATACACAAAGATCAAGCCTCACCAGATCAACATCTCAAACCTAGTCGAGCTGCAGATCGCTTTCACAGTGGTTCGCCTTCCCCGACAGGAGTACGTCTTTGTTCTAGACCGTACTGTCGAGAAGGTGAGTGCTATATGCTGATTCTCACTTGGAGCGTGCTTGCTGATTTGATTATAGGACTTCAATCTAGCTTCAATTGCAGCTTTGACAAAGCATGCCAAGTCTCCCAGACGTCCTTTGAAGCGCAAGGTCGGCTACGGCGACAGCGAGGAAGATGACACAGACTCTGTGTTGAAGTGTATGCGCTTGGACGATAGTGACTTGCAGGACAGCGCAGTTGTATCTCAGACAGATGTGCCTATGGCTGGGTAGAAGATGTAGAGCTGGCATGTGCTTCTTCTAGTGAATTGAGCTTCTTTTCTCGGTGCATGAATGTGAATGTGAACACGTGATTCTTGAATCTGAATATCGACTTGAATGAGAACACGTGATCTTTAAATCTGAATATCGAGAGACCATCGAGAAGCTATCACTGCAGCCATCATTCCAACCACATCCTATTCATCCACTGCACACATCATGGAGACTGGACTCTTTCCACACACAACCTCTTCTGGCCAGATCCTTAGCAGTCATCGCCAGTGCCAACTCTCTGTATCGGACGTTCGTTGGGACTCCTTGACCTCCTACGGCCTGAGCAAGCTCACACCATCCGTTCTCCATTGGATTGGCGGCATCAAAACCGATGACCGAGGCATGCTATACCTGGATCGGAACATCCTGATCGCCCTTTGGGAGCGGTACCACCACTTTTATAGCTCCGTAGAAGCCGCCTGTCCCCAGCTTCGACCGTCGATCGGTGGATCAGCTGTTCGGAATCCCAGAAGGGACAAATGGCACAAGTTCGAGAACAAGGGGAATCCTACCACCAAGAGATGGTCAAAGTTCCTCAGCGATGTGGAGAAACTAGGCAAAGTCCCGTTCGAACACCTGTCATGCGAATACCCTGAATTCTGCCCTCATCCCAATGCCGATCCCCATCGCTTTGAGACCAGCCTCTCTCAAGTCCTCTATTGCTTCCACTCCACCTACACCTTCTGCATCCATCTCTGCCTTCCCAGATTTCCATTCCCATTCCGAACCCCTTCCCGAGTCACTCCCCCTGGTTGGAACTGTGAGCTCTTCTACCTACAGCCACCCGGTCAGCTCTACTGGGGTCCAATCGAGAAGACGGAGGCAGACTTCCCTCAGAAGTTTCAGCCGAAGAAGCTTCTGAAGCTGGAGGGGGAGGACTATGTTAGGCTTGCCGCCATTCACACGGTTACGAAAGAGCGACTCAGAAGGCTGGAGTTGTCGGAGATGGAGAATTGGCGCAAGGAGACAGAGAAGGCCAGGGAGAAGGAGACGATGAAGGACTACATGGAGAGAGTGGAAAATCGGGTACACCTGGTGGGCAAGCTTCTTATTGAGCTTCCACTTATCCAGACTAGGTGCAGGATGGAGACGTCTTCAGAGGTTCGTGTTATCTTGCATGAGAAGGATGCTATAGTGCTATTGGACCCTTGGCAGAACGCAAACACTGTATACCAGATCTTCTCTTCAGTGCTTGGAAAGACTTGCAGTGTATGTCGTTAAGGAAAGTCCTCTGACTGGTTCTCTTTTTACGGCAAAGTCAAGCCACAGGTATCAGACGATGGTGTTATATCAGCTGTACTTGTCTCTTCAGTGTAGTGTTACTATAAGGTTTTCTAGCACATACTTGGTCTCTTACACACCATACGCCTATTGTCTCTCATATGTATAAGCTTACATTGCTTAGATTCAGACTAGAGACAGAATACCAAGCTTGCCACACAAATAGCACACTTGGAGGAGGAGATGGGCGCAAAGCAATGGATACAGAGCAGATACAAAAGAAACCAATCCCTAGGGGCCCCAACAGCAAGCGCTCCTCCAAATCCCTTGAGAGCGACCTAGAGCGAACAAGCGAGCTTAACGGCGATATAGACGCCCAGCTGTACGCTCCAGCATAGGTTCCCCAAGGGAACGTGAAAAGGGAGAAAGAGTCAAGTTAGTAAAGTTCAGAAGAGCGCGAAGGCTGCATAACCCCTTCCCACACTCCTGTCGCGACTCAGGAGCGAGGAAGAGGCATAGCAGCCTCCATAGTGCGCAGAATGAATGAGACCAAGCCAAAATGAACTAACCTGCACGACAAAGATAACACAAGATGGTGCAACAAGCCTGGAAGAAGGGTTGTATTAGAGAAATTGAATGAGGGATAGAGCAAAGAGAGACGCAAGGACTGACCTCAGCACAACAATCAAGAACAACTCCCAAACACAGAACACCTGTGAAGTTAGTTATAACAGCCCAAACACAGAACACCTGTGAAGTTAGCTATAACAGGGACCTGAGAGGGGAGAAAAGAATATCAGAGACAGAGCAAGGGAGGGAGCAATGCATAGAGCACATACTAGGACACCAAAACCAAGCAGAACTGGCAGAGACAGAACCCCAGTCAGAGCAGACATCAGGGGGCTAAGACAGGGAGAAAACCAAGTCAGAGAGATGGAGGAAGGGAGGGAGCAATGCAGATGAAGAATAAAGTACTCACCAGCTCAGCAGAACCAAGCAGATCTCACAGACAGGACTCCAGTCAAGCCAGGCCAATCAGGGTCCTAAAATGGGAGTAAGGCATGTCAGAGACATGGAAGATGGGAGGGAGCAATGCAGAGAGAGAATAGATGACTCACCAGCTCAATAGACCGAAGCAGACCTCCCAGACCCAACACATAACCAAGGCAGAACCTAGAAACAGACAAGAGATAAAACAGGGAGAAACGAGAACAAGAACAGCTAGAGGACAAAAGAGGAGTGAGCACAGAATCAAGGAGGTGAGGGAGCACTCACCTGCTAGCCAGAGGCTAGCAAAATCTTGAAGAGAGGGACAGAAAGATCTCACACAGAGCAAGCTCTGTGCTCCAACGACCCGGCCACCCAAAGTGGCAATGTCGCAGGCATCGCTGGCTCAAGACCACCGCTCTAAATCGGTGCACCGAGTAGGCATGGTACAGGAGCACAGGGACTGGGGGGTGGGGGGCAGCCTCTCACTCAACGCTGACTCCGGCCGGAAGCCAGCGAAGAGAGTGGAGAGAGGACAAGAGCCCCCAAGAGAAGAGAGGGGATGGCGGCGACGATTTTGTGTGCAGGAGCCACAGGCTTAGTAAGCATTCCCACACAGGCTGTGAGGCCCAGAGGCTGCTCTATGTCACCTCCTCCTCACCCTCGACCTCGCCCTCCCACCGTCCAACCACCTCCACGACTACCTCAACGCGCCAAGGACGTCCCAATGGACGTCCTCGGCCCCTCGATTCGTATCCCAGCGCCTCGGTACAAGACCGCGGCGCCCGTCGTCGTCCCGGTGAGTCTGCTACCCCGTCCCTCCTGCGCGATGCGCCGTCCCACCTCCCACAGTGCGCCTGCACGCCCCGACCGTGTACAAGACGCGGCGGGGCATGTACCTCGACCCTCCTCGGCCGTCGTCCGCGCCCCGCGCTCAAAACGGGCGGCCTTACGGCCGTCCGCGCCCGCGCGCTGCCCACCCTGCTGCTCCTCCTCCTCCTCGCCCTCGACCTCACCCTCCCACCGTCCGAGCACCTCCACGACTACCTCAACACGCCCAGGGCGTCCCAATGGACGCCCCGGGCCCTTGGATTCACATCCCGGCGCCCGTCGCCCTCCCGGTGAGTCCGCTGCCCCGTCCCTCCTGCGCGATGCCCCGTCCCACCTCCCACAGTGCGCCTGCACGCCCCGACCACGTACAAGACCTGGCAGGGTGTGTCCCTCATCCCACCTCGGCCATCGGCCGCGCCCCGCGCTCAAAATGGGCAGCAGTATGGCCGTCCACGTGGACGCTGTTAGCCCTCCTCCTCCTCTTTGCCTTTGAATTCCCTCTCCCATGGTCTAGTTGTCACCCAGACCACCTCCATATGACAATAGAAAGCAATCACTACAACCCTGTCTTTTAGATCTTGTAGTAGATACCACTCTTAACAAACAGGTCTGTTGAAGTTGTCAGAGTGAGTGCATGTATGAGGGATAAAACACAAACCTCTGAGATTCTCAAGGCTGAAGGACTTGTTCTGAATCAAACCCACTGCAGCCTCACCCACATCACTCCAGATCTCTTCCAAGTGAATGACCTCATCCTGACGCTGGATTCTCCACCATAGGTTGGCCTCTCCTGCGCCCTCCATCTTGTCCTTCTTCCTCTGCACCTCAGAAATCTCCAGCTGCAGAACCTCCAGGGTGGGGATGGCTCTGACTAGCACCTCAGCCAGCTTCTTGCAAGCAATCTGACCATCCATGTTGAGCCTTTCAAACAGGTCCACAGAAAAGCCAATGCTGAGATGGATGAGAGGAACTGGAGAGAGCCTCTCAGCCAGAATGAACTACACATAAATGTAAGAATCTATCAGAGATGGGTGCTGAGAAACATACCAAAATGACATCAAAATTACTTCGACTCTGCTCCACGAAGTTCTCAATTGTTAGAGACCTGACTTTGCACTCCGCTGCTCTGGTAAGCATCTCACATGGGACAGTGAGACTATCTTCATCATCCTCCCACCAGAGTTCAATGAAGGAAAGGAAGGCCAAGGACTTGATATGATCGAGAATAGCGAAAGGCAACTCCTCGCCTTGGTAGTCGGCTTCTGTGGAAGGGATGAACCAGGTCTGATCAAATCAGAGGGAGTCAATGTGGGAGAAGGAACGGTCTTCATCATTATCGATGTATTGAAAATCTGGATCAAGGTTGAAGTCGATATTGATGGTGAGAAGGTGGGGCAAGAGATGAGCCCACAGGACTGCAAAGGTCCTGTCGCAGTAGACAGAGAGATGAAGAAGGGAAGGGGTAGGAGGGACCAAAGACGGCTGCCACAAACAGAGTTCAAGGGACTTGAGATGGTTGAGGTCTAAAAGAGGAGACTGAACACCAAGTGTCTCAATGGCCATCCAATCCGCCAACTCAGACTCAAAAGCCTGCACGTACTCGCTTCTATATCCTGACAAGGATAGGGAAGAGAGTTGGGTGACTTTGGAGAGGGAGAGGATGAAGGAATGAAGAATCCCCCAGTCTTCAGCTGTAATGTCAGATGGGATGGTGCCATCCTGGAGAGACACAGACAGGGAGGAGAGACGGGGAAGTTCAGAGAGGAGGGGAGTGAGTGTGGCAACACTGGGGAGAGTGGTGGAGGTCAAAGAGAGGGTAGTTAACTTGAAAATGAAGGAGATGTGGATGATGTGGAGGTTCTCTCCAGGGTTGAGAACCACAAGCTCAGAGAGACCTGGTGAGCTGCTGAAGAGGCCATGGAGAACTGAATGGGGGATGAGATCGGGGTTTTCAGGAGTGATAAGAGACTTGATGTAGTGGCATGGAGGATAGGGAAGGTAGGGATGGATGGAAACAAGCCACTGCACCCATGCTAGAGCATTGGTTTTGTTTTTGTTGTACCACTCTTGAAGGTGGACGGTGGCCAATGCTGGGCGCATAGCAACTTCGTACATGGTCTTGGAGGTTTGTGCAACTTTAACAACAGAGGAGGGGGGAAGGTAGGTGCAGACAGCGTGAATACATCAGGAAAAAGCGCTGTGCGCCAGAGCCCCGGCCCGGACTCGGCATCACTCCCTTGCCGCCAATGATGACCGGGAGGGCGCTTGAGGACCCTCGCGCGATGACTAATGATACCGAGGTCTCTCGAGTAGCGCAAGCGTGCTCTGGAGCTCTCCAGAGTAGCAGTGACTGCTAACGACGTCTTGAGAGCCACGACCAGGATCACTCGAGGTCTCTAGTGCTACAGTGGTGGCATGAGAGTCCTCGATATTATCCTCCGATACAAGCGGTAACGCGTGAGTATAGTGCACGAAACTCGTATATACGCTCTCATATGTCTTCCCGCACCGGCGTGATACAACGTGGGCTCTCTGGTAGTTATATTAACGAAAAATAAAACCGGTGACTGGTACAGCTGCTCAGAACGTGCCAGTCGCGCGTTTTTGGCAACACTCATTTGAAGTGGTTGCGCGGGCGGCGGGGGAAGGACGAGTCCTGGCTGTAGCCGTGAGAAAGACGAACGCAGTCGAGCGCACACATCTTGCGAGTGGCCAACGGGGCAACAAAACTGGGTTGCTGCCACTGGAGACCAATAAAATAATAGCGAGTTTCGCAGCCAGTACTTACATAGGGAAGGGAATCAAACGGTCAGAGACTTGAGTGCTTGAACACAAGTCCGCCAGAACAGGTTGTGGAAGGTTGTTCCCACGCACAGACCTCTGGGCGGCACCGCCCACCGCCAGCAGCGCGGCTCTCGGTCGTCTTCAATTATTTCCTCCTCGCTGTCTCTACCCGTCTCTCCTCCCGATGTTGTCATGTAAGTGCAACGAGGGCTCGCGCACCCTGCCTGCTAACCAAACTCATTAAGAACAGGACACGGAAGGACGACGGCTTACCATCCCCGCTTTGAACAGAAAGATGCGTCAGCGCCCGGGTCTTGACGCCATCTCGGTATGTAACGTACACCATACATTGACGTCGTCGCCTCCCGCACTCAGAGCCCTACCTCCCGCAGTCCATCTCCATCCCTCGCAGCCCTCTCTCCCTCGTCCCTTCCATCAGCACCCCGTCTCTCGTGCCTACCCTTCTACACGCACCATATCCTCCACGACCTCGAGAACATCGTTCAGTAACGCATCACGATTCACAGGTCAGTACACTGCGTCCACCGCGGAGGCCTTTGATTCGTTCGTCTGCCAGAACGCCTGCATCATCGTCAGTGGCAAGAAGCACCGCGTACCAAAAGCCCTTACTTGCGAGGCCAACGGCGACCTGAGCTCGATGGTCATGTTTGGCGACATCGTGGTAGTACCCGCGGACCCGGAGGGCAAGGTGCGTAACCGTCCACGTCACGCCTCGCACCTCGTCTCAGGATCAGCGCTAACTGTGGCTTCTTGTTTGCAGACCAGCCCCGTCAGCACGTTCTTCACGGTGAACATTGTCGGGCGCATCGTCGTCCTCGGCTCACACGAGTCTAAGGCTGTCACCTCGTCCTTTGGTACGTTCTGTCTCACCACTCTACGTGAGTGTTTGCTGATATTACGCACACAGCTTACCCCACCGTTCCGTTCGTATTCCGCTCTTGAGCTGGATGAAGACAGGGCGGTCTCGGGTCAATCGTCACCTCGCGGTGAGCGGGAGAAGGAGGAGTGGGACATGGGATGGAAGATTGTGCAGTGTATCGCGCCCATCAAGGTAAGTGTCGATTGTTCGGGAGAGAGATAGGCCTGTACCATCCACGCTCCTTTTGATCAATCAAAATCCTCTATGGTGCTGGTGTGTAGATCGTGCCCAGGCAGCCTCTGTTGTGCTTCTGTGTGTTGTATTAGCCAATATGTATGAGCTGTAGTCGTCTCTCAATGATTATTTGTTTTTGAGATCGATACATGTGTGCTACATGAGCACCGGGTGTTCACCCTAGAAATGGCTCGGCTCAGGTGTGCTCAGGAGAGCTCCAGAGTACTCTGGAGAAGATACTCGGGGCTACTCCAGAGTGCTCGCCGAGCAAGCGGCTGTGTCTCTGGAGTGCCTGGGAGGCGCCGGCCAAGCTCTCGCGGCTCCATAAAAGGGTACTTGTCTCACCGTGCTCCGACTGCTCTAGAGGCTCCAGAGCACTCCGGTGACATGTCGTTTTTTACTGATGTAATGTCATGGTTGAGAGACATGGTGGATGATGACTGGGAAGAAGGCTGTAGGGCAGTGTGGTTGAGGTAGGAGGCAAGAGGGGTATAGGAGCCATGAAGAAAGCCTGCCTTACAGCCTTTCTAACATGGGCGTCTCCCACTCTCCTCCTTCTTCATCTCCTACCCTCCACCTTCCCCTTGTCACCACCATCAAACCTCCTCTACACCCTCAACGTGCCCAGGGCATCCCAATGGACGCCCTGGGCTCTGCAATTCCCATCCCGGCACCGCGGTTCAAGACCACGGCACCTGTCGCCCTCCGGTGAGCCCCGCTGCCCCGTCCCTCCTGCGCGCTGTCCCACCCATCCTCCCACAGCATGCCCGCACACCCCGACCGCGTACAAGATACGGCGGGGCGTGTACCTCGTCCCTCCTCGGCCGTTGCCCGCGTCCCGCGCTCAAAACGGGTGGTTGTACGGCCGTCCGCGCCCGCGCGCTGCCCGCCCTCCTCCTCCTCCTCGCCACCCTCCGCCTTCTCTGTCCCACGATCCGACATCCTCCCCGACCACCTCAACACGCCCAGGGCGTCCCAATGGACGCCCTGGGCCCTTAGATTCACATCCTGGCGCCGCGGTATAAGACCGCGGCGCTCGTCGTCTGCCGGTGAGCCCCTGGCCCCGTTCCTCCTGTGCGATGCCCCGTTCTACCTCCCACAGTGCGCCTGCAAGCCCCAACCGCATACAAGATGCAGCGGGGCGTGTCCCTCGTCCCTCCTCGCCCATCACCAATGTCCCGCGCGCAAAACGGGCTGCCTTACGGCCGTCCACGCGCGCTGCCCGCCCTCCTCCTCCTCCTCCTCACCACCCTCAACTTCCCCATCCAGCCGTCCGACCACCTCCACGACTACCTCAACGCGCCAAGGAAGTCCCAATGGACGTCCTCGGCCCCTCAATTCGTATCCCGGCACCACGGTTCAAGACCGCGGCACCGGTCGTCCTCCCAGTAAGCCCCCTGCCCCTTCCCTTCTCCGTGCTGCCCATCCCCTCCCCCCACAGCACGCTCACATGCCCTAACACATACAAGATGTGTTGAAGTAAGTTCCCTATTGATCCTTTCTTTTCCCAAGTCTGGATACCTCCAAATGTTTTAGTTACTCTGTATATAGGATACATTTCAAATAAAACTCATTCTTTCCCCTTGCCTTTGCCCTTGCCCTTGAGTCTGGTGGCTAGTCTCCCCTCAGCCCTCCAAACTGTTGTGGAACGGACTCTGGACTCGCCCTACGTATTATTTTTCGTCTTTTCCTTGCCTTTTCTCTGCCTGCTACTATATTGGAAGGTTGTTCCCGCGCTTAAGCGCCCGTATCGCGGACTCTCTTAGCACTTGCACTTCGTGTCCTAGCCCTCATCTCGACCTCTTGGTCTTTGTGGGCTAGGTGAGTATCTCAATTGCCTGTATGTATGTAGAGCTATGTTAACTTGGTCTTTGTGGGCTAGACATCCCTCGTGTGACTCTAGTTTGCGTCTGCTTTGCGCCTAGTGCCGGCAACGCCTCTGCACCACTACATCGAGGTCATCCAACCTCCATCTACACCCATCCACCCCTCCCTCTCCTCCGATTGGCGTTCGCGGCCCGCTCCCGCGTCATTAGGTCGAGATCTAACCAGTGAGTGCTGGCATCAAAGCATCGTCCCCACCCTGTGCCACTCGCCCCGCTCTTCCCCTACCCTGCATACCTGCCGGAGTTATAAGGCTCTAAGCGTATCGCAGTCTCCCTGGGTCTGTTGAGCTCGAGTATCACACTCTGAGAACACTACCCCGCTCCCGGCCGACGACTCTATCCGCGCAGTTGGTCATCCCGACTGATTGGCTGCCCGGAAGCCTCAATAGGTGTTCACTTCCCCGGAGCGTATCCTGGTTCCTAGAGCACGGTGGCTTGCACAGGTCATCAGCACGCGGTTGACACTGAAGACAACCGGCACGTCCACATCGTCCGCAACGAGCGAAACGACCTCCTCTGGCGAGAGTGCGACCACCAACCGTGTCCTCATATCCGTACCCCTGTCACCTACACGACCCGCAGGGCTAGATTCGACGAGACCCACACTCCTATCCCACCCCTAGTCATGGATGCCCAGCAGTTTCAGGCCCTCATGCAGGCCCTCACCGCGAACCAGCAGCAGTTGGTTGCCGGACAGGCCAACCTTACGCAGGCGGTGACAAATCTGGCAACCGCGTTCCAGAACCTGTCCACCACCCTTCCCCAAGCTATGACGAATGCGACGGTGGCTTCGAACGTCAACACCCAAGCCACGAAGGACGCGACAAAGGTCGCGAACAAGCCCCAGCCGTACAACGGCAAGACCAGTTCGGATGCACGCCGCTTCGTAGCATCCTTCCAAGTCTACGCGATGCAGATGGGTGGCCATCTGAACACTGCCAACGCCACGGGCGGCTTCGATCGTGACGACGCGAAGTGGATCAAGTCGGCTCTCACTCTCCTCACCGATGACGCTGCGATCTGGGCTACCCCCTACCTGGAAACGATCGGTAACGGGCTGGCCGTGTTCAACAACGACTGGACGACCTTCAGAGCGGCGTTCAAAACGCGATTCGAGACGGCCGACGAGGCAGTCGACGCGAAGGCAGCCCTGCAGGCTCTTCACCAGCGTAGCCTCTCCGTCGTCGAGTACTACGCGCGGTTCAATGAGCTCGCGGACAGGACAGGCTACAGCCAGACCGACCTCCGCGACCGGTTCTACGAGCACCTCTCCTCGGAGATCAAAGACGAGTTGGTGCATACTGCTCGCAACACTGCTGCGCTCCCCGACCTCGTTCAGGTCGCTACGGACCTCGACATGCGCATTCGCACGCGCAAGGCTGAGCGTGCGCGCGAACAGGGCAAGTCTGTTGCGACCCCGACTGTCCCTCGTACCGCCACCGGGCAGTTCGCATCCGTGGCAACTCCCTCGACCATGCGCACCTCCCGCGACCCCGACGCGATGGACATTGATGCTGCCAAGCTGAGCGAGTTCAGGCGGTCGATGAACGGCAGGTGCTGGGGCTGTGGTGCGACCGACCACCAGAAGAAGGACGGCAACCACTCGAACGAGACTTGTCGCTGGTGCGGAGGCCGTGGCCATCGCGAGAGCGTTTGCCAGAGCAAGGCACTGGGCAGGCCACGCTTGGGCGGTCAGCAGCGCGTTGCAGCTACCACCGAGGACAGCCCGGTCGCGTCGACCTCAACGGCGAACTCCAATGTGCAGGGGATCAACGCAATCCTCGAGCAGATGCAGCAGATGACGGAGCAGCAGAAGATCCTCCGTGGCGAGCTTGAACTGCTCCAAAAGTCTTTTCCGAACGGGCCCGCTTAAGAGCTGCGGCAGCGGCGCCCCCACCCAAGGTCTCTTCTTCTTCTTTCCCTGAACCTGTACCTAGCGCGTACGATACCGTAGATAGCTGTACTATACCTGAAGCAAATCGATCCGGTTCGCATTTTCGCACTAGCGTGATAGTAAAAGGAAATGATAAGAGTGTTAAGACCGCAGCAATGATTGACTCTGGTGCGACTTCGCTTTTTGTTAGTAAAAGGTTCATAGATAGGCATGGTATTTCGGTGCACCCGTTGTTCAAGGAGATCACAGTGCACAATATCGACGGTACAAAGAACAAAGCAGGCAGTATTACGCATTTCACAAGGCTTACGTTAGGTATGGGTACATATAGCGAGCGTCTCGATTTCTTAGTTACAGATCTGGGACCAGAGGACATGATTCTTGGCTTGCCTTGGTTACGTACGGTGAATCCGGAGATAGACTGGGAGAAGGGAGAGATGCGGATTGAGACGGACGAGGAGGAGGAGGAACGGCCTGCGTTTGAGCGTATCAATGCGAACCGGGCACAGCGACGGAAGTGGCAGAAGGCAGGAGTGTTGGAGGATGCGAGGGAGGAGGTGTGGTGTGCGGCAGGCTACACCTATTCGACGCAGCTGGCAGAGGCTGCCAACAAGGGGAAACCTCAGAAGACGTTCGAGGAGATGGTCCCGGAGGAGTATCGACGCCACGCTAAGGTGTTCTCCGAGGTTGAATCAGAGCGTCTCCCTGAGTCGAAACCTTACGACCACGCGATCGACCTCAAGCCTGATGCGCCTGAGTCGATCCGCTCCAAGGTTTTCCCTATGCCTCTGAACGAGCAGGAGGAGCTGGATCGGTTCCTGGAGGACAACATGCGCAAGGGATACATCGCACCTTCTAAGTCCCCCATGGCGTCTCCAGTCTTCTTTGTCAAGAAGAAGGACGGGAAGCTCCGGTTAGTACAGGACTACCGGAAGCTGAACGACGTCACTGTCAAGAACCGCTATCCGCTTCCTCTCGCCTCAGACATCGTGAACCGGCTGCGAGAAGCGAAGTACTTCACCAAGTTCGACGTGCGCTGGGGGTACCACAACGTCCGGATCAAGGAGGGTGACGAATGGAAGGCTGCCTTCGTCACTAACCGAGGGTTGTTCGAACCCAAGGTTATGTTCTTCGGGCTCACCAATTCGCCGGCCACCTTCCAAGCGCTGATGAATTCGATCTTCGCGGATCTCATTGCGCAGGGCAAGGTAGCGGTGTACCTGGACGACATCCTCATCTTCACGGACACCCTAGAGGAGCACCGTCGACTGGTTCATGAAGTACTTCAGCGGTTGGAGGAGCACGACCTCTACCTGCGCCCTGAGAAGTGCGAGTTCGAGCGGGAGGAGGTGGAGTACCTGGGGCTGGTGATCCGTCAGGGCTCGGTCGGCATGGACCCGGTGAAGGTCAAAGCCGTGCGCGACTGGCCAGATCCTCGTAACCTGCGAGATCTGCGCGGTTTCCTTGGATTTGCCAACTTCTATCGTCGCTTCATCAAGGACTTTGCTAGGCTGGCTCGTCCCTTGAACGACTTGACGAAGAAGGACGTCGCGTGGACATGGGAGTTCGCGCAGCGTCAGGCATTCCGCGCGCTCAAGGACGCCTTCATCAGTGAACCGGTTCTCGCTACATGGGCACCAGATCGACCCACCAGACTCGAGGTGGACGCTTCTGGATTCGCAACGGGTGGTGTTCTGCTCCAGAAGCTCCCCGACGGCCTATGGCACCCGATCGCGTTCCGCTCAGAGTCCATGTCGGATGCAGAGCGCAACTACGAGATCTACGACCGAGAGCTCTTGGGGATCATCCGAGCATTGGAGGACTGGCGCCACTACCTTGAGGGTCTTCCTGATCCCTTCGAGATCATCACGGATCATCGGAACCTCGAGTACTGGCGTACTGCTCAGCATCTCTCACGGCGGCAAGCACGATGGTCAATCTGGTTGGCACGCTTCGACTTCGTCCTCACCCACAAGCCTGGGAAGACGAACACGCAGGCAGATCCTCTCTCGCGTCTCCCCACTCATCAGGTCACGGACGCGGAGGACAACCAGGAGCAGGTCGTACTCAAGCCAGAACGGTTCGCTCAGCTAGCTGCAACCATCTGCAGCGACACCGATCTGCTTGAGCAACGCATCCGCGAGTGCACCAAGCGCGAAGTGGAGGTTAGAAGTGGGCTTGCGGCGCCACCTCGCAAGGTGGCAAGTGGAGTGGCTGAGTGGGAAGAGCACGGGGGCCTGGTGTATCACGAAGGTCGTCTATACGTGCCGGCCGACCCAGAGCTCAGACGAGAGGTTCTTCGGCGATGCCACGACTCGGTCACAGCTGGACACCCTGGACGCAGCAGCACCCTTGAGCTCGTCAGCCGACACTACTGGTGGCCTGGGATGGCGCTCTTCGTGGCCAAGTACGTCGCAGGCTGCGAGCGCTGTCAGCGCTACAAGCCAGCTCCACATCCACGCTCCACCCTGCATCCACACGACGTCCCTGAGGCCCCCTGGAAGGTGGTGGGAGTAGACCTGGTCACTGGGCTCCCAGAGTGCGAAGGGTTCAACGCCATCGCGGTGTACGTCGACCACTACAGCAAACAGTGTCACGTCCTCCCCACACGCGACAGTGTCGACGCTGCTGGCGTTGCAGACCTGCATTACCGCGAGATCTTTCGCTTACATGGTGTCCCTCGGAAGATTGTGTCAGACCGTGGTCCCCAGTTCGCCGCCCGCGTAATGCACGAACTCTACGGCAAGCTCGGCATTGAACATGCACTCACCACCGCGTACCACCCTCAGTCTAACGGACAGACCGAGCGAACGAACCAGGAAGTTGAGCAGCACTTGCGCCTGTTCGTACGCAAACGGCAAGACGACTGGGTACGCTATCTGCCAACGGCCGAGTTCGCGCTGAACAGCCGAATCCACTCTGCGCACAACCACACGCCCTTCGAGGTCATGTACGGGTACAAGCCAGACTTCACGGTACCAGTGGGAACAGAGACTCGCTTCCCTCATCTCGAGGATCGTCTAGAGGGCATGCGCCAAGCACAGAAGGACATTGAATCAGTGCTGCGCGCAGGCAAGGCGAAGATGAAGGTTCACTTCGCAGAGGAACACCCTCGTGATCGGAAGGCATTCGAAGTCGGAGACAAGGTCTGGCTTAGCGCAAAAGACATCAGTGTGCACCAGGCAACGCGCAAGCTTGGTGTCCGGCAGCTGGGACCCTACAAGGTGGTCGAACGCGTGGGTGATCTAGCCTATCGTCTCGAACTCCCACCCACGCTCAAGATCCACCCGGTCGTACATGTGGATCGGCTGTCCAAGTATGGAGGGAACGAGGTGAACGGGCGACGAGCACCACCGCCAGAGCCAGTGGAAGTGGACGGAGGGGAGGAGTACGAGGTGGAGAGGATTCTGGACAGTCGGTTCTTCAACCGCCGGCTTCAGTTCCAGGTGCGGTGGAAGGGATACGGAGAGGGGGACGACTCGTGGGAACCAGCGGCGAATGTCGCCAATGCCCCAGAGAAGGTCGCAGAGTTCTACGAGCGCAATCCCAACGCGCCTCGCAAGATATCTGCGACTCTATTCGCCGCGCTGCCATGGAGGAGGGTTGAGCACCCTGAGCACACAGAAACGGAGAAGGAAGACTGGCAGGAGGGGAGGATCATGTCCATCCGGGACGGATGGGTTTTAGGAGGGGGGTAATGTTGTGGAACGGACTCTGGACTCGCCCTACGTATTATTTTTCGTCTTTTCCTTGCCTTTTCTCTGCCTGCTACTATATTGGAAGGTTGTTCCCGCGCTTAAGCGCCCGTATCGCGGACTCTCTTAGCACTTGCACTTCGTGTCCTAGCCCTCATCTCGACCTCTTGGTCTTTGTGGGCTAGGTGAGTATCTCAATTGCCTGTATGTATGTAGAGCTATGTTAACTTGGTCTTTGTGGGCTAGACATCCCTCGTGTGACTCTAGTTTGCGTCTGCTTTGCGCCTAGTGCCGGCAACGCCTCTGCACCACTACATCGAGGTCATCCAACCTCCATCTACACCCATCCACCCCTCCCTCTCCTCCGATTGGCGTTCGCGGCCCGCTCCCGCGTCACAAACAGGCTGCAACTTCAACTTCTCCTCATTCTCCCGCTCACACTCTGACCACCCACACTCACACAACTCCCAAGGATCCAGTACAGTATTCCCATGCTTATCCTGGGTCTTCAGCTCATGGTGCTTGGGGTATTTGGCAAAAAACCCCTCTGGCTTGTTCTCCAGCCTAGTCACTGTGATGGCATGAGAGAAGAAAACCAAGGCAACTCGGCCCCCAGAGAACCACTCAGGGCACTGGACATTGGGACCATTCTCAGGGCTGAGATCTTGGCCTAGAGCATGCCTAGCAATTTTCCAGTCCCGAACCTTGTGGGCAAATTTGCAGTCCCAGCCAAGGATAATGTCTCCAGCACGGTACCTGCCCAACTCAGATTAGTGTTTGCTAATCTCAAGAGAAATGCACAAACTGAAACACTGCCCCAAGGGCAGAGAACTCCATCTCGCCATTATGGAAGAAACCAAGGGGAATAGTGAGAGTAGGCCCAATGTCACCATGGTCGAAGTGGAGGTCGAGAGGGAGTTTCCAAACAAGGGCACGTCCAAGCCAAGGTCCAGGGTCATGAGGGATCCAGTTCCCTGCATCAAACACCTTCTGGTAGCGTTGATAGAGATCAGGATAGAAGACCTTAAACAGAGCACCAAAGTACGCGGCAAAGGGAGCAGAGAGGGTCTAGAACTTCTTTGTCACCTCAAGTCTATCAGACTTGGGGTTTTTGGGTGTCTTGAGATCATTCTTGACTCCAATATCACTGCTCGGAGTCATTGTCTGCACAGTGTTAGCTCTAACTAAAGTACCACAGAGGCACACTCACAAAGTGAGAATCCCCTTGCTGGGTCCAGCAATGAATGAGATGGCCCACTCCGGATCTCTCATTGCTCTTCTTCTCCCGTTTGCCTCGTTGGTATCGAAAAAGGTGAGTGTTGATGTCTTCTCGATCCCCCTCGTGACGACGATCCTTTTCAGGAAGGACAGGCTGAACATGGGAGGTGTAAAACTGACAGACTGCCAGCAACCTCATCTGCTCATCAAACTAGAACAAAATCAGACAAGCAGAAGACATAGACAAGAGCAGCTCACAGTGAGAGCATCGTTCTGGATAGAGACACCCTTATTTCTCAGAATATCGACATCCCTCTTCGTGCGCCCTTCATAGAGTGATTCAATAGGGCAAGGAGTATCCCCAGGTGTGTCCTGCCCAGATAGATGAGAAACATATAGGGTAGCACATTGAAAACTCACAGTCTCAGGGCGCCTACCAAGATAGTAGAGCACCCGCTGCCCCTCCGAGTCTTCAATGATGGTGGTGCAGTCAACAGACTTCTTTGGCTTGATCTTCTCCCACTCTGCATCCATGTCAGCCAACTTCTCCTTCTTGGTGGTAGAGCTAGGATAGAGCCTCATTGGCTTTGGAAGCTAGAAGACAGGAGCGTTGGCCAAGACTTCGTGGGCTTTAGCTCGACCTCGGGCTGCCCACTCCAAGACCTCCACTTCATCATAGACGATGTGGGCAGGGTCTATGACAGAAGATGGGAGTTCATTGACCTGGTGCTGGGGCAGGAATTTCTTGAAGGGCTTGAGATGCAAGAAACACACCCAAAAAGTAGTACTCACTGGTCTGGCAGGCTTAGCAGGCCTAGCAGGCTTAACAGGCTCAGCAGGCTCAGCAGGCTTAGCAGGAGGCTGAGCAGGGCCAGGAGTCTATAGCTGTTTAGGGGGAATGTGCTGAAAAGAAGCCAAGTACTCACATAGTCTTTATCATCATCCTCATCCTCATCCTCATCATCCCCATCTACCCAATCCTCCACTCTAACCCTCTTGGAAGCCTGGGGAGGAGCAGAAGTCTGCAGCTAGTGAGTGAGTGCATGGAGAGAGAGAGAGTGCAAGATACTCACAAAGACACCTCCTATGTTCTCCTGCTGATCCAGATCCAAGTAGTCCAAGGAGGGCCTAGAGTGCTTAGGAGCCATAATGAGGGCAGATTGGTGTGCAGAGAAGAGCTAAGAGGAGATGTAGAGGCTGGATGGTGGTGGTAGGACAGAGAGATGGGCAGAGATAAGGTCCTGCAGCTCTACGCCCGTTTAAGCGCCCATAAGCGCCCATAAGAGCGCACTTCTCTAGCTGGCTTGCAGGACAGGAAGAAGACCACGAAATCAGACGATATTTGGCATGTGAGTACATCCAGACAATAGAAGTCGAATACGTCTTTTTTTATGTCGAACAACCCAAAACTGACAGAGATAGAGCATGTACAACATGTCACTCAGTCAACTTGGCCCAGATTTCGAGAATTTTAACTGGGTGACAAAACTATGCGCAAATGAGCAAGTATATACGCCCAGACCGTCGAAATCCAACACACTTTGTTTGGTCCAAATCGGACAAGAAATGACTGAGATACAGTGTACATAACACCTCATTCGGTCAACTCGGCCAGAAATTGAAACAGTCATACTGGCATATTAGACAGCGCACTTGGGCGCGATAGGTGCGCATTGAAGCGCACATTACGACACAGCAAAGTTGGAGAGATGCGTTCAAGAACTGCCTGAGATATAGCAACTTCAATGAATGCCTGGGCCGAGTCGCTGGGAAATTGAAACAGGCGTACCAGAACATTAGACAGCACACTTGGGTGTTTTAGATGCGTATTGGAACACACATTAGGACGCACCAAGTTTTGTGAGATGCGTCCAAGAACTGCTTGAGATATAGCAACTTCAATATATGTACAGGTAGAGGCGGTCAGATTTCCAGCATGGGAACAACTTGAAGGAACACAGTGAGATTTGGCATCTGGGTGTACATGGAATACCCCATTACAATGGGTGAAAAATTGTATCAAAATTATAGCAAACAACCAATATATTGGCCATCTTAGTATATCTTCAGCTCAAACCAGGCAGACTTACAAAACACTGCAGACATCTTAGAATTTGAAGGGAGCTGGAACATCTACACCAAATGCAGAAGGCATTCTGGCACATTCTATGGTGTACAATTTGAATAAAAACTGACAGATACAGAGGCCACTGAACATATAGCTTGTGCAGCCAGTGAGATGGCCTAGACTATAACTTATAGGTCCCGCTGGTCACATTACATGTGTACAACTATATACACCATCACATTATGCACCTGTCATAGCTGAGATTGTGTCAAACAGACCACATTTGAGCTTACAACAGAGGTTTGAACATATGACCTATATGCTGGAACTACTCCTATACCTCCAATACTGAATGGTTTTGAGTGCTTCTTGAACAATAGTGATGCAAACCAATGGCAGAATGCTCATGAATATAAACAGCATTTTAGGGAACTGACTAGAGGAATTACATGCGGTAGGGGCTTAGGCATATACCATAGTAGGCAACTGCCATTACATTCACTGACAAGACTCCCTATTGCTCATTTCAAGTCCGTTTTCTATGATTCAAACTACATTTAGTACCCCCATGTGGTGGTTTTCCAATGGTGTATGTTACATAAGCATATTACCAGGCACAGCACTATAACACAGTAACACTACCTAGTACCAGTTGCTGCAATATAGCAGCTGCAATACACCAGACATATCATGACAAATACCACCTGGTGACCTTTCTGACAAGTGTTCTAATGCACCTACATATGTAGTCATTGAATCAGAAAGCAGCTTATAACTGGCCATACACTGTACAAGTGGTGTTCTAGTAGTGTTACTAGAACCATTCCACCACATCTGTGTCCTGTATCACGTGACATACACCATCGGATCCGCATTATTAATGTGCATCTAACGAATCCCTAATCATCCCAAACAGACACCATCTGAGATTATAACAGCAGTTACAACACATGAGCTATATGTCGTAGACCCTATTAAACCCCACCCACTATGTATAAATGAGCACCTCTTTCATAATTGTACCAACCACTGTGAGGACTAGGTTCACAAATATAATCAGCATTTTAGGGAATTCATCTGATTTACTAGTAGGCAGATGTGGGTGTAGTAGGCAGGGGCAGGGCACTACAGCCACTGGGCGTCAAATAACTTGCGGAAGCCTCACTTTTCTGAAATCAGCCCTTCAAAAATCAAATCAATTTTGATAAATCTCGAGTATATTGCTAGTAGTAGTCCAGATAGAGTCTGACTGAAGCCCCCAAAGAGCGCCCATCTCAGTCTAGTTGAATAGGTGTAGACACTAATAGGCACTACAAAGTCTATTAGAGAGTGAAGCGCTGAGCCCAGGTGGCAGTGCAAACCCAGCGCTAGTGGAACCCTACAGAGGGACCCTAACCCAGAGCTAGGGTGATGGGAGTAAGTAGAAAACCTATGTGTGGGAAGTGGCTGTGCTAGTCAAGAGTAACAAAAATCCCAGAGACTAGCATTTTCCGTGTGTCGCGCGTCGCAGTCTGAGCCCACCCCATAAAGAATGATTCATTCGTACCTCATTAATCGTAACTTACCGATATGATGATGTAGACAAGATACGCACTTGAGGTTGTGATTGATGGGGTGTAAATACCCGCTTTTTTTATGCAATCACAACTTTGTTCTCATGCATAGCGAAGTGGGGAACTTATCTACGCAGAGTTGCACTCAGAATCTCTTTTGAAAGTAGGTCTATGTCGAACTGTATGCTGGCTTTTTGTCATCTTTGCAGAAGCCACGCTTACCGCGGGTACCACACCTGACCACTACCGCATAACCGCACCAAGAGCGCACATCCGGATGTATAATAGACCAAGGGTTGTTGTAATTGGACGCAAAGAAGTACAGTTGGACATAAGGTACAGATCAAAAGGTGCACACTCTGTGCATACGGACAGTGCAGCACATACAGAAACCTCGCCAGACAGCACAATCCGCGGCAGGAGCTCCACGCGATCGACGCACGTGCGCGCGATGCACGCACGCGCTGGTGAGGAGACCTGCGTGGGAGAGGTCGACATAAGCGACAGATCCGATGGCGCCGTGCGAAGACACTGACCTTTGCAAAACGCCCATGATCACGACTGTTCACCAGCTAGCTCACGCAGCCGCAGTGGCCCCCTCAGAAGAAGGGCCTGCAGTGGTCTGCATCCTGCCCGCGGCGCGGAGTGGAGCACGACCCGAGCGCGCGTTCACGGTGCGTGCACGAAGAGCGGCAAGGTGAGCTGCATGGTCCACCGCATTTTCCTCGTTGGCACGACCACCGCGGTTGTGCTTGCGCCCGCGCGGTATGTACCCCTTCACGCGAGCGTTGTGGTGCATGTTCTTCATATATTCCTTGACAATCCAAGCCGTCGCCCACCCATTGGTGTAAGTGTTGAGAATAGGGAAGTCCTTCGCTAACTGCGAAAGCGAACACAAGGCAAAGTGCAACCGCGAGGGCGCGAGAAGCTGTTGAGTACATGCTTGGTTTGTGTATGAGTTGACTCACTGCTTGGATGCACAGGGCGAGCCTTTGCTTGTCCTGGTGATGCCAGGTCTCTTGCCAGTTCAGACCAGCTGAATGAACGTTGCACTGGATGGCATACTATGGATCCAAACCAGCGGCAAGATGGTGAGTTTGGGGTTTATGCAATTCAAGAGTGTCGACACTCACCCGGATGTCCACCAGGTCCTGCCATTCGATCCCCATGGCCGCGCGGAGGTTGGTGGCTGCCCCATTGACGTGCGAGGGCGGCTTGGGGATCAGCTCGACAGGCTGCTCATTGTTGGTGGCACCTGCACCACCAACGTTTCCGGGCACCACAGCAGCTGCCTGTGCAGCCACAAGAGCAGCCGCATGTTCGGCCGCCTGTGCTGCGGCAGCGGTCTCTGCCGAGGTCTGCAGGGAGAGGCACATCTCTTGGAGAGCGGCAGTGGCCTCGTCGATGGCTTTGTTACAGCCATAGTGAGTGGATATGTGCACAGAAAAACTTTGCAAACATGCTCACCGAGTTTTTGAGCAGCAAGCTCGGCATTCGCTGCGGCGAGCTGTTGGGTCAATGTGGTGCGCTGCCAAACAGGTTACAGGTAAGTGATTCAGCCATGCCTTCGCACCAACACTGAAAGGCGTTACATACTGCCATAATAGAAGTTTGATAAGGATCGTCGGGACTGCAGTCGTGCGCAGGGAATATGTGGGTGGGTATTTATGATGCGGCAGAAATAATGTGCTCACGTATCGAAATAACAGGAGATCTCGTGTTGCCAGAACACAGGCGATGAAGAGTAGGAGGGAGGGAGAAGGGGGGTGGAGGAAGTGGTCGTTAAGAATGAAGAGAGACGGAGAGATGCCACGTCGTGACGCTCTGAGTCAGTGTGGCGGTCTGCTGACACGAGCAGCCTAGCTGGCTAGTAAGTGTTGCTTCCACTTTGAAGTCCTGCAAACGGGGGCTTCTGCAAATGGTTGCGCCATAGACTTACGGGTGTTGATCCCTTTAGGATTGTGTTTCAATTCAGTAATAGACGCGTGTTCCGTCTAATCTGGTGTGCTTCTTGCTGCCCACGTACTCACTCTCCCCGTTCCCTCCAATCGTGTTTCAACATGTCCTCGAACCTTCGACATATGTGCTTGTGCGGGTGCGGACAAGTCGTGACAGCCGCGACCGAGCGCAAGCACCGTCGTGGAAAGGCTCCAATTGCCATTCAAGCAGCAGCTCTTGCTCGCTCTGGTTTGCACCTTGGCACAGGTCGTCCAGGACCTCTTCGAAGATCCTCTGCCCCAATTCGACGACATAACGTCCAACCTGAAGCACTTCAAGCTGGAGATGGAGATTTCGGAGGAGGAATTGAGATTACGATTAATGAGGTATGAATGAATCGTTCTTTATGGGGTGGGCTCTGGCTGCGACGTGCGACACCCTTAGTGCGACCCGTGGGAATAAATTTTCAGACTCCGATTACTCTTGACTAGCACAGCCACTTCCCACACATAGGTTTTCTACTTACTCCCATCACCCTAGCTCTGGGTTAGGGTCCCTCTGTAGGGTTCCACTAGCGCTGGGTTTGCACTGCCACCTGGGCTCAGCGCTTCACTCTCTAATAGACTTTGTAGTGCCTATTAGTGTCTACACCTATTCAACTAGACTGAGATGGGCGCTCTTTGGGGGCTTCAGTCAGACTCTATCTGGACTACTACTAGCAATATACTCGAGATTTATCAAAATTGATTTGATTTTTGAAGGGCTGATTTCAGAAAAGTGAGGCTTCCGCAAGTTATTTGACGCCCAGTGGCTGTAGTGCCCTGCCCCTGCCTACTACACCCACATCTGCCTACTAGTAAATCAGATGAATTCCCTAAAATGCTGATTATATTTGTGAACCTAGTCCTCACAGTGGTTGGTACAATTATGAAAGAGGTGCTCATTTATACATAGTGGGTGGGGTTTAATAGGGTCTACGACATATAGCTCATGTGTTGTAACTGCTGTTATAATCTCAGATGGTGTCTGTTTGGGATGATTAGGGATTCGTTAGATGCACATTAATAATGCGGATCCGATGGTGTATGTCACGTGATACAGGACACAGATGTGGTGGAATGGTTCTAGTAACACTACTAGAACACCACTTGTACAGTGTATGGCCAGTTATAAGCTGCTTTCTGATTCAATGACTACATATGTAGGTGCATTAGAACACTTGTCAGAAAGGTCACCAGGTGGTATTTGTCATGATATGTCTGGTGTATTGCAGCTGCTATATTGCAGCAACTGGTACTAGGTAGTGTTACTGTGTTATAGTGCTGTGCCTGGTAATATGCTTATGTAACATACACCATTGGAAAACCACCACATGGGGGTACTAAATGTAGTTTGAATCATAGAAAACGGACTTGAAATGAGCAATAGGGAGTCTTGTCAGTGAATGTAATGGCAGTTGCCTACTATGGTATATGCCTAAGCCCCTACCGCATGTAATTCCTCTAGTCAGTTCCCTAAAATGCTGTTTATATTCATGAGCATTCTGCCATTGGTTTGCATCACTATTGTTCAAGAAGCACTCAAAACCATTCAGTATTGGAGGTATAGGAGTAGTTCCAGCATATAGGTCATATGTTCAAACCTCTGTTGTAAGCTCAAATGTGGTCTGTTTGACACAATCTCAGCTATGACAGGTGCATAATGTGATGGTGTATATAGTTGTACACATGTAATGTGACCAGCGGGACCTATAAGTTATAGTCTAGGCCATCTCACTGGCTGCACAAGCTATATGTTCAGTGGCCTCTGTATCTGTCAGTTTTTATTCAAATTGTACACCATAGAATGTGCCAGAATGCCTTCTGCATTTGGTGTAGATGTTCCAGCTCCCTTCAAATTCTAAGATGTCTGCAGTGTTTTGTAAGTCTGCCTGGTTTGAGCTGAAGATATACTAAGATGGCCAATATATTGGTTGTTTGCTATAATTTTGATACAATTTTTCACCCATTGTAATGGGGTATTCCATGTACACCCAGATGCCAAATCTCACTGTGTTCCTTCAAGTTGTTCCCATGCTGGAAATCTGACCGCCTCTACCTGTACATATATTGAAGTTGCTATATCTCAAGCAGTTCTTGGACGCATCTCACAAAACTTGGTGCGTCCTAATGTGTGTTCCAATACGCATCTAAAACACCCAAGTGTGCTGTCTAATGTTCTGGTACGCCTGTTTCAATTTCCCAGCGACTCGGCCCAGGCATTCATTGAAGTTGCTATATCTCAGGCAGTTCTTGAACGCATCTCTCCAACTTTGCTGTGTCGTAATGTGCGCTTCAATGCGCACCTATCGCGCCCAAGTGCGCTGTCTAATATGCCAGTATGACTGTTTCAATTTCTGGCCGAGTTGACCGAATGAGGTGTTATGTACACTGTATCTCAGTCATTTCTTGTCCGATTTGGACCAAACAAAGTGTGTTGGATTTCGACGGTCTGGGCGTATATACTTGCTCATTTGCGCATAGTTTTGTCACCCAGTTAAAATTCTCGAAATCTGGGCCAAGTTGACTGAGTGACATGTTGTACATGCTCTATCTCTGTCAGTTTTGGGTTGTTCGACATAAAAAAAGACGTATTCGACTTCTATTGTCTGGATGTACTCACATGCCAAATATCGTCTGATTTCGTGGTCTTCTTCCTGTCCTGCAAGCCAGCTAGAGAAGTGCGCTCTTATGGGCGCTTATGGGCGCTTAAACGGGCGTAGAGCTGCAGGACCTTATCTCTGCCCATCTCTCTGTCCTACCACCACCATCCAGCCTCTACATCTCCTCTTAGCTCTTCTCTGCACACCAATCTGCCCTCATTATGGCTCCTAAGCACTCTAGGCCCTCCTTGGACTACTTGGATCTGGATCAGCAGGAGAACATAGGAGGTGTCTTTGTGAGTATCTTGCACTCTCTCTCTCTCCATGCACTCACTCACTAGCTGCAGACTTCTGCTCCTCCCCAGGCTTCCAAGAGGGTTAGAGTGGAGGATTGGGTAGATGGGGATGATGAGGATGAGGATGAGGATGATGATAAAGACTATGTGAGTACTTGGCTTCTTTTCAGCACATTCCCCCTAAACAGCTATAGACTCCTGGCCCTGCTCAGCCTCCTGCTAAGCCTGCTGAGCCTGCTGAGCCTGTTAAGCCTGCTAGGCCTGCTAAGCCTGCCAGACCAGTGAGTACTACTTTTTGGGTGTGTTTCTTGCATCTCAAGCCCTTCAAGAAATTCCTGCCCCAGCACCAGGTCAATGAACTCCCATCTTCTGTCATAGACCCTGCCCACATCGTCTATGATGAAGTGGAGGTCTTGGAGTGGGCAGCCCGAGGTCGAGCTAAAGCCCACGAAGTCTTGGCCAACGCTCCTGTCTTCTAGCTTCCAAAGCCAATGAGGCTCTATCCTAGCTCTACCACCAAGAAGGAGAAGTTGGCTGACATGGATGCAGAGTGGGAGAAGATCAAGCCAAAGAAGTCTGTTGACTGCACCACCATCATTGAAGACTCGGAGGGGCAGCGGGTGCTCTACTATCTTGGTAGGCGCCCTGAGACTGTGAGTTTTCAATGTGCTACCCTATATGTTTCTCATCTATCTGGGCAGGACACACCTGGGGATACTCCTTGCCCTATTGAATCACTCTATGAAGGGCGCACGAAGAGGGATGTCGATATTCTGAGAAATAAGGGTGTCTCTATCCAGAACGATGCTCTCACTGTGAGCTGCTCTTGTCTATGTCTTCTGCTTGTCTGATTTTGTTCTAGTTTGATGAGCAGATGAGGTTGCTGGCAGTCTGTCAGTTTTACACCTCCCATGTTCAGCCTGTCCTTCCTGAAAAGGATCGTCGTCACGAGGGGGATCGAGAAGACATCAACACTCACCTTTTTCGATACCAACGAGGCAAACGGGAGAAGAAGAGCAATGAGAGATCCGGAGTGGGCCATCTCATTCATTGCTGGACCCAGCAAGGGGATTCTCACTTTGTGAGTGTGCCTCTGTGGTACTTTAGTTAGAGCTAACACTGTGCAGACAATGACTCCGAGCAGTGATATTGGAGTCAAGAATGATCTCAAGACACCCAAAAACCCCAAGTCTGATAGACTTGAGGTGACAAAGAAGTTCTAGACCCTCTCTGCTCCCTTTGCCGCGTACTTTGGTGCTCTGTTTAAGGTCTTCTATCCTGATCTCTATCAACGCTACCAGAAGGTGTTTGATGCAGGGAACTGGATCCCTCATGACCCTGGACCTTGGCTTGGACGTGCCCTTGTTTGGAAACTCCCTCTCGACCTCCACTTCGACCATGGTGACATTGGGCCTACTCTCACTATTCCCCTTGGTTTCTTCCATAATGGCGAGATGGAGTTCTCTGCCCTTGGGGCAGTGTTTCAGTTTGTGCATTTCTCTTGAGATTAGCAAACACTAATCTGAGTTGGGCAGGTACCGTGCTGGAGACATTATCCTTGGCTGGGACTGCAAATTTGCCCACAAGGTTCGGGACTGGAAAATTGCTAGGCATGCTCTAGGCCAAGATCTCAGCCCTGAGAATGGTCCCAATGTCCAGTGCCCTGAGTGGTTCTCTGGGGGCCGAGTTGCCTTGGTTTTCTTCTCTCATGCCATCACAGTGACTAGGCTGGAGAACAAGCCAGAGGGGTTTTTTGCCAAATACCCCAAGCACCATGAGCTGAAGACCCAGGATAAGCATGGGAATACTGTACTGGATCCTTGGGAGTTGTGTGAGTGTGGGTGGTCAGAGTGTGAGCGGGAGAATGAGGAGAAGTTGAAGTTGCAGCCTGTTTGGAGGGCTGAGGGGAGACTAGCCACCAGACTCAAGGGCAAGGGCAAAGGCAAGGGGAAAGAATGAGTTTTATTTGAAATGTATCCTATATACAGAGTAACTAAAACATTTGGAGGTATCCAGACTTGGGAAAAGAAAGGATCAATAGGGAACTTACTTCAACACATCTTGTATGTGTTAGGGCATGTGAGCGTGCTGTGGGGGGAGGGGATGGGCAGCACGGAGAAGGGAAGGGGCAGGGGGCTTACTGGGAGGACGACCGGTGCCGCGGTCTTGAACCGTGGTGCCGGGATACGAATTGAGGGGCCGAGGACGTCCATTGGGACTTCCTTGGCGCGTTGAGGTAGTCGTGGAGGTGGTCGGACGGCTGGATGGGGAAGTTGAGGGTGGTGAGGAGGAGGAGGAGGAGGGCGGGCAGCGCGCGTGGACGGCCGTAAGGCAGCCCGTTTTGCGCGCGGGACATTGGTGATGGGCGAGGAGGGACGAGGGACACGCCCCGCTGCATCTTGTATGCGGTTGGGGCTTGCAGGCGCACTGTGGGAGGTAGAACGGGGCATCGCACAGGAGGAACGGGGCCAGGGGCTCACCGGCAGACGACGAGCGCCGCGGTCTTATACCGCGGCGCCAGGATGTGAATCTAAGGGCCCAGGGCGTCCATTGGGACGCCCTGGGCGTGTTGAGGTGGTCGGGGAGGATGTCGGATCGTGGGACAGAGAAGGCGGAGGGTGGCGAGGAGGAGGAGGAGGGCGGGCAGCGCGCGGGCGCGGACGGCCGTACAACCACCCGTTTTGAGCGCGGGACGCGGGCAACGGCCGAGGAGGGACGAGGTACACGCCCCGCCGTATCTTGTACGCGGTCGGGGTGTGCGGGCATGCTGTGGGAGGATGGGTGGGACAGCGCGCAGGAGGGACGGGGCAGCGGGGCTCACCGGAGGGCGACAGGTGCCGTGGTCTTGAACCGCGGTGCCGGGATGGGAATTGCAGAGCCCAGGGCGTCCATTGGGATGCCCTGGGCACGTTGAGGGTGTAGAGGAGGTTTGATGGTGGTGACAAGGGGAAGGTGGAGGGTAGGAGATGAAGAAGGAGGAGAGTGGGAGACGCCCATGTTAGAAAGGCTGTAAGGCAGGCTTTCTTCATGGCTCCTATACCCCTCTTGCCTCCTACCTCAACCACACTGCCCTACAGCCTTCTTCCCAGTCATCATCCACCATGTCTCTCAACCATGACATTACATCAGTAAAAAACGACATGTCACCGGAGTGCTCTGGAGCCTCTAGAGCAGTCGGAGCACGGTGAGACAAGTACCCTTTTATGGAGCCGCGAGAGCTTGGCCGGCGCCTCCCAGGCACTCCAGAGACACAGCCGCTTGCTCGGCGAGCACTCTGGAGTAGCCCCGAGTATCTTCTCCAGAGTACTCTGGAGCTCTCCTGAGCACACCTGAGCCGAGCCATTTCTAGGGTGAACACCCGGTGCTCATGTAGCACACATGTATCGATCTCAAAAACAAATAATCATTGAGAGACGACTACAGCTCATACATATTGGCTAATACAACACACAGAAGCACAACAGAGGCTGCCTGGGCACGATCTACACACCAGCACCATAGAGGATTTTGATTGATCAAAAGGAGCGTGGATGGTACAGGCCTATCTCTCTCCCGAACAATCGACACTTACCTTGATGGGCGCGATACACTGCACAATCTTCCATCCCATGTCCCACTCCTCCTTCTCCCGCTCACCGCGAGGTGACGATTGACCCGAGACCGCCCTGTCTTCATCCAGCTCAAGAGCGGAATACGAACGGAACGGTGGGGTAAGCTGTGTGCGTAATATCAGCAAACACTCACGTAGAGTGGTGAGACAGAACGTACCAAAGGACGAGGTGACAGCCTTAGACTCGTGTGAGCCGAGGACGACGATGCGCCCGACAATGTTCACCGTGAAGAACGTGCTGACGGGGCTGGTCTGCAAACAAGAAGCCACAGTTAGCGCTGATCCTGAGACGAGGTGCGAGGCGTGACGTGGACGGTTACGCACCTTGCCCTCCGGGTCCGCGGGTACTACCACGATGTCGCCAAACATGACCATCGAGCTCAGGTCGCCGTTGGCCTCGCAAGTAAGGGCTTTTGGTACGCGGTGCTTCTTGCCACTGACGATGATGCAGGCGTTCTGGCAGACGAACGAATCAAAGGCCTCCGCGGTGGACGCAGTGTACTGACCTGTGAATCGTGATGCGTTACTGAACGATGTTCTCGAGGTCGTGGAGGATATGGTGCGTGTAGAAGGGTAGGCACGAGAGACGGGGTGCTGATGGAAGGGACGAGGGAGAGAGGGCTGCGAGGGATGGAGATGGACTGCGGGAGGTAGGGCTCTGAGTGCGGGAGGCGACGACGTCAATGTATGGTGTACGTTACATACCGAGATGGCGTCAAGACCCGGGCGCTGACGCATCTTTCTGTTCAAAGCGGGGATGGTAAGCCGTCGTCCTTCCGTGTCCTGTTCTTAATGAGTTTGGTTAGCAGGCAGGGTGCGCGAGCCCTCGTTGCACTTACATGACAACATCGGGAGGAGAGACGGGTAGAGACAGCGAGGAGGAAATAATTGAAGACGACCGAGAGCCGCGCTGCTGGCGGTGGGCGGTGCCGCCCAGAGGTCTGTGCGTGGGAACAACCTTCCACAACCTGTTCTGGCGGACTTGTGTTCAAGCACTCAAGTCTCTGACCGTTTGATTCCCTTCCCTATGTAAGTACTGGCTGCGAAACTCGCTATTATTTTATTGGTCTCCAGTGGCAGCAACCCAGTTTTGTTGCCCCGTTGGCCACTCGCAAGATGTGTGCGCTCGACTGCGTTCGTCTTTCTCACGGCTACAGCCAGGACTCGTCCTTCCCCCGCCGCCCGCGCAACCACTTCAAATGAGTGTTGCCAAAAACGCGCGACTGGCACGTTCTGAGCAGCTGTACCAGTCACCGGTTTTATTTTTCGTTAATATAACTACCAGAGAGCCCACGTTGTATCACGCCGGTGCGGGAAGACATATGAGAGCGTATATACGAGTTTCGTGCACTATACTCACGCGTTACCGCTTGTATCGGAGGATAATATCGAGGACTCTCATGCCACCACTGTAGCACTAGAGACCTCGAGTGATCCTGGTCGTGGCTCTCAAGACGTCGTTAGCAGTCACTGCTACTCTGGAGAGCTCCAGAGCACGCTTGCGCTACTCGAGAGACCTCGGTATCATTAGTCATCGCGCGAGGGTCCTCAAGCGCCCTCCCGGTCATCATTGGCGGCAAGGGAGTGATGCCGAGTCCGGGCCGGGGCTCTGGCGCACAGCGCTTTTTCCTGATGTATTCACGCTGTCTGCACCTACCTTCCCCCCTCCTCTGTTGTTAAAGTTGCACAAACCTCCAAGACCATGTACGAAGTTGCTATGCGCCCAGCATTGGCCACCGTCCACCTTCAAGAGTGGTACAACAAAAACAAAACCAATGCTCTAGCATGGGTGCAGTGGCTTGTTTCCATCCATCCCTACCTTCCCTATCCTCCATGCCACTACATCAAGTCTCTTATCACTCCTGAAAACCCCGATCTCATCCCCCATTCAGTTCTCCATGGCCTCTTCAGCAGCTCACCAGGTCTCTCTGAGCTTGTGGTTCTCAACCCTGGAGAGAACCTCCACATCATCCACATCTCCTTCATTTTCAAGTTAACTACCCTCTCTTTGACCTCCACCACTCTCCCCAGTGTTGCCACACTCACTCCCCTCCTCTCTGAACTTCCCCGTCTCTCCTCCCTGTCTGTGTCTCTCCAGGATGGCACCATCCCATCTGACATTACAGCTGAAGACTGGGGGATTCTTCATTCCTTCATCCTCTCCCTCTCCAAAGTCACCCAACTCTCTTCCCTATCCTTGTCAGGATATAGAAGCGAGTACGTGCAGGCTTTTGAGTCTGAGTTGGCGGATTGGATGGCCATTGAGACACTTGGTGTTCAGTCTCCTCTTTTAGACCTCAACCATCTCAAGTCCCTTGAACTCTGTTTGTGGCAGCCGTCTTTGGTCCCTCCTACCCCTTCCCTTCTTCATCTCTCTGTCTACTGCGACAGGACCTTTGCAGTCCTGTGGGCTCATCTCTTGCCCCACCTTCTCACCATCAATATCGACTTCAACCTTGATCCAGATTTTCAATACATCGATAATGATGAAGACCGTTCCTTCTCCCACATTGACTCCCTCTGATTTGATCAGACCTGGTTCATCCCTTCCACAGAAGCCGACTACCAAGGCGAGGAGTTGCCTTTCGCTATTCTCGATCATATCAAGTCCTTGGCCTTCCTTTCCTTCATTGAACTCTGGTGGGAGGATGATGAAGATAGTCTCACTGTCCCATGTGAGATGCTTACCAGAGCAGCGGAGTGCAAAGTCAGGTCTCTAACAATTGAGAACTTCGTGGAGCAGAGTCGAAGTAATTTTGATGTCATTTTGGTATGTTTCTCAGCACCCATCTCTGATAGATTCTTACATTTATGTGTAGTTCATTCTGGCTGAGAGGCTCTCTCCAGTTCCTCTCATCCATCTCAGCATTGGCTTTTCTGTGGACCTGTTTGAAAGGCTCAACATGGATGGTCAGATTGCTTGCAAGAAGCTGGCTGAGGTGCTAGTCAGAGCCATCCCCACCCTGGAGGTTCTGCAGCTGGAGATTTCTGAGGTGCAGAGGAAGAAGGACAAGATGGAGGGCGCAGGAGAGGCCAACCTATGGTGGAGAATCCAGCGTCAGGATGAGGTCATTCACTTGGAAGAGATCTGGAGTGATGTGGGGGAGGCTGCAGGGCTCGGACGACATCAACATCTCGTCGTCCGAGATCACGCTCGAGTCCTATGATGACGATGCTCTGTCCATCAGCTCGTTGTCTGAGGTCTCGTACTAGGTATCACTTACGTTTTGGTTTCTTGATCTTGACGGACTATCGTAGCGTACTTTCACGATAGTCGGAGGGCGTATGAGGCGGTGAGCACTCACATGATCATTCTCATGCACCCTGATAGGGCGCCTCTCACCTCGTACTCATATTCCTCTCCGCTTCCTTCTTCAGCTCTCCCGAGCTGACTCTGATACCGTACATATGACTCCTTCTGATTCTTACCTACGGTATCTCTTAGTATATATAGTAGCACAGATGTAGGGGGTGACCCCCAGTGTTCCTCAGAACCAAGACTTACACCTGTCTTCTCTCGTGTGAACCTCTTTCCTTATCTGTGTCGCGTCACCGGCTCTTCCCGACCGCGAACGCGACAGTGGATAGACTTACTCCTCAGTCAGTGATAGAATAACTGAAGAGCAGTGCGAGCCGGAGTCCTCCCTATATACTGTCCAGGAGTAGCATACATAAGCAGTGATGGGAAGACATGAATGGTGCAGAGGTCAGACCAGACAGAAGGTGGTTACAGGGCTGTGTGGGCTGTGCGCTCAAAACAAAGAAAGTCCCTAAGTGGAACAAGGGAACAAAGGAGAAGTGTAGAAGAACGGAAACAGAGAGATATGGAACAATAGGGCAGTGTAGCTACATGTGGAACTACAGGAACTATCTCAGTGTCCATATGCACATGTGAACTGTCCATATGTACCAGTGTTCAGTATCTGATGTTCAACATTAGGCGCTTATGATGGTTGCAACTGTCTAGACTGGGCATGTCAATCACAGTTGAGTCCAGAGAACTGGAGCTACTTGATCTTTGATACTACTGATGTGACAGATGAAAGCAAAATACATCTATTAATGATACAACAGCGAGCCAAATCCAGACCCAAACTCGATCCAATCCAGTCCGACCCTATCAAATATGCAGTGTGCGAGTGCTACCACTGACTCGGCCTGTCGGAACCGATACGGATTGAGTACATGGAGGGAGATAGGAAGGTAGGGGAGGGAAAGGAACCGACGCACGCACCCAAACGTCTCGCCCGGCGGCGGCACGCGCAGCGGTGTGCCGCGCCAGTCCGCGGTGCGCTTGTACACGGTGTTGCCCCACCAGCTCTGGACCGTGCCCGCGCCGATCTGCCCGTTCTGCGGGTACTGCAGGCTGCGGGGCGTGTCAGGTCGTATCGGAGACGGCGCAGGGTAGGGTACGAAGAGGACGCACATGAAGTAGACCAGGATGGTCGAAATCGCGGTCCCGGCGTCGAGCGCGGCGGAGAGTACGTCTGGCGCACACGCGGAGGTGGTATCAGCTCGAGCGGAGGGGTGGAAACAGACAAGACGAGGAACAACGTACAGTTGTACTTCGCCCACAAGGGGAAGTGGCGCCGACGGACGACATACTGCGAAAGGAAGCCGAGGAGCACCCATGGAACGTAGTTCACCGCGGACGCGGGAGGGATGAGCCCGATGCCCGTGAACATCACCCTTGTACGAGCAGGGGGCGCGTCAGCCATATCTTGCGTGGGCAGACAAGGGCACTCACGGGAAGCTACAAGTAAGGTTCGCTGTTAGTATCGGCCGCCGTGAGTGCAATGCGGCGAAGCCAAACGTACTTGATGTAGTTTAGCCACGAGTCCGGATAGCGCTTGCTTAGGAGCCAGACGACGAGCGGACAGATGGCGCCCACGATGAAAAAAAAGAGCAGCGCTGTAAGGGGCCCACATTAGGGAACCTCGGACGCGGTCGCCGCAGGACAGGGACGTACGGCTGCCAGTCGCGCTCGTCAGTAGTCTGTGGTAAAAGAATCTAGTGGCACACGCACTAGTAGAGCTGCGACTTCGAGAACTGCAGCGTGGGGCCAATGACACCGAACTAGGAAGGCGGATCAGATTGAATGGGTGTTTTTGCCGCGCAGCGGACTCACGACCACGGAGGCTGTCGCAAAAACCTAAAATAGAGTGTGGATTAGCTCTCGCGCAGCCGAAGCGAAGACGGGCGTGAATATGTACCTCGGTGTTCGGGCAGGTGAAGCCGGCGCTGCGGGGGGAACAGAATCAGGGGTAAAATAGGCCATACAGAAGACCAGGTGCGTACATGTCTTTCTGCACGGGCTCGCATATGTGTCTGGACTTGGGAGTCAGAGGAAGAGAACGCATTCGGAGGTGAAAACCACTCACGGGATATTGGAGAACATCCTACGGCAGTCGTGTGAGCAAAACCACACGCCGAAGAGCGAGTAAGTTCACGTACCAGTTCTCGACTCCAAGTTGCGTCGTTCCCGCGACCACGGTTGCGATAATCTTCCGGGACATGAGAGTCTGGTGGTGGAAACGGTGCAATTGTGGACACGCACCTGGCACCAGAACATAGGTCGTGGAGGAATCTTCATGTAGTGCCCGAGCTTAAAATCCGATGTGAAGATCATTGCTGCGATGACGTCGTGAGCCCTCTTGTCGAAGAACATGAACGCGCAAGAACAAACATAACGGCACGTACCTTGCGACATTGTGATGTATCCCCAAGTCTGCGAGTGATAGGAAGTCAGTCCTGTATAATATATCTGCGGAAGTTCCACTGACTTTGAACATCATCATGGCGATTGGCCGCCCAGGCAGCATGTAGCCAATGATCAGCTCGGTGATGACACTGAAAAGAGGTTAGCAGCACGACCTTGCCGAGGGTCAGGGAAGACGCACTTCAGTCCAACCTGGCGGTTAGTAATGGCCTGGATCATGCCTGGATCATGCCATTAGTGGTACCCACGCTCGAATGAGGAGCGCGTTACCTATGGGAACGAGGTAGACCTGTATTTGTCTCAGCGATGTGTTCGATGAGTCGAACATATGCAGCTCACCATGGCAATGAGAAGCGCGACGATGAGAGCCCAGATCGTCATCTGCGTCGGGTAGAGCTTGATGCAGAGGCACGCAAGGGGAAATGTAGCGGCTTCAAGAACGCAACACATCAAAACCCGATGACACTGTCAAATGAACTTAAGCGTACCTAGTATCCCAGCATACCACCACTCGGGGACTACAGGTTTCCCGCGAACTTCAGAATTATGGACGTGGCGGAAGGGAGTGCGGCCAAGCGTACCTTGGGGATACACAGTCATCAGTCGCGCATGGATGTCCGGCTGCTCCGCGAGGGAGCGGTAGATGTGGATGCTGATGGGCTTGCGGAAGTAGAGGATAGCGTGGACGATCGTCGCGGTAATCGAGGCGAAGGCGAGGCCGTACGAGATTGCGAAGGTCGCGCTGTACGAACGAGGGTGAACGTGTGAGAACGTGGAGAAGAAGCCAAGCTGCGGGCAAAAACGCACGAGAGGAAGAGGGGGCTGTACTCCTTGTAGGCCTCCATGTTGAATGTCGAGTCGTCATTCAATATCCGCGATAGATTGTACGGCCGGCCTAAAAAGCGCACACATCCGACAGTCAGTTTGGTAGGCCGAGACGACAGACGACGGGTCAGTCGCACCAGTGTTGTCATACGGTCCCAGAGCGGATATACTGCACGGAGTGTGAACGAAGCTCGCCAAGCTCAAGGAATGACTCAACGCACGGCAGGTATTGGGTATACCAAACGTTCGTAAACTGGCGCACAACACGTGAGCACGCCAATCGCAGCCGTAGACGGGAAGGTCGAGGTACACACATAGATAAGGGGTGCCAAGAACCCTGCGTGGCTCGCTATCAGCAGCCCGTGACGCACATAGAGCGGCCGAGGCACTCACAATAGAACGCGAAGAATCCGGCCATGACATTAGCCTCCGCCCACCCTGGATGAACAAACGTGAGCGCGAGGGCGGGGGGCCACGAGTGGGGACGCACATGGCGTGACGAGCGGGCTCCCAATGAACGCGATCTGGTTCCAGTCGAAGGTGAGAAGCGAGAAGCCCATCCCGCTGTGGTACCTGCGGCGCGAATGAGCACGGCGGATCGCATGCGGGCGGGAAGGCGGCGCACCCGAAGAGTGCATTGACTTTCTGCGGAGTGGGGTTTCAGCGGTGCACGGCGGGCGGAATAGCGGAGGTTCTAACCACATTACTAGGCGCTATCCAACAGGCCTAGGGCGACAAAAGCGCGTGTTCGGAATCGACAGACACGGTCTGATGGAACACTTCGACGCACCCATGTGAAAACGCTGTGCGGAAGAATATATATGAAGACACGCAGCGCGAGCACGTGGCGATACAAACGCACCTCAGAGCCTGGAAGAGGTAGCCTGGAACGATGTCTAGACAGAACGGGTGCGTCAGATTGTGTCTTGGCTGGTGAGCGCACGCATGTTGGAGACGCACACCACACGGCGGCGGCGATAAAGGCGAACACGAAGAAGCGCTCGCGCGAGATGCCGGTCTTGGGGTCGAGACTGATGCCGGAGTAGCTCTGTGAGTGAAGGGTGTTGAAGAGGGCGCAGGTCACCAAGGTGTTAGGCCAGACTAACAGGTGGTTAGTCTGGTGGTGCGGTGGTCACAAGTGAGAGAAACGCACTCATAGACGCTGGCGCAACAAGCTAGTACCAACCGCGTTAGCGCCGCATTGAAACGAACCAACGGTCAATAGGAAGAGCACTCACCAATCTGCGACCAAGACCGCCGACGGAGAAGCCGATGAGCTCGGAGAAGTCAGCCCCAAACGCCTAACCGTCGAGGAACGGAGCACGGATACCTGAGTAGACATAACAAGCATCCATTGATCTGGCCGAGGTGGTTAGCGGGCGTTGGCGCTGCGCGCGAGAGAGGCTCGAGCTCACAAGCAAAGTTGAAGTCCTGATGATACCACACACGCTGAACGGCGACGATCTCTGTCTGTGGGGGCGGGTCGGAGGCGAGCGTGAGAGGGAGCGGAAATCGCACGCACCGCATAGGCAGCCTGAGCGCCGACCCCGGCCATGATCGTTATTAATACCTAAAGACCAGAGGGTCAGTACTCTGCGCAGAGAGGGCCTGAAGTGGAAGGCAAACGTACGTGTTCCTTAATCGTGAAAAGGCCCGGATTGAACGCGACGCCAAAGACCGTCCACTGGGGCATCCAGCGTGCCCAGGCGCGGCCGAGCGGGAAAGAGAGCAGCTGGGCGACAATCTGTCGGGCGGCGTCGTGAGCGCGCGCGGACGGGCGGGCGGAAGAGTGGATATATGCGGGGAATACGCACGCTGGAGACGGCGAGGGAAGGGTAGCGGAAATAGTAGAACTCGTTGATTCCGGGGATGATTATCGCCCAGAGAAGGCCGAGCACCCAGGCCCGAACGGTGTTCACGGGCATGTCGGGGTCGTCGTAGTTTGCGACCGCGGAGCGGACCTCGGGATATGGCGAGTCGTCCTCTGTGGACGTGGAGACATGAGGGGTGCAGGGCGCGGGACAAGGCAGAACGTGTACGCACCGACCCAGGAGATATCCGTGTCATAGTTTGGGTCAAAATAACCGGAGGCGCCGGTGCGGTCGGAGCGTATGGATTCGGTGTCATAACGGCGTGAACCTGGGGCGCGGGACGAGGAGGTGGACAGTGTGAGGGGCGCGAGGACGAGGAGCAGTGAGAGAGCGCGGAGAAAGCGCATATGCAGAAAGAGGACGTACGTATTGATTTTTCGCGGTCGTAAGTGGAGAAGGAGGCTATTGAGGGAGCGGCGTGACGGCCGTCCTCCTCGACAGCTGGGGGCATCTCATGCCAGGAGCTGGAGGAGGACGACGCGGTGGGGTCTTGTGGGGCAGACGTCGTGAGAAGCGGCGGAGGTCCCCGGAGGGTGTCCGAGCGAGGGGATCCGCGAAGCGTGTGCAGAGCAAGAGCTCGAGGGGGCGGAGACTGAGAGCGAGGTCGCGAGATACGGGTGGGCGCGAGAGGGAGAGAGAGCGGAAGGAGGAGTAGAGGGCACCGGAGAGTGCTGAGGGCGGGGGTGGAGAGGGCTCGCGCGCGGCGGGGACGGGGTGCGCGGAGGGAAGCGGAGAGGAGGCGGGGGCTGGGAGTTGGCTGGGAGAAAGCGGGGGTGGGCGGTTCGTGGGGGAGGACATGGGGAGGAGGAGAGAAAGAGGCCACGTGCGAGATAACGCCGGCGGGCCAAGGTCCGGGGGTGAGCGCTCGTCTTCCAGCCCCTCGCCGTGCGCGCGTCGCTCGCTGTCCTCGCCGCGCGCAGTGGTTGCGTGGGCGCGCAAGGAAACGGTGAGGACGGTGGGGAGCTCTCGCGCGCGGGGACCGTGGACGGTGCGCGACGAACGATCGACCGAGGTGCGATCCCCGATCTCGGTCAGGCACGCTCGCGCGATAACAAGAGTCACACTAGTGTTTGTATGTCGTATTTACAGACTGTTTAGATCACCATAAGCCGTCCAAAGTCCAGCGTCGCCTCCTCAATCGACAGCTTGCGGACCACCAGAGCCTCGACAATCAGCCGGCCCTCCCGCTCGCCCTCCCCCGCGTTCACCACGTCCACGACGACGACCTCCCCCACCCCTCCCGGCACTCCCGCGCCCTGAGTCCCCGTTCCCAGCCCCCCGTCCGCTCCCACTCCCGCCCCGGCCTCGTTCTCACCCCCTCGCTCGTGCTCCGCCATCGCGACCAGCGCCGCCCTCCTCTCCTCCCGCTTCCGGTCCCGCGCGAGCCGCCGCAGGGCCGCCTTCTCCTCCTTGCTCTCCCCGCTTTCCTCCGCGTGTTCACCCGGCGACGACGGCGGAGCCTGCTGCTGCTGCCACGGGTGCACCTTCTTTTCCTTGTTCTTGTTGTGCCGCTTCCCGTGCCGGCCCGCCGTCGCGCCCAGCGCCGTCCCCTCCCGCGCCCGCTGCCGCACAGGCCGTGGCTTGAACACCGCCGCGATCTCGACGCCCGCGAACGACGCCCGCTGCGTGCCCCACGCCGCCCCGACTACCTCCAGCTCGTCGTCCGCCAGGGCCCCCGCGAGCGCCGCGTCCACCGCGTCCTCGCGGAACGCCGGCTCGGGCTCCATCGAGAACAGCGCGAGGTCGTCGTCGAGCGGCGTGATCGACGGCGAGCACTGCGCCGTCGGCCACGCCGGGTCCGAGCGCAGGTGCCGGTGCGCGATCGCCGCGGGCGTAACGAGCGCAGGGGTCCCGTCCCCGGGGGTCTGCAGCGAGCTCGAGAGCTCCGAGAGGTCGTCCAGGTCCGCGAACTCGGGCGCCGACGATTCCCCGTCCGTCTCCCCGTCCGTCAGAGTGGTCGTCGAGGTCGAAGTCACAGAGGTGGAGAGCTCGCCCGAGGGGGCGCCGCGCCGGCGCATCTTCCGCGTCCACTCGCCCGTGTCTGGGTCCGTATACCCGCTCTCGAGATCCGCGAGCGCAGCGACGGTGGGCGGGACTTCGATCTCTTTCACGACGATGACCGATGCGCCGATCTCGCCGGCCATCATCTCGAGCGTCCCGAGCGACTCTTCGAGGTCGGCGCGGGTGAGGCCGATGAGCGCTCCCGAGTCGGCGACGCCGAGCTCGTAGTAGGCCTGGCCGCCGCCCTCGAGCAGGCGCCATTTGAGCTGGGTGACGAGGCGCGCGAAGCGGCCGTTGGAGATGTTCGTTAGTTTCAGCTTGTACTCAATGTTGCCCTGTGGCGATGCGTCAAGGTGAGTCACAGCTGGAGAGGGGGTGGGTACGCACCTCCTCGACCTCTGGGACGAGCTTGGGGATGCCGTTGTGCAAGGCGGGACTTGCGAAGGGAGGCGAAGGGCTGACGGTGGGCGGGGAGGGAAGGAAGGGGTCCCATGGGCTGGGGACGCGGGGGCTCTCTGATTCGTGCTCACCGAACATGGTGGTGTGCTATTTAATGGGTGTTGATTCGCGAACGTTGGGGCTTAAAACGATATTCGAGTGATCATTGTGTGTCGACCGGGGCGTGTGCTGGAGGCTGGGGGAATACAGGATTCCGGTCTGGGGGTATTCTGGCGGGCGCGGTGCTCAGCAGGACATGGTGGGGAGAGGAAAGCAAGCGGGCGGAGTCAGACTGAGAGAATGTGCGGGGTAACGCCACGTTCCGGTCACGTGTGCTCGCCCTCCTCCTCCGCGTGGTTCGGACTGGGCCTTCACCGTTCGTCAGGCACCTCCCCACCTCCTCCACGCCACCATGCCTCCTCCAAATCCGACAGCAGTGAGTGCGACGCTTTTTAGGGACGTTTAGATGCTCATTTACGGTCATAGACCACCCTGAAGCGCATACACCGCGAGATTGCCGACCTCAAGAAAGAGGACCTCGGTCCCATCCAGCTCGCCCCCACCGACGACGACCTCTTCCACTGGACCGCAACCATCCCAGGCCCCGACGGCTCCGTGTACGAGGGCGGCATATTTCATGTGGAGATCATCCTCGGACACGACTACCCGTGCGCCTCTCCCCCTTCCCCGTGGTCGTGTGCTCACCGAGAGTGTGCGCGTAGATTCTCGGCACCCCGTATGGTCTTCCGCACACGGTACGTTGGAAAAACGCTCCCCGCATTGGCTCCCCGGCTGATTCCAGCAGCATATACCACATGAACATCAACGAGCGCGGCAGCATCTGCATCGACATCCTCAAGCACAACTGGTCCCCCGCACTCTCGCTCTTCAAGGTCATCCTCTCCCTCTCCTCCCTCCTCACCGACCCGAACCCCAGTGCGTGCCTCCCCGTCCTCTATTTGCGCATCTACACGTCCTCACCCCTCACGCTCCAGATGACCCACTAGGTGCGCGCCATACGCCCACACGGCCCAAGCGCCAAGCTGACCCGAACCCCACCCCGCGCAGTACCCTCGATCGCAACCGAGTACGTCCGGAACCGCGTGCAGCACGACCGCGAGGCGCGCCGGTGGACGGAACTCTACGCCCGGCCCAAGGCGTCCGACGACAAGGACAAGGGTAAGGGCAAGGGCAAGGGCAGGGCCGCCCCGGCTCCCGCGCAGCGGACGTCGGCGCGGCCCGCCGGCGCAGGTGCGTCCGTGCTCGTCATCTCGGACGACGAGGAGGGCGCGGCCCCGCGGAGAACGAGGGCGGCTGCGGCTGTGGCGGCGACGGCGACGGCAGGGACGAAGCGGAAACGGGCGGCGGTGGCCGACGGCGAGGTCGACATCGACCTTTCCAACGACGATGGCGGGGGCGGGCCTGCGCGGGCGACGCGACGGGCACGGACAGGTGCGCCGGGGGAGGTGATCGTGATCGAGGACGAGGACTAGCGGGGGCGGGCTCGAGTGCTCGTGGTGCGTACGTTTGGTGCATACGGGCCGTGCGGAGGCGGCGGGGTAACTCATCATCTGTAACTCATCTCGCGAGAGGCTTCATTTCGCTGCGGCTTTGACTGGAGGGTGCGTGGGCTGGATGCCGGACCGGGGTGCGGGTCGCCACACAGAGCGTGCAGGCGTTGTGAGTATGGCTTGCTGGATCCGCTCCTTCCTTTCACGCACGACTCGCGAGGCCGCGCGCGAGTCCGCGAACGGGGAGACTGTCTCGCTACCCAGGTACTCGGGCCGGGGCCGCCTCCAGCATGTCCTCCTCACCGCCATGTCTTCCTCACCCGTCGCCCAAGAGGTGCGGCAGATGCTGCCTGCATATTCCTGGACGTCGTGAGTCTCTCAATGTTCGTCGTCCAACGCTGACCATTGCGCGCAGCGATCTCCAAGGGCACGGCGGACGACCCGACGCCATTCACGCCGCCGCCCAGGGCGTTTGGGCACATCCTCGGTCTCATTCCCCTCCCCGTCGCCTCCATCGCCACGAGCGGCACGAATGACCCCGTTCTCGACGGCGTTCTTGCCATAAGCCTCGTCATCAGGCGTCTCCCCCTCCCATGCTCCGGTAGATCTTCCAATGGACGCTCCGCTGTCGGTGTTCTCGGCGGCGTCTGCCAGTTCAACACGAACGACGCCCACTCGCCTTCTTCCCCCGCAGCCAGCCGCAGCCGTCCGTCCGCTTCCTCGCCTTATTGCTGACGCTGCGGCGGATCTCAGGTCTTACCCACCCCATCGGAAGACCAGGCACGCGTAAGCGGACCCGCCTTCCCGGGCTGGGCCGGAGCGGGGGGATGGAAGGGAGTCTGTGGTCAGGCATAGGGCCATTTGGTGATTGCGCCGGTGTCTTGCCTCCTGTAATAAATTAAATCAAGCACCACCGGCGAGTTACAATCAGACAGACAGATGGCGATATCTATTGATCTGGAATGTCAGTACAATAGCCTTGTCGTGCGTCCGGTCTAGCCATCTTTAACCCAATGCTCGAAACCGAAACAGCGCGCGAGCGAAAAGACCTCCCTCCGTCCGCACTCAAACCGCAGTCACCTGGGAGCTCGCGCTCGGCGCCGCGCACTTCTCCCGCCCGGCCCATGTGTGCGCCTTGCCTAGCAGCCGGCCCGGGTGGAAGACGTTGAGCGTGAACAGTGCCAGGAGTATCGCACCGCCGTCGAGGGCGTCTGGACGTGAAGCCGGGCAGTCAGCGCCAGGCAAGGGGGGCTAGGACCGGGACTGGGGCTCACTGAAGTAGACCTGGGTGGTGATGATGCGTCCGGTCCACCCGTCCGACAGTTCCTGCGCGCAGTCAGTGAGAAAGTGCCCGGACGCGGCCGGCGCAGCGGGGACGTACGATCGTGCGGTAGATGGACCGGATGAGGATGAGCACGCCGTCGAGCGCGAGCGCGAGCAGCATCAGACGGACCGCCGCCGCGAGCGCGGGCCGCTTCGTCTCCATCGCAGAGACGGCGCGCACGGGGCGGTCGCGGAAGTAGCGGACGAGGAACTCAGAGGCGAACGCGAGGTAGACGCAGACCGCAGCTGAGGGGGATCAGGTTTAGTCAGGACATGGGAAAAATGGGCGCGGGCTCGTCGGGCTCGCGTCAGCGAGGACGGGTACGCACCGAGCTGGAACGCGATGCCACCGAGCATGACATTTCCGCCCTGGGTGGTGGGATGAGGGTCGTGGCGGGGATCCAGCGACGGGTGGGCTTACGGAGCTGGGGTTGTCGCCGTTCTGGGCGGCGATGGAGGCTTTGGCGCCGCCGACGGCCTGTATGACGAGGGCGATTATGTCGCAGGAGATGAAGATGATGGTGTCTGTCAGAGAGCGAAAGGGTGTCAGCGGACGGACTGCGGAGATGAGCTCGGGGACGGACACCACCAAGCACTGAGACGGCTGTACTGTTGTCCGAGACGTCTAATGATCTGACCAAGGACAATAAAGCTTGCAGCGATAAGCATGGTGGGTGCGATGATGGTCGTACTGATTCTAAAAGGAGGGCGAAAGGTAGTCGGAATCGGGGGTGTGGGATGGGGAGGGGATATGTACGGACTGCATGAGGAAAGGGTTGAGGTTTGTGGGGTTCTTGCTGGACCAGAGACGGCCGCTCCATCCGATGATCTCAGTGATTCCGCAGAGGACGGTGGTAGGGAGCAGCCACCAAAGCCGGGAGTGAACGGCCTGGCAGAGGTGGACCACTGCAGAGGGAGTCAGAAGGGCTGGTTGAGGAAAAGAGAGAGACAGACATGTGGAGAGAGAAAAGAGGACGACGAAGAGGATGCAAATCCACTCGGTAGGAACATAGCCATAGAGGTGAGTGGAGGGATCGCGCATCGGAGCAGGAGCTGAAGCTGGAAAGGATGACTGTGTGAGTGGAAGAGCAGAAAGGTGTGGTGTGGTGGGAAGACATACCGGCACTGGTGTTGTCGGAGATGATATACGGGCGGAGAGCAGACTAGGACGGGCCGCCGTGCGCGGTACTTGTATTCGTGCAGATGGGGCACTGTCCGTCGAGGGCAATGAAGGCCAGAGAGGGCGTCGGCCCCTGCGGAGTGCTGGACGGGTCGAGAGTAGGTGCACAATGGGTGCGGTCGGCGGCTGCCTTTCGCTGCGCACGTCATCCTGGGCAGCGCGCAGCTTGGGCGAGACAGAGGCCGCAAGTCGCGGGAAGTACTTTGCAGTTGCAGTCTGTCCTGGGGGGCGTCCGTTGAGGATCGGAGAGTGTCTGCCAAGAGGACTTCGGCTGCTGCGTACTGCCAATGAGTCGGCGCTCAAACATTCAACCGACACACGACGACGCACGTTCTCTTCCGACTCGCGTCCGTCGAGACGGCGACGCCCTGCGCAGTCATGAAGAGGACCGTGAGTCTGGTCGACTACGCTAGCTCTGACTCCGAGCAAGATGAGCCCACGACACAACCGCCACCAGCGAAAGGCAGCAGCCCACCGCCAACAAAAAAGCCAAGGTGAATCTGCCTCCGTACGGTTTGTGCTCTTGCACTCATTTCCGCAGAGGAAGCTTCCTGCTCTTTCAGCAGCCCTGCTACCCCAGGTGCCTGTAGACAACCCCGCCTTGCACCAAGGGCGTAAACGCACCGCTGCCCACGTCGAGGGCCAGTGGGCAGCCCACGTCTACGTCCCGCTCGTCGTCAACCGCCGCTCAAAGCTCTTTAAGCTGCTCGTCCGAATATACTCGTCCGCCAAGCAGCTCGTGCCTTCCCTCCACCCCATCGGGCTCACCGATGCCGACCTCTCGCCCCCGTCGTCCGCGGGTCCCGAGCCCCCCGACAACACAATAGAACTGCACATCTCCCTCACACGGCCTACGTACCTCCGCGCGCACCAGCGCGACGAGTTCAAGCGCGCGGTGCACGCCCTCGCCCGGACGAGAGCGAGGTACGAGTCGTCCCGCGTTCCCCGCTCCGCTCACCCGAACCCACCCACTGGCAGTTTCCCGGCGTCATTCGCCGCCGTCTCCGAGCTGACGAACGACGAGCGGACACGGACCTTTCTCGCCCTCGAGCTCGGCGCCGGGCACGACGAGGTGAGTCCGTCCGTGCGCCCCTCACGCAGGCGAAGCAAATCTGATTCGCGAGCCAGCTTCGCGGCCTCTCGGACGGACTGAAGCCTACACTGCAGTCGCTCAGACAGCACGAGTTCTACGAAAAGCCACGGTTCCACGCGTCCATCGCGTGGGCGCTCCTCGACGGCTCCTCGCCGCCAGGAGATGGCCAGTGCTCGGAGGACGTCGATGCTCAGAACTGCGACTTCGTCACCATCCCCTCCTTCCCGCCATCGCTCGTCCCGCAGCTTCAGAGAGAGTTCTGTGGTGAGCTGGTCAAACCAGGGGTGGGCACCTTTGAGGCCGACGAGCTGCACGTTCGTATAGGCAAAGAGGTCACCAAGTGGAAACTACAGTAGATACGGTTCATGATGGACAGAACCTGGGCGCAGAGCCCGCGCCCGAGCTTCAGTTTGAGTATTTACTGCATTATATTGCGCGGGGATAGCTACACGCGCGCTCAGACGCGGACGAGGACGCCCATGTACAGCACCTGGGAAACGGCAACGAGAAAGAGGAACGTGATTCGTCTCGAGCGCTGTGAGGGGTTGACTGCCGCGGCGGTTGCAGAGGCATCGGGAAGGACCATGGAGCGCAGGGAGCGGAGCTGCGGGCGAGGGTGAGCAGAGCCGGGCCAGTCGGGGACGGCGGGGTACGTACGAGGAAGAAGGCGGTGGAGAAGAAGGTGTAGAGGAAGACGAGGAGGTAGACGCTGCTGCCGAGGCCGAGCAGCGCGCCGACGAGGGTGATGATGACGCTGCGGATAACACGTCAGTGTGTGCACTGGAGATGGAGGGAGACCACGCACCCGACGAACTTGTAGCCGCCGTAGGCGAGGAGATCGAGGACCTGACTTGAAAGCCCGCCCTGCGGAAATGGTAAGTATAGGCTCACGAAAGAATGTGAATACACACAGGGATGTTGAGGATATAGCAGCCAGCCTTAACGAAACAGAAGTCGAGGAGGACGACGGCGAGCGCTTTCGAGGCGGTGATTCCGAGAATCTCGGGGTGAAAGCGGGAGTTGAGGCCAGAGTAGAGGGCAGCGAGGAGAATGTAGGTGACGAGGGCCATGACTGCATTGAGGCGTTGGAGGCAGAGATGAACACGAGGGCTGGGGAGACTCACGAGGGATGTAGAGGTCGGGGGAGTTGATGTCTTCTCGAGGCGGGGACCACTCCGACTGGCCGTTCTCGAGCCGGCGGACGCGACGAGACCACGGGCGGTGTCTCCAGGGAAAGAGGAGAATCTGGAGCTTCTTGATGACATACGAGTTCGAGACGTTGAAGTGATGCTTGAGCATCGAGATCGGGATGAAGCCTCCCAGCTGGAGACAATTATGGTCAGCGGCTGCGGGCGCGAGGGAAGGGTGAGGTGCGCACATTCTTCTGGACATAGTCCTGGCCGGCAGCGACGGCGCTCTGGCCGAGCTGGACACCAAACGCGGCGGTCGCGTTGTCAAAGCCCCAGGAGGTGAAGTTGATTGGTGCCGCCGGGTTGTGAGGATGGGGCTGGTGCGGGGGCTGGTACGCTCCGCTCGGGGCGGCTCCGTAGGGCGGCGAGAGATGATGAGAGCCAGTATTTTGGATGGGCGGTGCGTAGGTGGGCTCTGGGGGCGAGCTGGCGTAGCGCTGATAGCCCTGGGGCGACATGGGTGTTGTTGGTGGTTCCGGGATGTATGCGGGGTGGGTGGGGACCGGGTGCTGCAGCGGGGGTGGGCTGCTGTTGTTGGTGTAGTACGACATCGGAGGAGCGGGGGCAAGGGAGCGAGAGGCGGCAGGTGGGCGAGAGCGAGGAAGAAGAGGAGAGATGCGCCCGACGGCGAAGCGGAGAGCAGGCGCAGCTGGGCGGCAGGACGGTGTCGTGGACATCACGTGCACGGGGCTGCCAAACAGAGCCACACGACAGCGCCAGCTTTTAGCAGTCTCGAGTGCCACGACTGCCTCTTGTCTGGTCTGCGCTCTCCCTCCACCGCCAGCACCGACGGGCACGACAGCATGTCGTCCTATTCCGTCTCCGTCACCAATGTCCCCGCCATAAAAAACGCCCCCCTCATTGGTCTCGCAGAGGGCAATGGCTACTTCTCCAATGCCCACCTCGCTGCCCTCGTCCTCGGCGTCCCATGGATCGTCAAGCGCACCCTCCCCGTCGTCTCCTACGGCGGCTTCAAGACCTACGTCTTCCTCGTCCTTCTCCTCGGCCTCCCCATCACCGTCTCCTACTGGATGCTCATGAGTATCTACGGCCCCCGTAAGAACCAGAAGGTTCAGCTCCCCGGGCGCAGCATCGAGGAGTACATCACCATCAAGGACCCCGAGCTCAGGGCAAAGTACTTTGGCAAGGAGAAGATTCCCATGCAGATCTTCCACGACGCCTTCTTCGACGACAAGATCGACTTCAACGGTCTGTCCGCTCTTTCCTCTCCCCTTGTCTTACCCGTCCTTACTCTCCCCTTCTGCCACGTATCACCCCAGGTGATGTTCTTGAGATCATGGAGGCGCGCCACGACTGGGCCAAGATGGTCATGACCCCCGAGCTCTTCAAATACCTCTTCACCCAGATGCTCCCCGAGGTCATCATGCACTCCAAGAGCCAAGACGAGGAGCAGGTTCGCGACCACTACGACCGTATGTCACGCGTCTTTTCGCGTCTTCTCGCGTATCTGACCTCTCTCATCCTTTACCCAGGCGGTGATGACTTCTATGAATGGTTCGTACATCAAATTCGCCTCGCATCCGTTACGCGGTTTTGACGCCCACCATCATCTTCCAGGTTCCTTGGTCCCCGCATGATCTACACCTCTGGCGTCGTGCTCGACATCACCCGCGAAGAAACCCTCGAGCAGCTCCAGGACAACAAGCTTACCATCGTCTGCGAAAAGGTGCGCTCTCCTAACCCCTGCTTGCCCATCACACGTGTCCTTACATCGTGGCCCCGGGGCTCGCCTATCAGCTCAACCTCAAACCCGAGGACCGCCTACTCGACGTCGGCTGCGGTTGGGGTACTCTCTGTGCCTTTGCCCACAAGAACTACGGCTGTGAGGTCACCGGCATCACCCTCGGCAAGAACCAGACCAAGTTCGGAAACGCTCGCATCGCGGCCAATGGCGGCGACCCCTCCCGCGCCCGCGTCCTCTGCCTTGACTACCGTGACATCCCCGGCGGCCGCGCCGCGTACTCCAAGATCGTGTCTCTCGAGATGGCCGAGCACGTTGGTATCCGCCGCTACGGCGCCTTCCTCCGCCAGATGTACGACCTCCTCGAGGACGACGGCGTGTTCGTGTTCCAGGTCGCCGGTATCCGCCCCTCATGGCAGTACGAGGACCTGATCTGGGGCCTCTTCATGAACAAGTACATCTTCCCCGGTGCTGACGCCTCTGCGTCCCTCGGCTGGGTCGTCAACCAGGTCGAGGCCGCAGGCTTCGAGGTCAAGAACATCGACGTCCTCGGCGTGCACTACTCGGCCACCCTCTGGCGCTGGTACAAGAACTGGGTCAGCAACAAGGACAAGGTTATTGAGACCTACGGCGAGCGCTGGTACCGTATTTGGGTCTACTTCCTTGCGTCCGCGACTATCATCTCCCGGTGCGTGCACTCCTTGTGGTCTAGTCGTCCGCGCGTTTCCTGACGGTCCGTGCAGCCAGGGCAGTTTCTCGGTCTTCCAGCTCACCCTGTATAAGAACCTGAACGCGACGCCCCGTATCCTCGGCGTCCCGAACCACGCCTCGATCCATGTCCACCCCGACCGCGAGATCCTGTGCGTCCCCTTTGCTCTGTCGTCTGTCTTCGCCTGTTGACGCCTGCTGCAGCTCCGTCGACTGAGCCGCCCCACGCGGCGCACAAACTAGAGGCCCCGTACGACTGGGCGTGCGGGGTGTGGGGTGTGGAACGGAGGCCGCGGCCAGGAGCCAGTGGACAAGTTACGTTACAAACGCTTAACGAGTGACGAAAGTTATCCTACCAGTCGGTCCCTAGTCGTTGTATATGCTGTGGTTAATGGACCGGGATCACATCGCTAGAAACCACGCTTTGAGTGAGACGGCTATCCTGAGCTATCTCTCGACGCGGTAGGCTTCAGTGAGCCAGCAGTACGTGAGCCTTGAGAATCATAATGAGAAAATTCCCAACAGTTAGCCCCGTATCCCCAACTTTACACTGTCGCCGCATAATCTCGTGTCATAGCGTCCTTCGTCTGAGCCTCTTTCGAGGTTTTGTGCAGGTTTTGCGCGGGCTCTCGCCCATCTGCAGGTGTGTGTGCAGCATGTCAAGCACGTGATGCCGCGCAGCCCTCGCCCGCCGTCGCGCCCCCGTGGGCGGCGCGTCTGCGCGCGGCGATTTCTCGCTCGCGCGCACGCTCGACGTGCACCACCGTGGGCCGCTTTCCGTGCTGGGCCACGGGCCGCGGCTCGATGGGAACGCGTGGACGGATGCGCTGCTCGCGCTGCTCACGGTGGTGCCCGCGCGGTGTGCACAAGCGGGTGGATGAGCTGGAACCGTACTTGGCCACGGTGGGCGCGACGGAGGACGTGAAGAGGAACGATGCGCTGCTCGCGACGCTTGCGCGCCCGACGGTGCAGCCGAGGCAGAGCTAGAGGAGCCGGCAGCGGAGGATGCTCGGGCCGCGCATAAGTATTCAGGACTCAGTGGCTGGTTAGCATTGTATATATGGCTCGAACGATTTGGATATTGGAACTGACAAAAGCCTTGAATGACTGCTGGTTGGTGTCATTAAAAACGGTACAGCGTGGGCAGATCTGCATAGCTGCGCGGCATCACGTGCTTGACATACTGGTGACACACGCCGGCAGATGGGCGAGCCAGAGCCCGCGCAAAGCCTGCACAAAGCCAGCTGCACAAAACCTCGAAAGAGGCCCGCCGATTGTGCCCTGGCCCGTGCCCCCCGTGAGATGTGTCGGAAGATACGTCGGATGATTGGGCCGGAACTTCTTTGGCCGCCCAATGAGCACATACTCTCTTTCTCGTTTCTCATCCCTTTTGCAACTGCTGTAAAGTCCCTCCACACTTGCCATCGTCCACCGTCCACACCACTACCCTCTGAGCGATGTCAAGTCGTTCCACTTCTCAACAGAAGGTGAGGGAGAAAGACGTCAGTGACCTGGCCGAGCCGATCCAGGATGGCACTCACCCGGACGACTCCGACGAGGATGACACTCACCCAGACGACTCCGACGAGGATGAAGCTGGCTCGGAGGACCAGGTTGAGCCCGACAACATCGCGGGGTCGTCCAACCTCCAAGCACCATCTCTGTCTACTGCGGAGAAGAAGTTGAAGGAGCTGCTGCAAGGCAAGTCAGACATTGGAGGGAAGAACAAGAAGGAGACTGGGGGGCACAAGGTCTGTTGCTCCTTCGCTCTCATCGCTATAGCAGTGATTGAACGCTCGAGATGCTCTAGTTCTGGGCCACCCAGTCGGTCCCACAAAAGGAGCTGCTGCAAGGCGGGAAACACGAGAACGTGACTTGGGGGCACAAGGTCTGTTGCTACTTCGCTCTCATAGCTATATCGGTCATTGAACGCTCGCGACCCTGTAGTTCTGGGATACGCAGCCGGTGCCACACCCAGGTACGCCAGTCTCTACTATATATTTCTCCGAGGTCATCAACTATGCCGCATCAGGCGAGCAGCCCCCGGAAGTAGATGGGTACATTGAACCTTCCAAGCCTCGGCAAGAGGTTCGGCAAGACCCATCTCCTCTACCCGAGGAATTCATGTGGTCCAACATTGACATCACAGACCCTGCACAGGTAAAAATCTAGAATATATGTGGGTGTGTATTCAAGCCGATTATGATCGGACTTCTAGCTGAGAGAGTTGCACGAGTTTCTCTCCGCAAATTATGTAGAGGATGATAGTGGGTTGTTCCGCTTCCAATATTCTGTAGAATTTCTCTCTTGGTATGTGGTCGATGAGAGTTCTGCGCTCTTGACATAACTTGGTTCTTCAGGGCTCTCATGCCGCCGGGCTTCCACAAAGACTGGCATGTGAGTGTCCGTGCAAACTGGAGCAAGAAGCTAGTCGCATTCATTTCTGCGGTGCCCATTAGGATGCGTGTGCGTGAAAAGTGCGTCCATCATCCGCCACTATACTTCTTCGTTTCATCAAACATCGTCCGCAGCCAATTCGATGCATGTGAAGTCAACTTTTTGTGTGTTCACAAGTCGCAGCGATCTAAGCGGTTGGCACCCGTGCTCATCAAGGAGGTTACTCGGCAATGCCAGCTTCAAGGAGTGTCCCAGGCGCTGTACACCGCGGCTGTCCTCCTGCCGACGCCAGTATCCAGCTGTCGGTGTGTATCGGCATATCTTCAATGCTGCACTCAAAGTTGACACCCCCACATAGGTACTTCCACCGCTGCCTGAACATCCCCAAGCTCGTCGACGTCGACTTCACCGACGTGCCCTCTGACATGACCATGGCGCGCATGATCCGCGTACACAAAGTCCCCGACCGCCCGCGCCTGCTCGATCACGGTCTGCGCGAGATGGCGGACGACGACGTCCCGCAGGTCGCCGATCTCTACGCCCGCTACATGCAGCGCTTCGACATGGTCCTCGTCATGTCCCACGACGAGGTCCGCCACCGCTTCCTCGGCGGGCGCGGCGCGGGCCCGCGCGGCCCCGACGCGTGGAAGACCCCGCGCTCGGGCCAGGTCGTGTGGACGTACGTCGTCGAAGACCCGAAGACGAAGCGGATCACCGACTTCTGGTCCTTCTACTCCCTGCCCTCGACCGTCATCCGGCACCCCAATCACAATGTCCTCAACACCGCGTACCTCTACTACTACGCGACCGCGACCGCATTCGAGCCCGGCGCGGAGGCGGCCGGCCGGCTGAAGCAGCGCCTGGAGGACCTCATCGGCGACGCCCTCACCGTCGCGGAGCAGGCCCACTTCGATGTCTTCAACGGTCTGACGCTCATGGACAATGTGTCGTTCTTGAGGGACATGAAGGTGCGTCTTTGCGCTGGCTACCCGAGAGCCGGATAGAAGTGGCTGACATACGCACTGTAGTTCGGACAAGGTGATGTTCTCCTTAACTTCTACCTGTACAATTGGCGCACTGCTCCTTTGGCTGGTGTGACGGGGGTTGGGGACACGGCTGCTGGCAAAGGTGTCGGGGTTGTATCGTTGTAAGCCAAGCGTTGGGTTTGGACCACGTATGAGTGTCGTCTGGCCAGTGGCCGCACTCTGTAGCTGTAGTGCACATCGTCTATCGTGGTAGACTAGCTCATATATGCATCCATACAACACGGTTACTGTCGTTGTCAAGGTGCTCAATGCATCGTACGGTCGCCGCGAGTCCATTTCAGGCGTTGAGCCGAGCCTACAGGCAACAGCCTTGGATAAGGGGACCATCCTACTACTCCGTCCCACTCCACTAGTCCGAGCTATCGTACTCGATATAATCGTCGTCATCCGCCCCGAAGTCAAAACGATGGGCTCCGCGTCAAGCAGGGGTCAGTACTAGCTATCAGTGCCCGTACTGTCTAACCGTCGACGACAGGAGCCGGAACGAGTTCGAACAGACTCGCAGCCCAGTACTGCGATGGAGGTCGGCTGCCCAATATGTAGAGGGGCCCGGATCGTGTTCCTTTGCCTTGTCCATCATGAACCAACAAGCACGCCGAAAAAAAGCACGGTGACAAGGCCTGAGGCGCTGCTCACCCCTCGCCATGGCTCCCATCCTCGACGCAGACCTAACTTGGCCGCTTGAAGCGGTCCAGCGCAGACGGCTTCCGCGGCTCCTCCTCGCCCTTCTCGACCGCCCTCGCCTTCCGCCTCTCCGCCCTCTCCCGCTCGAGCCTCGTCCGCACCGCGACCTGCCGCACCCGTCAGTCAAGATCCAGCGAAAGCCACAGAGCACCGCACGACGCACCGCCCGCGGGTCGATCACGTTCTTCCGTTGCTTGCGGAGGTACCGCTTCAGGCTCTTGTTCTTCCCCCGCATCTTCCGCTTCTCCTTCTCCGCCTTCGTCAGCGGCCGCGCCTTGCCCTCTCCGTCGCCGTCCTCGTTGTCGCCGTCGTCCGCGCCGCCGTCGGCCTCCTCCGTCTCGTCGGCCTTGCCCATGACGCGCAGCCGCTCGTGCCGCGGGAGCCGCGCGAAGGGGACGTCGTGCGCACCGTCGACGGCGGTGCTGAGCTTCGGCGGCGGCGCGAGGCTGCCGACGAAGTCCGGGTCGAGCGCGATCGCGTCCGGCTGGATCTGCAGCGGGGTTAGCATAGTGGACGGTAGTTTGGATTCTTTCATGCTAGGAGGAGCCGAAACGCACCTTGTCGAGGAGGCCCTTGACCTCGCGCTCGCGCCGCGCCTTCTTGTTCTCGAACGGGTCCGCCTCGGAGCTGTCAAAGTTGGGCTCGCCGACGCCGGGGACGAGGATGCCGGACACGCCGGCCTGGTGGCCGATCGTGAGGACGTCCTGGAAGGGGCAGAAGCGGACGGAGGTGAGCGGGCGGTGCGGGACGGGGTGGGTCAGGTACAGCGGGGGTGCGACGACACCGGGGAAGGGGTTCTGGATGGCCGGCTTCATGTAGACCTGCGCGCGCGCGTCAGTTGCGAGTTGCCCTGGGCGATCTCCGGGGGACGTACGTTCACGCTGCCTCCAGTCGCAACGCCCAGCGCACCCCTTTGGCTCCATTCCAGAATCGCGGACCCTCCGCGCGGGTTCCACGTGCGCACCGCGCCCTTCCAGCTCCTGCAGTCCCAGACCTTGACAGTGCCGTCCTGGCCCGCGCTCGCCATGTACCGCCCGCCCGAGCTCGGGTCAACGGACACGCTCGCAACGGGTCCGAGGTGCGCGAGGAGCCGGACGGCGGGGTGGGGGAGGTTCGGTGTCCAGAGGGTGACGGTGCCGTTCTGGTGGCCGAGGTGGATGACCGCGTTGTGCGGGTTCTGGCACATGGTGTGGCAGGCCCCGAGTTTTGTGCGGTGCTCGACGACCAGCTGGCCGGTGGAGGTGTCTTGGTACTTCAGATACCCGGCATTTCCCTGTACGCCGTTCAGCGAGAGAAGGTGACCCTAGCGATGGAAGTACGTACCACACTGGCCAGCAACCAGTGATAAGGTAGGAACTCGAGCCGAGTGGGCTCGATGTGGGACTTGAGTTTGTGGAGCTCTACGCCGTCGCGGTCGTAGATAAAGACATACTGCTTCTGGGCTACCGCAAAGTGCGAGTGGTCCTGAAGGAAACTGGCAGATAGGTCACTCCACGCTCAGATGAAGAAAAGGAGGCTACTAACGTGATATCGCGGCATGTTTCCCGGAGCTGAAGCTCTGTATGGAGGGTGCCCGCTTGCCAATCGAAGGTGGCGACATGACCCTTCTTGCCCACAAGCGCGATGTGCCTTTTCCGCAGATGAAGGCTTTGCTGAGGACGACACAGGAGGGTCTGAACGCACCTTCCGTTCCGTGTATACCTCGTGCAGTACGGCCCCCCGTCCAACTTCCACTCCTGCCGCCCGCGCGAGGCCTGCTCCCCCGCGACCTTCTCGATATCGCTCTGGCCCACCCTCCATGTCTTCTCGATCTCCGTCTCAACCTGCAGCGCGCCGGCGTCCTCCATGAGGAGCAGGTCTGTGTCCTTGGCAAGCCGCCTATTGCGGGCATTCTGCGCGGACTGGCGCGAGAGCTGGGTGCGAAGGCGCTTGTTTTGGATATGCCCGTACTTTTTCGCCTCGTCTGGCGGGGGCGACGAAGGGCGCAGGGAGCGCGGCAGGAGGGCATGCGCGGAGACCGAGACCGCTGTTGCGTCGTCCTCGGGCTTCTTCGTGGTGGAGGGCCCGGCTTTGGGGTTTGGGCGCGCGGCAGGTGCGCCGGCCTTGCGCTTTTTGGAGAGAGGGCGGATCGCGTCCGCCTTGGCGATGAGGGCATCCATGGTGGGGAGGGAGGAGGGACAGTTTGCGGGAGCCAGTAGCGCCGAGCGTGCGGATCGCTTCGGCGTCTCTCGACATTTTCTCCTCCGGTCCGCCCACCCGCTTCGCCTGCTCCTCCACATCCCTCCTACGAGCATACATCCTCCTCTTATATGCACACTCTCCTCTAAACGACGTTCTTGCTCTTCCCGTAGGCATACATCCCTCTAAACCGGGCTCTGTTCTTATTCAAATGGCCCACGATCTAAAGCGCAAGCGTCCTCTGCACCCTCTTCTCCCTGCCAAAGTGCGTCCCGTCCGGTCTCGTTCATCCCACCTTGCCTCACAGCGACTATCTTCACAGCGTGTTCACCGCAGCCCACAAAAAGAGGACGTCTCTGAGCATTCAGGCTCGGAACGCTCCGACTCACCCTCGCGCTCCTCGTCCCCCGAGCCGAATCGTCCGCAAGACTCGTCCCATTCCCACCATGCCGTCCGCCCACCGACGGGAGAGGAGCTGAGGAATATCAAGGACGCCACAGAGCTCTACTGCTCCTCGTCGTTCAAACTCCAGGTCCGTGTGCTCCTCTCATGTTTCTCCGCCCCCGCACCGACGTCGCCAACAGATCGACGCCCTCCTCCCAAGAGTCACCCCAAAGTACCAGTCCGCATCTGCACTGGAATCCTTTCTCCTCGCCCTCCACAAGCTCCTCGCTGCTATCCCTTCCCACCCCCCTCAGCACCCCCTCCATGCTGCTCGCTCCTTCGCCGACCGTGCCGTGGCCGTCCCGTACGTTCGCCCGGCGCCGTCAGAAGATACGAACTGGAAGGTAGCATTCGAGCCACCAGCCGAGATCATCCTCGCCGGAAGCTGGGCAACCAAGACAGCAGTCAAGGCCATTGACTCCATCCCTCACCAAGTCGATGTCGCCGTCTCCATGCCTTCCGTGAGTGCCTCCAGCTCTGTCCAAAATCCGCCCACTAACGTATATACAGAGCTTGTTCCAAGAAAAGGACTACTTGAACGGCCGCGTGTTTCAGAAACGCGCGTTCTACCTGGCGGTCATCGCGTCGGCCATCGCAAATGCCAAGGACCTCCCCTGCGACCAGTTCTACCACTCGCCATCCGGCGATCCCCGCTGTACGGGTCTTCTGTTACGCCCCAGTACGCTTCGTTCTTGTTCATGGTGCATACCTGGCCTGACCTGTGGTAGCCGGCAAGGAGTTCGACAAACTCAACGTGCAGATCTGCATCGAGCCGTTCCTCGCGGACTCTCCCATCCCACTGCAGCGATTATCACCCGCGCGTTCCAACGTCCGCACCGGATCTCACGACGAGTCGTCCAGCGAGGAGCCCACGCCGATCTATAACACCGCTTTCATGCTCATGACCACTCCCAAGGCCCATCTTCTCTCCATCCACTCCCTCAAACAAGACGTTCCCGGGTTTGGCGACGCGTTGACACTCCTTCGAATATGGGCGAACCAGCGCGGTTACGGGCCTGGCAAGAGGATGTGCGTACGAGGATTCGAGAAACGAGGGATGTGGTGGGCGTCGCTGCTGGCGATGCTCGTGCGTGGCGAAGAGCCGCGACCTGGGATGGTGAAAGCCAGCTCGAAGCGAAAGCCTCTCGGGAAGGGTCTGAGCTCATATCAGCTGTTCAAGGCGTCGTTAGATTTCCTTGGTATGTGTCCAAGTCCTTCATGGGAGACACCGTCTAACTGATTGAAAATAGCTAGGCATAACTTCGCCAACGACCCCGTGTTTGTGAAGTCCAAGGATGGCCATCGGGTGAGTAGCGCTGGCAGGCGAGCTCTTGTCCGTGCTCATGTCGCGCACTAGTTCCCTCCAGATGCATATAGCAGCCATGACGCGACCTTTGTCGACTCGACGTCTTCCGTTAACTTGTTGGCCGGGGTGCCGCTTTCTTCTCTGGACATGGTGAGTTTCGGAAGTCGGGAGTGTGCAACATTGCGCTTACACGACTCGTCTAGCTGAAAAACGACGCCGAAACGACTCTCGCCGTCTTGAACCAAGTCAACGATCCGTTTGATGCCGTCTTCCTGAAAGACCACCGGGATGCATTCAGTAGATTTGACATCGTTCTCCAGTACGTCCGAGTCACATTTAACCTCGGGACACTCTAACGACTATTTCAGGCTGGACATGTCATCTGCGGAAATGCGCCAACCCTCTGCACATCTCGTTGCAGATCACGGCTCGGTCTACAACGCGCTCATGGCGTCTATGATGTCGACTCTCCGTCGTGCTCTGGGCGACCGAGCGAAGGCCGTTGCCGTCCTGCACCCGACGTCGGCGGAGCGACCGTTGACTCAGGCCCTGCCAGTCAGCCCGTCGGTCATCCACGTCGGTCTCATCCTCGACCCGGAACACGCCTTCCGCCTGGTGGACCACGGACCGTCGGCGGAGGAGCAGGAGACTGCGGTGGCGAAGGCGTTCCGGGAATTGTGGGGAGAGAAGGCCGAGCTGCGGCGCTTCAAGGACGGCAGAATCGTGGAAAGCGTCGTCTGGGAGGTCAAGAATGCAGACGAGCGCGCGCACATCCCCACCTTGATCGCCGTTCATATCTTGAAGCGGCACTTTGGGATCTCGTCCGAGTGCATACGGACGTGGCAGGCCGAGTTCGACGGACTTGTGAAGGCACCCGAGTCTATCAAGTCTTTGTACGATGCTCGCGGCGGGGTGTCGACTGGGTTCAAAGCTGCGCTCGCCGCATTCGACGGGCTGGTAAAGAGCATCAAGGCACTCGACGAAGAGCTTCCGCTGTCAGTCCTGAACGCAAGCCCGATCTGCGCGGCCCTTCGGCACACCGAGGTCTTCGTCCCTGTCGCCATTCCGCTGAAGGCACGCGAAGGCCTCCCCCCGGCGGCGTCCTACCTGCCTACGATGGACTTTGTGCTCGAGTTCGAAAAGTCCGGCCGGTGGCCTGACGATCTGCAGGCGATCCAGAAGATCAAACTCGCCTTCTTCGAACGCCTCGCCGCCTCGCTTGCCGCCTCAGTGAAGGGCATCCACGCGGCTGTCGCCGTGCAGGACTCACCAAATGTGCGCCCAATAGAAGACCAAGCCGCGCTCGACATCATCACCCCCGACGGATGGGCGTTCCGCGCGCACATCTGGCACGACCGCGAGGAGACGCTCCTCTCGCGCGTCATCAACGACCAGCCGCACGTCCCAAAGGCGCTGCGCCGCCACACAGAGACCGCGCACGAAGTCCAGGCGGCCCTCGCCGCGCGCTCGACGTACCTCCGCCGGTTCGTGCACGCGCCGCGGCACCACCGCGCGGTCGCCGCGCTCGCGCACCAGCTCTCCGCGTTCTCGGGCACGGTGCGGCTGACGAAGCGCTGGTTCGCGGCGCACTGGCTGCTCCGCGCGCACGTCGCGGAGGAGGCGGTCGAGCTCCTCTGTGCGCACGTCTTCCTGCGCCACGGGATGCCAGCGGGGGAGGGCGCGTCCGTGCCGGGTGTTCCGGCGTCGAAAGAGCGCGGGTTCGCAGCCGTGCTCGCGTTTCTCAAAGACTGGGACTGGACACAAGGACTCTCGGTCGCGCTGGACTACGGCGAGGGCGAAGCAGCGCCGGCGGGCGCGAAGGTCGCAGGGAAGCTCGCGGCGTGGGCGCTGTCGACGAGCTTTGACCCGGATGGACACGCATGGACGGCGCGCGGGCCGAGCGCGGTCGTCGCACGGCGGGTGACGGCGCTGGCGAGGGCGTCGTGGGACTCGTTGCGCGCGCTCGAGGCGGGAGAGGGCACGGTGAAGGTGGGTTGTGGCTTGCTGCTCGCGGTCTGACGCTTATCGTGCCGCGCAGGACCTGTTCCGACACCCGACGGCGCACTATGATGCCGTGATCGAGCTCGACCGCACCGTTGCGCCGCGGTACTACCAGAATGTCGACGCGGACACGACCGTGTGGGCGCCGCGGGGGAAGTACGCAAATGCCCCCTCCCGCAACGACGGGGGCGGGGGCGGGCCCATGCCGGGCTTCGACCCAATTGCGATGTACTGCGATGCGCTGACGGTGAGTGGATCCTGGCTCCGTCGGTGCGACTGCGCGGGGCTGACTGCCTCGGAAGCACGCGTACGACGCCGCCGCGTTGGTGTTCTACGACGCCGTTGGAGGGGACCGCGTTGGGATCGTGTGGCAGCCGAAGCTCAAGGCGCCGTTGCCATTCCGCGCCCTCGGGGGTTTCTCGGGAAAGCCCGTAGACAAGGTGCGTGGGTTTGAGCTGTTGCATGATGCCCTATGTTGACCGCAGGCTCATCACAGACGGAGGGGAAGACAAAAGAGAGCCAGAAGGCTCTGGTGGTGCTCAATGAGCAGTCATGCTTGATTGAGATGAGGAGGTTGGGGACAGGGCTGGTTGTGTAGCTCAGTGTTGTACAAGCCGAGTGAAACGGGTTTACATACAGACAGGCTCCAAGCTGCAAATACAATCATTAAGGATGTTGTCCCGCCATCTCACCAACTCTGACCGTCTTTTCGACGTCGTCGTCAACCGGGACCCTTGCCACACCTGTCATGGAATCGCGACGTGCGACGATGCGTATTCTCCCTCGACATCACTTCTGATCTCCTCAGCTTACCTCGCGTGCCGTCCCGATGCGCAGAGCAACGACGGAAACGTAGACGTGTGCACGCGGATATCCAAAGGAACAGAGAGCTGCATGGAGTTGTCCCGAATAAAAGCTACGAAGTAGGAACTACAATGGACGTTTTGTGTATTCAAAAGCCGGTCCTAGGGATTAGGTATACAAGCGTAAAGTAGGTATATGTACAGCCGTCGAATCCAGGATTCACGTCAATCAATCTCTATGAGTTCTATGTGCGGCGACTTCAAGTCATTCACAACGTCTCTAAGGAGAGGGCGGCCCTTCAAGATGCCCTCCCCGCTCTTACTCTTCTTCGCGCTGCCGGCTCTCTCCTGCGATGGCGCGCTATCCTCATGCAGCATGTCTGCCGCCGTCCTCTTCTTCGGCGTACCCTCGATGTCGTTGAAGTCATGCATTAGGTGCGCGTCCGGAGGGAGCGCCAGAATCCAGTCCTGGCCCTCCATCAGCTCGAAGAACCTGCTGAACAGCGGCTCCGCCTGGAGCGTCTTCCGCGAGCCGACGACGACGAGCTTCGAGCGCGAACGCGTGAACGAGACGTTCATCCTCCGCCAGTCCTTGACCAGCTCCCCAACCTGCCGCCCCCGTCAGCCATCCATCGCTCCTCCGAAAGGCCAAAAAGGAAAGAACGCACCAGGCCGTCGTCGTTCGAGCGCACGAGCGACATGATGACGCAGTCCTTGTCGCGCCCCTGGCTGCGGTCCGCGGTGAGGATCTCAATGCCCTTCCGCTCGCGCAGCAGGTGCGCGAGCTGCTTGAGCTGCTGCCGGTAGAGCGAGATCACGCCGATCTGCTCCTCCCGGACCCCGCAGCCGAGCAGGCACTCCGTGATCTGGTACACGAGTTTCGCCTCGGTTTGGTTCTCGATGAGGTCCCCGACGCGCGAGTCGCGCGCGGGCACGGCGTCAGTGTCGACGAAGACGGCCGTGGTGCTGTTCAGAGAGGTCCCAGATGAGTAGACGTCCTGGCGCACTGTCGGGTGGACACACGAACCTCTCGTTCATCAACCTCTGCATCCAACAGGCCCTGCGGCAGGCTGATTTTGCGTGCAAGAAGTCGACGAACCCGGGGTTGCTGAGTTTCAGCGTCTGGGATGCGACGGTCGAGGAGCCGCACTTCAGGCGATCGCTGTAGATGAGCCGATTTGAGAGCAGCATGATGTCCGCGTTCATCCGATACTGGTACGTGAGGTCGACAACGGCCTCGGGGTGCGCGTCGGAGAGGAGACGGAAGAGGGACACGTCGAGACCACCTTTGCGCGCAGCAGGGTTCTTCACCTATCTCAAGTGTCAAAGCAGACTCGAATCAAGGCGAGCAGGCGCAATGCTTACAAGCGGAGGAAGCTGGAAATGGTCCCCGACGAGGATGAACTTGCTCGCGTATCGCAAGGGTCCAATGCATGTAGGTAGCGTGATCTGAGACGCTTCATCGACGATGCAATAGTCGAAAGTTCGCCGAGAGAACAACGGGCTGGACGAGTAAACTGGGTTCAGAAGGTGCGATAGTATGATCGTTTAGCGTGACTTACTGCTCGATCGAGAGACATGTTGTAGCAACGATCAAAGGCGTCATCAGTTGATTCTCTAACTGCTCGATAGTCTTCGCAGGGGGACGAGCAGCGAGAGTATACTTCTGTGCCGCTGGGTGAATCTGGAGCCAAGACGTAAGTAGTCTCCAGGAAAGAATCGTATACTGTGAAGCTCACCTTGTCCATGTTGCCCAAGCGCAAAACGTCGCAGCCGTCTAACTTCATCAAAATGGTGTCCACCGCCGAGTGAGTATACGATGTAAGGAGCACGCTCTTCCCCTCCGCAACCAGCCGTCTAATGATTTCCGCCACGACCGTCGTCTTCCCCGTCCCGGGCATACCCAAGATGAGCGCATAATCCAACGCGCGCATGACCGTTTTCACCGCCAGCTTCTGGTCCTCGTTCAGGTAGCTCGCCTCGATCTCTTCCACCTGGTCTCCATCCAAGAACCGCGGCGGGGCGAGATCCACGAGCAGTTCCAGCCGCCGCACGTCGGCGCCGGCGTAGAACAGCTGCGCAAGGTTGTCCCGGATGCGCGTCATCCCGCCGAACATCTCGTCCTTGTCGATCCGGAACACCACCGTCTCCGGCACGGGTACGCGCTTCCCGCGGAGCCGGTCCTTGATCATCTGCTCGTCGAGCGCATGGTCGACCCCGACGACGATGCTGTCGGGCCCGAGCTCGGCGATGAACCCGCGGGCAAGAGCGAAGAGCCCCGGGTCGACCGACACGACGACGGCGTCACCCACGCCCATGTGCCCACTCAGAAGCGACCGGGCTGGGTCCCCTTCAGCGGCCCGCACGAAGCGGTACGTAGAACGGTGGGTCCGAGGATCTTTTACACTGGTGGGCGCGAAGGAGGGCGGGGCGGCGTCGAGGACCATGTCGGCGAAGCAGCGGCCCTTATCTTCGCGCTCGTGGGCGGTAAGCATCCAGAGCTCTTTCCGGAAGCGGACGAGGTCGCGTTCCTCGAGGGAGACGAGAGTCTCCCATTTTTTGAAGAAGTTGATCTGCGTCTGCGTGAGGTGGCCGGTCTTGAGCTGGTAGATGTCCCTGATGTCGGATGTTGTATCTTCTACGCCTTCGACGGCCTGGATTTGATCAACGAACCGTTCTACGAGGTATCACGGCAACGCACCTTGCGAAAAAGCATGCAAGTGTCCAATGTGTAGCATCTTCCACAGACACGGTTGTCGTCGATCGTCGGGGGAAGGGACGAATCGAGATGCTCGACGACGTCCACGCCTTCCTCGTCTTCATGGATCGTGATCGTGCTTTGCGCCCGCAGCCGGTCCATCATGTGCCCTGCCATCTGGTTCCGAGCGACAAGCAACGCTCTAATCTCGTTCCTCGCTGCGGGGACACGCACGACCTCCTCGCTCTGCGTGTAGTAAAGCAACCCGGAGGGGGATTCGGTGCCGTATCGCTCTCCCATAAGCAGGGTGTAGAGCATGGTCTGGGCGCGGTGCTCCATCCCCGCCATCGCTCGCCCGGTCTTGATCTCAAAAGGCATCGGGGACGCCGTCTTCTTCACTTGTGGGTTTGCGCGCGCAAATGGCGTGCTGGAGTCGTCGACCTCGTGAATCACCGCTTGTACCGACGCATCAATCTTCCCCTTCAGTCCGTACGTCGGTGACCAGATGTCCTCTTCGATGTCGTACAGCTGCGGGATCGCGAGAAGCGTCGACTCGTCTTTGCCCGCGCGCGTGTTCGTCAGGACAGCGTTCGGCTGCGGGCGACCGCGTCAGTTCGACCTTCCTCCCCGGCAATGAAAGCAAGACGTACCTTCGGCTCAGGCGCAATGTACTTCTCCGCGAAGGCCTTGATCCCTCTGGCCCGGACGGTGACCTCACTGATCGCCTGAGGCACGTCCATGTCGATCCGCACAAGCTCGCTCATTCCCGCACGGCACACATTCTCGATCTTGGCGTTCATGAAGCTATCGTCCCAGCGCGCGACGCTCAGGCACGTCTGCATGACCTCGTGGAGCATGTTGCCCCACACGAGCGCGGGGGTCACGTCCGATGACGAGCGGACCATGTTGGTCAGGAGGGGTTTGCGCATGCACTGGGCCGTGTTCGAGAGCGCGGTCGGGGTGAGGAGCACGTCGGGGTGGTGGATGAAGAAGTTGTGCTTCAAGGAGACCGTCATTGCGAGCTGGGCAGACGGCGAGCGTTCGGTCCAGTCGCCGATGAAGTTGACGATGTCGCCTGGTTGAAATTCAGCCACGTCACTTGTGAGGAAGCAAGGCGCTCACCGACTTGGACATTGCTGTGGGTCCAGTCGTCTTGCAGCGTTACTTGGCGCGTGTCTTTCCCTGGGATGGTATCGACAGTCAAGATCTAGCACACGGAACATTTAGCCATTGAAGTCGCGTGAATCCGGCCACGACCGACTTTTTGTGGACGGCCTCCCGCCGTTTCCCGCACTGTGCGGACGATGCAACGAGTGGCGACCGGCGCCCTCGATGTATCCGGACCCACATCATACCTAGATCGCTGTCAAGGGCTCATCAGAGATTGATGAGGAGAAACAGTCGCGGGATTTCCTCACTTTCGGTCTGACGGGGCTGTTAAGTTTTACCGGACTCATGAAATCGTCATTCATGTCGTCCCAATCCCAGTCTTCTGCACCGTCCACGAGTGCGCTCATGTCGACGATTTCAGCCACATTTTTCGCTCGCTGAGTTGCCTGCGGTGTGGGTGCACCGCGTGTCGATTGAGGAGCGCGTCGCGGCGTGCGAGGCGTGGGCTCAGAGGCGGTGGTGACGCGTCGACGCATCGGCGACGCGGCACGAGCCGGAGGAGGCGCGTTACTATCCAACTCTGATAAAAGGCCATCAAGAAAGCTGGCCTCCTCGGCGTCAGAGCGCGCTTTAGGAGGCATATTTGAGAGAAGGAGGAGGAGGAAGGGAGGAGGTATGGGCGTCTATTCGCGACGCGTTCTTTGTGCTTGTTGTCCATCCTCCACGTGATCGCGCCACGTTGGACGCGCTGTGCCCATGGGAACCCTGAAAGTAAGGCATGCTATACTACACACAATAGGTATACAAGGCAATGTACAGATGCAACGAATTAAATGACGAGACGCAGTTCCAAAGGGCGTGCTAGCAAGAGGGCGGCATAATCGGCGACAGAACAATCATCCCGTTGGAAAACGGCTCGAATGCAGGCTGCGCACAGACGCATCCGCAGCCCGTAGCGCAAGCAGCATCGTCGCGGTCCCTCCAGCACTTCATGTGCGAGATGTGCAAGCAGCGCGGACACGCGTGATAGAGTTCTGCAGAAACCGCGATTAATGAAGGCGAATCCCTGCAGGAGACCAAACACTCACTTTTGATCGCAAGGCGGCAGACGGAGCATCGGGCAGGAAGTCTGGCACGGCACTCGGCGCACGCAGTGGCGCTCGGGTCGCCAGGGTGGCCGCACTGCTCACATATCCGCTCACAATCTTGCAGATGTTCGTCAGCCTCCCGCGCAACGGTAACAGGCGTGGACGTACTAATGGGAGAGACGTGGAACGTTGTGTCGGAGATTGTGTTGGTGCCAGACAGGCCTTTGATATCACTCTCCACGAGCTTGAGCAGCTCCGCGCGCTTGTCGAGGATCTGCCACGCTGTGAGCATCTCCGCGTACGCAAATATATGCTCAAGGAGCTGCCCTCGCAGTTCAGGAGAAAGTAGCGGGCTAGCGAGGCATGCATGTCAGCTTCGTTTCAGACACATCGGTAACCACAACGTACATGTCCTCTGGATCATCCAAAGAGGGCTGGAACAGGATTCTTCGCTTTTCCGAAATCACAGAAGGGCCTGAAAGGACCTGTGAAAACGTCGGACGCCGCCTCGACACGAGTGGAAGCACCCCCGAGTTCAACGTGTCAGACTCCCACGACGACTTCGCTGGGGAGTTCGAAGAGGGCCTGTCCATGCCCTGCCGAAGCGCGGTACGCCGGTTGGCCATGGGGCCTCCTTGCTTAGCGAGCTCTGGGGTTGTGGCGGCATTCGCTCTTACACCTAAACCGAACCAACGTTAGAGCCATCGCAGAAAGCGACGTAAATAAACTTACTCGAGACGAGTTGCCGCATGCTGGTGGCATAACTAGACCATGATCCCTTGGAAGACGGCGAGCTGAGGTGTTGGATGCCGCCTGGGGTGTGATTGGGGGTGTTTGGGGCGGAATCCGGGGGAGAGAAGGGGCCGGAATGCCCGTTTCTAGGCCTCTGAAGGTCAAAGTACTCTAAGCTAATCTTCCTCATGCTCAGAGCTTGTTTGGAGGGTGACGGGGTGACGGGTAGGGAGCTCTTTGCCGTCGGAGGTAGTTCTGTAGCATCGTTAGTGGTAGTTTGTTGTGTGATGTGATGTTACGTGGTCTCACCTCTGGGGAATGTCCTGAGCAGGAACACAGCCAGGAAGACAAGCATGTGAATATCCTTCTCTCCCAGCATCTCCTCGTACCTGCAATGAAGCTCAAGATCAGCTATACGAAAAGTCAAATGGGAAAGCTTGACGCACAATCTCATCCCAAGAGAAGGTGCCAACGGATCGTAGCCGCTCGTACCCCGACCAGTCCCAGAGGGTCTCTTCGCCAACACCGCCATCATCCTAAACACCCTCTCATGGTCGTTCCTCCCCAGCACCTTCGCCGCCGCCGCATTCATCCGCCACACCTCCCCCATCGCGCCTCCAACCACATACCGCGCCGCCACCTCCGGGTCCGGCACGCCCAGCACGCCCTCCGTGCTCTTGATGAACACGCTGCTCCGCCGCGTCGGCAGCACCGAGTAGTTGTCCTCCACCTGGTGCGAGTTGTCCGACACCCGCCGCGGCTTGCCCAGGCTGCCCGCCGTGCCCTGCGGCGGCTGCGGCGGCGGGTACGGCGGCCGGTGCGAGAACGTGAAGAGGTTGTCCATGATGCGGAGCACATTCGGCCCGTTGCTCCCGTCGTCGCCGCGCCTGCGCTCGCTCGAGACGGACTCCCGATCCTGCGCGGCGGAGCTTAGTCGGCGGACGGCGTCGGAGAGAAGAGCTGGGGACTGGAAGAGGCGGGGGCCGGTGTCAGGTCCGCGGGAGTTTATCGACGGGGATACAGAGATCTCATGTTGGACGTTTCGGACGATGCGTAGGGGCGCTCTGAAAAAGAATACGAGTTGGCCTACACATGATGTGAGCAAGCTGGACCTGCAATGACCAAGCGCGGAATTACCATTCGCTGCAAAAACGCCCTGAGACGTCCTGGGCTCCGCCAGGTTCTTGTCTTTTCGAAGTACAGCCGGTCCCGGGTCCCGTTTCCCCTTGGGTGCTTCTTCGTCTTCGGAGGAAGAACCGGAGTCCAGTACAATGCCACGACGACTGTCTTCATACTGGTCACCGAACAGCAGGAATCTGAGGCATCGTTCTAAACATGGCCGCTCCATTTCTCGGATCTCACGAAGCCTGCCAAGGATGAACGCGCGTTGCTTGTTGTCAATGAGCGGCGTGCGTTCCAAGTCTACCGTTGGGGTCCCGTCAGGATAACTGGCTTGTGGGTAGTCGCGCGGAAAGGAGAACGTGATGCGCAGGAATACGGACGTCGACTCGCCCCAGGGACCTTGTAAACCGAACGTGCAGGTGCGCTTCTTGGTGCTGAAATCTGCCTGCACACGATGTTAGGAAACTGGGTGCCGCAATGCAAGAAGAACAACCTTCTCCAACTTGAGCTTCGAGTTATCGAGTTTGCTGCAGACCGAGGTAATTCTGCAAACTGTAAGATCGCGGTCAACCGCCTGATTAGATCGAGTAGACTTACTCCTCTTGTAGCGATGGCGTGGCGTCCTCTTCTACTCGTTCCCGACTGGCACTGCGCTCTCGAGTTTTCGAGGCCTGCGAGGTAGAATGTTCCATCGCCGACTGCCCTCTGCTCCGGGACCCAATCCTCGACGCCTCTCCACTATCCCCTCCACTCCCTCCTCCCGAGCTTCCGTCTCGAACACCTCCAACATTCACGTTCACATTCGACAACCATTTGATAGTCGTGATAGGCGGAGGCCTCCTGCCCGCGAACGGCCCGCGACTCATCGTGTCCAACGTCCCGCCGCTCTTCACGCTCGTCGCGGGGATGAACATCGGACGAGACCGCGGCGTCTCCGACAGCTTCTTCTCTGCGCGGATCGTGTCTGCCGTCGCCTTCCGCCGTCGCGCCGAGTCTCGCCGGCCGAGGTGAACGACGTGAGCGGGTGGTGCCCTGATCCCCGCGAGGATGGCCCGGGAGCCGATGGGTACTGAGAGGGGCGGTGGGAGACCGGTCGTCGAGGGGCTGGTGGGGATGGAGGCTTTGGAGTCTCGTCGCTGCGGAATCATAGGCATAGTCCGTGTCGGTGTTGTACCCGCTTTCTATATCGAGACGTGAGCATAGCTGCGCTTGTGAACGGACGAGAAGCGCACCTCGATGATCTCGGTATCGACGGGCCAGAAGCGGAGGGTCTTGTCCTTGGACCAAGTAATGAGCTGGAACTCGGAGTTGTCTGCGCAGTCGGTCAGCAGTGGCGCGATCAGATGGCGTGACAAAACACACCTGAACCACCCCGTCGCCATACGAACTCCTTGACCACATCCGCATGTCCTTCGAACCTCTCAATTGGCTCGGCGGGGTCTTCGTGCACAAACATCTCCAGGGCAGTCTCACCCCGTTGAGGAAGACTGAGAACTCCCTGACCGAACGGTAGGTCTCGTGCACGCCACACGGGGTACGCAGTGTCGATGACGATGCTCGGGCGCGCGTTTTGAGTATCCCAGATTTTGATGGTTTTGTCAAGTGAACAAGTGACGAGTTCGTTGCGCCGGTCGTGGGCCCAGTCAATACCGTATATCTTTGCGCGGTGGGCGACGATGGATTGGACCGGTAGCGAACCTTTCTATGCCGAAGATTAACAAGAGATACAGGAAATGCACCGTCGACTCACTCGTCTGTCCCAGATCAAGACCTTGTTGGAATGCGACGACGCAAGGAGGTTTCCATCCACCCGATTCCACTTGACTTGTGTTCCCGGGGCTATATTAGACGGTCAAAATCATCCGCGCATGCATACATGCCATACGTTACTTACGGCCAAACGCGCATAGACCTATCGGAGAGGTATTGGTAAACAGAGCATACATGGGTCGGAAGTGGACATACCCATGATCGGTTTTTGTACGGTGCGTAGGTCCCACGCCCACTGCCAAGAGTCGATACCAGTACTAATAACAATGTCAGGTTCGAGGGTGTGCCAGTTGATATCGGTGATGGCTCGGTAATGGGATCGCAGGACATGCTCGATGGACGTTCTTGGATTGCCGTTATGCAGGTTCCAGATGAGACTAGAGGCAAGGTTAGTTGGGAATATTCTAAAAGACATCCACGGACCCACAGTTTCTCGCTTGAGGTGGAGACGATGTACTCGCTGTGCGAATGGTGCGGGTTCCATTGCACGTCGGCGACGTCCCAGGTTCCGCCTTGCGGCAAGAATCTACGTTCAAAGTCAGACAAGCAATGCGCAAAGGTCGAAGCACTCACCGCGGTAAGCTCAGGGGGGAGTTCAAGTCGATGATAGCAAGTCCTTTGCGACTAAGAGGTTGGGATATGGGCACTATATGCGCTAAGAAGCCACTGCACTCACGAAGCAAGAACAATTTCACGACTGTCCGGGCTGATGCTCATCTGCAAAAGCGGCCCATAATGAGTAAAAGATAGTTCTGCTATGAAGCAGATATACTACGCACATTCCCAACTGCGTCGCCCATGAGAGGCTCCAGGTTGATCTGCATGCTGCTCTTGAAGTTGGTGTCATCCTCGAGAGACGGAGGACTCTCCACGTCCGGTCGAACGGTCGCCACCGAAGCGGGCATCCCGTGTGCAGAAGTCAGTCCCGCAGAATATCTTCCGGCCATTACATCTCAACTGTTGCCGGGGAAATAGCGAGAGTAGCTGAGGGGGGTAGAGACCCAGACTGAAGAGTTGTGTCCCCAGGGCAAATGTCAAGCCCACGCTGATCGCGGTGAGCAATGTGAGCGAAAGGAACTCGAAGAGAGCGGCCTAGAGAAGGTTCGAGGAGGGGGGATGGTGGGGAACCGCAAGAAAGCAGGTTCAGGCTGCAGCCACTCGATCCGTCGTCGGCGCGTCGTCGGCGGACGCGGGCCGCTGGTGCTCGACGGGCGCGCCGCCGACTCGAACTTTAGCTGGGACCCGGACCACTATCTTGTGGACAACGTCACACATACTCATTGCACAACATGTGAGATGGCGTCGTTGCTACTTTCCTTTGCTGATCCAATGCAAACAGGCCTCCCAAAGGCGTTGGAAAACGGAAAACCACTGTCATATACAGCGACGACTCTCCGACACCACCTGTTCCCGTGCGTCAGCCATCTCCGTCACCAACCACGTTGATATTCACGTTCGTTCGTTTGACAGACCCTGGCCGAGCAATTGTCGTATCTCCACTATGCTCGTCCATTCAAGAACCCCCACTACACCAAGAATGTCAACCGGCGTACCAAGAATCTGAAAGCCGTACTCACTCAGGAACGTGAACGCGAGAAGAACGAGCGCGAGAAACGTAGACAAGAACGAGAGGGGAACATGGAAGTGGATGGACAGGCTCCCCCGGACGACGCTGAGGAGGATCTCCCCACATGTGAGTTGTCTTTGATCGCCCGGCCTCCCGTATTGACCGAGCCTGGGCAGATGCGTCTATTGAGGCACCCCCGTCAGTGCTTCCCCAGAGGAGATTTTGCGATATCACTGGACTCGAGGTATGTGCACTCTTCACCTTCTGTATATCCCATGTCAACGCGCCCAAAGGGACCGTACACTGACCCCGCGACGGGCTTGCGGTACCACGACAAGAACATATATGAACTTGTCAAAGGCCTCGTGAGTGCATTTGCTCAATCTCGGACCCGTTTTCTTATGTGCCTGCAGAGTGCACCCGCTGCGAAGGAGTATCTCTCGGCGCGGGGTGTGAACCCGATTGTCAAGTAAAGCTCGTGCTCTGTGTTCTGTACCACCTGTATCATTGCTTTCTGCCTGCCTTCTGGATGCCACCTATGTATATCTTCCCCATGTATCGTCGTTTCCCTGATTACCTATGCACATGTGCGAATCCATTCCGAGAAACTCGGACTCCGATTTTCCGCGGGCGCCCGCGCGATCACGGCTTTGCACTCATCCACCACCTGCTCCCCTGCTCCCCTCTCCTGTGCCCATTCCATGGCGCCGACAACACAAAAGCACACCAAAAAGCGAGTCGCTCCTGCCCAGAGTGGCCCCAAGACTAAAAAGCCTCATCTCGAGAAGCCGCCGGCACCCGCGAAAAAACGCAGTCGCCCTGTCACTGTCGTTCCTCAAGACAGCGATGGAGAGAGCTCCGACGACGGTTCGGAGGGAGGTTCTGCGGGCGACGCAGAGGAAGGCGGTATGGATGAAGACGCCAAGGATGCGGTGATGGACGGGGACGCTCCGTCTGCCCCAGCAAAGGATCCCAATGGTATGCCCTCCGCGGATCCAACACCTCTGGGTGCTCAACGTCCTGCTGGATTGCAGCTGCCCGCGAATCTCATAAAGCGCAACGCGTTCTGCTCGACCAACGAAAAGCCGCCAAGCCGCACTCTGCCCTGCTCGTGGAAGCCAAGCAAGCTTGGACGCTCGCGAGGCAGAAAAACCTCTCCAAGCAGGACCGCACAAAACACATCAACGCGCTCATGGACATCATCCGTGGAAAGGTAAAGGACATCGTGTTCAAGCACGACGCGAGCCGCATTGTGCAGACGGTCGTCAAGTGGGGCGGGCAGAAGGAACGGAACGAGATCGCAGAGGAACTGAAGGGCAGGTACAAGGAGCTCGCCCAGAGCAAGTACTCCAAGGTGTGTAACATTGTCGCTTCACCACAGCGTGGCTCACATATTCTCGAGGACTCCAGTTCCTCATCACCAAGCTCATTCGCTTCTGCCCCACCTATCGCCCCGCCATCCTCCGCGAGTTCCAAGGTCACGCTCTCCGCATGATTCTCCACCGTGAAGCTTCGAGCGTTCTCGCCGATGCCTTCGAGCTGTATGCGAATGCGTACGAACGCTCGCTTCTTGTTCGCGATTTCTACGGCAAAGAAGCGAACCTCTTCACCGTCACCGCAGGCAGCGACGAGGAGAAGGAGCGGTCGAAGCGGGGGCTGAAGGGTCTCATCGAGGGGCTGGAAGGAGAAAGGAGAAAGCGCGTACTATCTGCGTTGAAAGACAATCTGACAACAATGTGAGTCGTCCTGTCATCCTCAGAGCTCGCGTTTCTCACTACTGGTTGGTAAGCTTCAACAACTCGGACAAAGGCGCGATTTCTCACGCGTTGGTTCACCGCGCGCTATGGGAGTACCTCTCGGCGGTAGCTGCCCTTGACGATGAGGCGGAAGCGGAAAAGCTGCGGAGAGAGATGTTCGAAATGTACGCATGTTTGGCGTTTAGGACACGGTCCGTTCGCTTATGCAGGACATAGATGCCAGGAGGTCCTCGCGGAGATGGTGCACACAAGAGACGGTAGCCGCTGTGTCCGGGAGTTCATCGCGTGGGGTACCGCGAAAGTAAGGGAACTTGACATTTTGCCACTTCGGTCGCTTACCTGCTTCTAGGACAGGAAACAAGTCGTCAAGGCGATCAAGCCGCATATCGAGCGCATGTGCAAAGATGACGAGGCGCAGCTTGTATTGTTCACATGCCTAGACGTCATCGAGTGAGACTTTTTGTGCGCCACTTCCACGAGTTTTGTTGACTGTGATTTCAGCGACACCAAATTGACAGCCAAGTCACTAGTGGCGGACGTGGTGGCCGCGGCGCCTTCAATATACACCACGGCGCAAGGGCGGCGTTCGATCATCTATCTTGTTGCTCCGCGCACTCGCCGTCATTTCACCCCTGCCCAGATCGTCACCCTGGCCGAAACCGACCCCGTTAGGGCGAAAACGAGCAAAAAGGACGACGACGTGCGCGTTGCAGAGATCCGCAAGGCGGCTAGTGAAGGCCTCCTCAGCTGGATAGCCGAGAGCGGCCACGACATCTCGAGGGAACCCGGCGGCAGCCTCGTCGTTTGTGAGATTATGCTAGACGGTGATGGTGGTACGTTGTTTTTGCTTCTCCCCAGCCTCCTTTCCATACTCACCCTCACACCAGACAAGTCCGCTGCGTCAGACAAACTTCTTGCCTCCCTCGCTGCTCCCTACCCATCCGAGGACCCCTCCTCCCCGCACCCCATCTCCCTCCCGCACACCTCGCGCCTCTACAAGACCCTCCTCCAGGGCGGCCACTTCTCGCAGTCCGCGCGCGCCGTCGAGCCCTCACCGCGCTTCTCCGGCCACGACTTCGCCGTGCGCTTCGTGCAACAAGTCGGCGAGGACGTCACCGTCGCGATGGCCAAGGGCGATGGCGCGTTCGTCGTCGCCGCGCTCTGCGAGCAGCTCGCGTCGGAAGAGTCTCCCGAACGCAAAACTGTCAAGGCCTGGTTCGACGCCGAGGTGTGCAAGGCTGTCGAGCAGGCAGGCGGGAAGGGCGTGGCGGTGCTCGTCGAGAGCTTGAAGAAGCTGTAAAGTACCTGTCAGACTTGTTCGTCCGCGTACCACACCACAGAATCGCATCCTGCTTAGGTTCGCGCCCGTCGGCCACACCCACGTCTCCATGGTATCGCATGTCGGGACAGCTGGAGAACAATCGCCTTCGCTCTCGACATGTACTCGTGCATGGGCCTTTGTCCGGGCAGCGACCCAGTGGCGCACGTGTGCATTGTCCGTGCACCAACCACCTGCACAAACGCTATAAGATCCTGATTCTCGGCTATTCTCCGCTGACGTCTTCCCCAGCTCCTCTGCCCTCACCTTGCAGCACCCGCCAATGACGAGCCGAAGGAGGAACGACGGCACGGTGCCGATGCACGAGTACGCCCTCCACGCCTACCTGCCCCCCATCATCATCCCCGAGCGCGCCCCAGACGACGAGCGATCTCAGAAGGACGCCTGGTCCACGCTCGGCGAGTGCCTCCCGGAGGCCCCGCGCGCCCTCCGCCAGGTCGTCGTCGTCGACCCGCGCCCGTGCCACTTGAAAGCCGTCTCCTGTGCGTCCCTCCCTTCTCTCTTCTCCCTCTCCCTCTCCCTCTCGCACGCCCACGCTGACCTCAACCACCCCACCACCCCGCGCACACAGACATCCGCTCCTTCGCGCCGCCCGTCCGCGTCGCCCCCGCGTCCCCCGCGCTCGCCCTGCCCTGCCCCGGCCTCCGCGCGCTCTCGCCCGCCGAGGCCGCGCAGCTGCTCGTGCCGGACCGCGCCGCGTTCCGGCACGCCGTGCGCGCGCTCGTGCTCGACGCCGTCGCCGCGCTCGTGCACGCCATCGAGCGCAACGCGCCGCACGGACGGGACTCAGAGGATGAAGATGGGGACGGGGACGAGGACGCGCCCGCGCGGTGGGCGTGCTTCGAGGCGAGCAGCGCGCAGACGGGGGCGCTCATGGCGACCGCGTGGGCGTTCGACGAGCCGGAGCGCTGCGTGGTGAGTTACTTCCTTGCGTCGGTCCTCGAACCCGGGGCGGAGGCTGACGGCGGACGGTCGGGGGGCAGTACAAGGAGGAGACGGACATGCTGGCGGGCGTCCTCGTGATCGGGGTCCCGCCGTGGCAGCTGAGCGAGGAAGACCTCGTTGAATTCACGCAGGGACGGCTGGTCAGTGCGCCGTTGATATGTGCATTGCGCGTTCAGGAGCTGACTTTGACTTTGGCGCAGCACCCTCCAGGCGTCTTTGACAGGGACCACGATAACAGCTGGTCGACTGCGACGAAGCTATGGGCTCTGGTGAGTGCGAGGGCCGTTGTATGTGCTTCCTCGCAACCTCTCACGCGTCGTGCGTTCCAGACCTGGGATCTCTGCAGGATCGTGAATGTCAGGTGGTTCGTCGTCACCACCTACAGCAAGTGGTTTTTCGGGGCGTGGAGCCTCGGTACGCGCCTTTCACCCCCTTCAATCGGATCTGGAGGAGGCTGACTTGGTTGTAGATTGGACGACGGCGAACATCTTCCCTGGGATGCCCCACGACAGGTCGCACGACTTGTCGGTGCTCACCATGCTCACGTTCTGGACCATGTGCGCCCGCCACCTCACTCACCAGTGGATCCTACCCCGCGTAAGTCGTCCCGTAAAACTCACCGCCCGCCACAGCTCACCCAACGGCCACCTGCAGAACATGATCAAAGAAGAAGAGGAAGAGTAGCATCCCCGTGGTCCCACAGGCCAGCCGTGTTCCACATGTCCGACCGCTCGCCGAGCGTGTTTTTCAAATGTAGCGTCCTTGTGTATACGTACGTACAACCGCGTCGAACCCTCCGAGCACTTCACCCGCGCTCGCCCGCCTTGAGCCCATGCTCCCACAAGAACCGCGCCGCCTCCCTGACCATCCTCTCCGAAAACTCGTGCCCGACCCCCTCCTCGACCAGCACCTCCTTCACGCCCCCCTCGCCCACGCACAGCGCCTCGACGACGGCCCGCCCCGCGCTCCACGGCACGACCCTGTCCTCCTTCCCCGCGAGCACGAGGATCTTCTTGCCGAGGAACGGGTTCTCCGGCCCCGCCGCCGCGTACGGCGCCGCGGCGGGGTCGTCCGCCGCGATGCGCGCCCGCAGCGACGCGGGGAGCTGCGGCGGCGCGAGCGCGAGCTTGTGCGCCTTGGCGCGCTTCGTGACGAGCGCGAGGTAGTCCGGGCAGCCTGCGTGCGTGCGCGCGCGTGCGTGCGTGGGTGTGGGCGTGCGGGCGTACCGAGCCGCGCCGCCAGCGGTGCCGATCGACGACGTTAGCTCGCGACGCAGCGCGATCGAGCAGCGAGCACGGACGCACTGACCGATTACGGGCACGCCGATCCGGACGCGCGGGTCTGGTTCGCGCCGAGGCCGTCAGCGTCAGCGTCGCGAGAGGCGGTGGCGGGACAGGCCGAGGGGCGCGCACCGTTCTTGAGCACATGCCAGGCCGAGTGCCCGCCGAGGCTCTTGCCGACGCACATCCAGCGCGCGACGGCGCGCTCGCCGTGCGGGAAGAGGTACGCGGGCAGGAAGTCGATGAGGTACGACACGTCCGCCGCGGTCCCCGCTGCGCGCCGCGCCCGGTCAGTTGCGGTCGCGCGTTCGGCAGGGGACGGGGGACGCACTGAGGATAGAGTACATGTCGATCCTGCAGAGCGAGCGAGCGAGAGGTTAGAACACGGCGTGTCAGCGCACCCACACCCCCAGCGAGTCGAGGACCCACGCACGCGTGCCGCGGGTTGTCCTTCTCCGCGTCCTCCGACCACCCCATGTTCGCCCGCGCGTCCACGAGCCGCCGGCCGTGGTTCCTGTGGTCCTGTGCGTCCCGCGCGCGTCAGCCCGCGCCCCCATCCCCCATCCCCGCCCCGCGCGCGCACGCACAAAAGCGACGACGAACAAGTCCAAGCCCCCGCCCTCCCGCAGCCGCAGCCGCTGCACCTCCTCGACGATGCCCACCACGAACTCCTCCATCCGCCGCGCGCTCCCGTTCCGCCCGTGCAGCAGGAACGCGACCGCGACCTCCCTCTCCGCCACCGCCGCCGCTGGGGGGTGGCTGTGGTTGTAGACGTCGACGGCGAGCCCGCCGACGACGAGCGTGCGCCGCGCGAGGCCGCGCTGCGCGAGCCGCGCCGGGGTCTTTTCCGAGGACTGGCGGTCGGCCATCTACGTGATTTGTGTGTTGGCTATGTGGGCGGTCGTTGCTCAGTGTTCAGTTCGTGTATGTTCTGAGACGGACAGGCTGGGGGGTCAGGACTGAGCAGGGCGCGTACGTGGTGCCCGCAGCGCGATTAATATCGAGGGTTCCCGTTCCCAGGACCTCCCCGGCCATACGGGTGCAGCTAAAAGTAGACATCGGATAGTGAATTCAAGTCTTAAGACCATTTAACTAGGAGAAGGGAGAAGGGTGGGGATCGGAGGTCACTGAGGTGAGATCGTCGCGAGGTCGTGAGCGGAGCGGTGCGCGTCGAGCCGGGGCCGAGACGTCGGAAAGAGACAAGGACAAAAAGAACATAAGCCGGGCGAATGTTTAATGAATTCATAGTCCAAGGCGGATCGCCCGCGGCCCCGCCGTCGTCCGCCACGGCACCGCGCACCAGCACGCGAACGACGGCCGGCGCCAGGGGGTGGGAGGCATAGTACGTACTATGTACGATGGACAACAGCGCGGGGGGCGGAGCGAGCACGTAGCGATCGGGGTGCTCGAGCGAGCCGGTGCGAAACAGTCCTGGTGGGAGTCGGAGCAATGGTGGATAGCGTGTCCGGGAAAGACAGATCAGGTAGTAAGTATTCAAAGCCAAGGTCCGTTCGTCCTCTCTGAGGCGACTATGTACGACATCTTCTCCCCAACCCGCCGCTCCCCTCCCCCTCATAGCCTCCCCGGTCGCGCGCTCGCGTTGCTCACCCTCGGCGCGTTCTGGTGGTACGGGTCGAACTCGGAGCTGTGCGTCCGCATGTCGTCGAAGTACGGCGACGATGGCGTCTGCAGGCTGAGCTGGCTCGCGTTCGGCGCCCACGCGTGGCTTTCGTTACCCTGTGAGAGCGGGATGAAAGCGCTAGAGTCAGAACCTCTGAACCCAGGCCCGCCCGCGCGTGCGCCGGTCACGCCGGCCGCGCCCCCAGACGCCGTGCTCATCGGGTACGAGCGCTCCGACGCCTGCCGCGCGACCTCGCGCCTCCGCCGCGCCGCACAGATTCCGAAACTCGCACCGAGAATGCCAACGGCCGCAATCGCCGCGATAATCCCCCCGACCAGGACGCCCGTGTGCGACGCGTCGCTCTTGTTGTTGCCCGTGGTCGTCGTGTTGGACCCGTTGCCTTTCGCGCCGTCGAGGCGGACCGAGGACGGGAGCACGACCGCGTTCGACGTCGGCTGCGTCTCGATGTTGCCTGAGCCGACGGTGACCCAGGTAGCGTTGGACGGGATGCCGGACATAGTGACGAACATCAGCGTCGGCCCGGGCTGGAACAGGTTCGGGTTGGGCGGGAGCTGCGAGACGTGGAGGGTGATCGAGCCGTCGCTGTTGACCGTGTAGGTGTTGTTGAGCTGCATGACACGCTGGCCCATGTTCATCGCGTGAGTGGTCCAGCCGCCACGGACGAGGACAACGGACGTGTTGTCCGCCGCGTCGTTCGCAGAGCCAGAGTACGCAGAGGCAGGGACGGTGAGGTCGAAGTACTTGCCGCCGTAAGTGAGCGTCGAGGGAGCACCGGTGAACGTCGGACGGTTCGAGGCCGAGAAGTAGCTGGGGTAGAAGATCTCCGCCTCGTACGTGGTGGGGAAGACGGTGGTGGTGTTGACGTCGACGTTAGGGTTCGAACCGGCGATCAGGACCGACCCGTCCGGAAGGAGGATAGCAGACGAGTGGTAGAGACGGGCGATTGACGAAGTGTCGAAGCCAGCGTTGGTCCACTGCTTGCCGGCGGCGGCGCGGGGGTTGAAGATCGCAGGAGTGCCGGCGGGGCCAGAAGAAAGCGACTGGCCGAATGGCATCTGGAGGGTGTTGAGAGTACGGGTCGAGTAGCCGGCGGTACCGTTCTCGCCACCGTTGACGACGAGCATGGTGAGATCGGGGAGAGCGATGAACTGGCCCATGGTGCGGGTCTCGAGCATGGGGTCAACCTCGACGTAGTCGACAGTGGAACCGTCGGTGGGCTCAGGGGTGATGGTGTGGCACTTATTGGACGCGGGGATGGTCCAGGTGTCGGCCCAGGGCCAGGAGTAGTTGCCCCACTGCTCGTCGGTCATGAGCACACCACCGCAGAAGATGACGGTGGGGGTCCAGTTGTTCTCCGGAGTGAGGGGAAGCATGGCGGTGGCACCGGAGGCGGGGTAGACACGGACGATCTGGTCGGGCATGTCAGGTAGGTCGGTCTCAGTGTTGGTGTCGGGGTCCCAAAGCACTAGAAAAGCAAAGACGGTCAGAAGGAAGACGGGGGGGATGGGTCGAGGGACGGACTGGTGGAGTAGTTGGCCTGGACGAGCATCTTGCCGGAGGGCATGAGGTAGGTGTGGGGGTAGGCGTTGAGACCGGAGGTCTTAATCATGAACTGCATCACCTGAGCCTCGCCCTTGGCGGGGAAGAACTCGTAGGTCGGGTTGGCGGCACCACCCTCGTAGGCGGGATCGGTGTTGGGGGTGTTGCGGTTGATGTAACCACCGTTGGTGAAACCACCGATGATGGCGATGGAACCGTCCCCGCGAGCCTCGGCAGTAGAGTACCAGCGCTGGCCCTGCATGGAAAGCTGAGTGGCATTGTCGAACCACTGGCAGTCGGGGGACGTAAAGTCATCAGAAGATGTGCAAGGCTTGAGGATACGGATAGCCTTGGTGCCGTCGTAGTCACCGAACTTGGTGTCGAACGTGGCGGTGTACGGGTTGCCCGGGGGGGTGGTGTCGCCGATGTTGCCGCCAGGACCGACGGCGCCGTTGCCACCGAAGGTGACGAAGGAACCGTTGGGGAGGTGGAGGCCGGAGGCGCAGAAAACGTTGGTGGTGACGCCCATCGTGGTCGCGGTGCGGGTGGCAATGTCGTAGACGGAGCCCATGGCGGGGTAGCCATTGAAGGTGGCGGAGTTGGCCTCGGACTTGTCGAGGATGTAGACCTTGTCGAGGTTGCCCAAGAACATCTTTCGGGGCGAGGGATGAGCGGAGTGGGAGGGAGGGGGAGAGGGCGACTGACCATCATGGCGCTGACTTGGGTGTTGCCGCCATTCTCGAAGGAGCCGGCAGAGTGGGAGTCGAGGGCGGAGGTGGCGGCGGCGAGGGAGAGGGCCAGGAGCGAAAGCTGGCGATGGCTCATCGTGAGGTCGTAGGAAGGGCGATTAGAAGGGAGGGACAGTAGAGAGACAGGAGAGTAGCCTAGACGAGGCAGAGGGCGGCGGGGGCGTCCTGGGGGCAGCAAAAGAGAGTGTTGGACGGGGCGAGGACTGGGAGGGAGGAGGAGAGGGAGGCGTTGATGAGCGGTGACGCCCCCTGCCCTTTTCAGACCCCCGCCCCGCTTACGTGAGCGGCCACCGCCTCCTCCTCCGTGCGGCCCTCGCCTGGCCCCGACTCGCGTCCAGCCCGCGTCCGACGCCTTTGCCGTCACGCCTGCTGCCGCCGCGTCCGTTGCCGTCCCCGCCCGCTCGTCTGCGCCCTTCGCCGCATCCTCGCCGTCCCGCCGCCAAGTGCGCGTGCCCGGCTGGACGTGTCTGCGCGCGTCTGGCCCTGGCCGGCCGTCGGCAACGTTCGCGTGCTCGGCGCCCTGCCGGATGAGCGTAAAATTGGAGCAGCTCACGGACGAAACTGGCCGCGTCGGGGCTCGTCACGGTCACCCGAGCAGACGGTGCGCTGGACGACGACTTCATCAACTCCGTTGTCCTCGCCTGCATCAGCCTTGGCACCAAGCCCTGGCATGCCCTCTGCCTGCTTGTCCCCGCCCTCTCCCGGCACCGCGAGCGCGTCCCTGTCAGCTCTAATCCCTCTCAATCTGCGCACATCCGTCGATTCCCGGGTGTCCATCGTCCCGTGCCAACGCCACGCCGCTGCGCACCCGCGGGACGAATGCAATACGATCGCCAGCGTTAATGTCAAAATCAAAGTCCGCAAGACTGTTCCTATACAGTCGCACAGCCCTTGACAGTCACGCCCGCTCTTGTCCCACACCCCCAGTCAACAACAGTCTACGCTCTATCGGTCATGTCACGGGTGATTATGGCTCTCAAGTGTCTATGTTCAAATACCCACCCACGATGGCTACTGAGTACTGAGTGTCCGCGCAGGTCATGCATGATGCAACACGATGGGGACGTGATCAAGCTTCCCGCGCTCACGATGCAGTTCGAACCGCATGGCCGACATTCACCAGACTCTTTTTTTTTTTTTTTTTGAATCCTCGTTTATCGCCCTTGAGGGCGGAGCCCTATGGTAGGCGTATCACCAGACTCACTCTCTGCCCTTGTGGGTTTTCATGTCTTGAGCAAGTAAATTCATCCGGACTCTCACTTACCTGATTCATAGGTTCTTGGGCGCAAACATGAACAGAACCCAAGGTTGCCAACGGACTCAATCCCGTGACCGCTTCTCGGGTCTTCGGACAATTGTGCCGGTGCAGTCACGCGGCCGGTGTTCCTATATGGATGCTGACCTCACGTTTCAAACCTCCGTCCACCTCTATCAAGGATGTCACAGGTGAGCACGTTTAAAATCTCTCGGCTCTCAAGCACCCAGGGCACGCCCAAACACCCACAGTCCCACCCTATACGAATAGTTCTGTTTGGCGATGATGGTGAGCTTCTCCCACACGTGTTGGATACTCATTTCCACTCACCTGTCTAAGTGTAGGTGTGAAAACGCTCATGGAACGGTTCAAGTACAATTGCTTTGACGACTCACACTTCACCGACGGTGATGGTGAGTGACGCTTCATCTCCAGCCTCGGCGGTCCCGCCCTCACGCGTTAGCAAGCCCTCTAGACTTCGCATTGAAGGCTTACATCTTCGAAGACGTGCTCGTGTACGTCCATGCAGAAAGGCCTTTTGGAACTCTGTGCGCGAACCTCGTCTGCGTATTCGATCCACACTCACTCGCCGCCTTTACCAGTTCTTCGGACCTAGTCCATTCACAGATCCACCCAGTCAACGGCTTCCTCCTCATCTACTCCATCGCCTCCAGGCCTTCGTTCGAGAGTATCAGTGCCATACACCGACGCATCTTGACCGCCAAGGGAACAGAGTCCGTGCCAGCCGTCCTCGTCAGCAACAAGATCGACGAGGAGCACGAGCGGCAAATACAAGGGAGCGGTTGCGTGACGTTTCCACTTCCTCTTCCGATCGAGACACAAGCGCTTACTCCGTTTTTGAAGCAGAGGGTGAAGAGCTCGCCAAAAACCTCGGCTGCAGCTTCGTCGAGATCTCGGCAAAGCAAGAAGATGTGGATGTCGCGTTCGAGCGCGTGCTGCGTGCGATCCGGGCGCACGAATTGAAGGTCTGCGTCCTTCGTTCGTCGCACTTGCTCGATCCATCTGGCTGACCTGACAGACAGCCACCCGCTGAAGCTCCGAGGGACGCTTCCAGTCGGATGCGATTTAGACTTGCCGGCTGGAGCATTCAATGCGTCGTCGCGTAACTGCACGTAATCTATTGTTTCCCATGGCCACCCAATTCTTACAAAGACTTGGTGTACCCACACCCCCATTGTCGGGAAGCGACGTGCATGGTTCCATCCACTGATTTAACTGTTGTGTCGTCAGCAGCAAGCTCTTCGACGTGGACGCCTATGCTAGCCGCGATGCAGAGTCTCAAAGAGATCCCTCTTTTGGGCGCACAACACGCTACCGGCAGCCCGCATTGTGACCAATGACACTATATCCGCAGCCAATATAGTCGTCGACCCTCACCCATGTCGCTCACCGTCCTCACAACTCCCTCCCTACCTGTACGAAATGACGTTCTCAATTGACGATTACTTCAACTTCGACCTCGATTCGCCCAACGGCTCTCCGCCACCCTCCCCGCCACCACCTCCGGAGACCCGCACACCTCCCCGCTGCCAAACCCTGGACACTCTGCTCCTGGGGAACATCTTTGTTCTGCTCCGTGACCTCACCTGCGACACGGGCAATGTCCTCGCCGCTGCCTCCGTCTGCAGCCACTGGCGCGCCGTCGCGCGCACCTTCCCCGCCATCTGGACCCGACTCTACGTTGGCCGCTCAGTGCGCTCCGTCGCCGCCTTCCCCACAGCGATCGCGTTCAGCGCCCACGCGCGGCCCCCTCTCTTGCTCAGCGTCTTTATGCACCGCACGATCGCAAACTGGGGCTGGCCGTGGGCGCGCGTGGACAATGCTCTCGTCGGCACTGCGTGGCGCCTGGCTAAGCTCGACGTGTCGGGCGACGACGACGCGGTCGCGGCACTAAACAAGCTCTTCGACCGGGCGTTGTACGGCGAACTCAAGGAGCTCCGCGTCGTGGTGACGACCCTCGCCCCAGCGGTGGTGGTCCTCCCGCTCGCGCCGAGGCTGAGCTTCGTGCTCACCCAAGGCGTCGCGCTGGCGCGGGAAGAGCTGTCCGTTATGTGGTATCCCGAGGGCGTGTTTCTTGAGCTCGGGGCCGGCAGGCGTGAGCACTCGCGCACCCCCAGCGTCGACTTCCGCGGCGCGGCGTTCGAACGAGCGTACGGCAGCCCGTGGCATCTGGACTGGCTCACCAAGGGCTTCCCACACCTGCGCATCCTCAAGCTCAACTACGCATGCTGGCTTTCGCCGAGCGATGGAAAGGACCGTACTGTGGTGATTCTCCCGCTCCTGGACGAGCTCCATGTCAGCGACGGACCCTGGGCTGTCGCGACACTCCTCCAGGTCCTCCTCGCCCCGCAGCTCCGCCACTTCACGTTCATCCTCGACCTCGCCCCCGCCGCGGGCGAGTCCCACAAGGACCGCCCGACACACTTCGCCGCGATCGAGGACCTCCTCCTCCACTCCCGCCGCGAGACCGTCCCGCGCCTCATCGCATCCACCCCCCACCTCGGCTTCTTCCTGCCCCGCGCCTCCCTGCCGCGCATTACCGATGCCTCCTCCCCGCCCCGCTGGAACATCCACCTCGCCAACGCCTCCCCCGCGCAGCTCGCCGCGCTCTTCGCCCACACCCTCCGCACGCTCGTCCCCGCGCTCGACGCCGCCGCCGTGCCCGTCGACGTCGACCCGCGCACCCTCGCCGCCGCCGCCGGCCTCCTCACCCGCCCGCCCTCGCCGCTCCCCCCACCCGCGCCCGGCTCGCTCCCGCGCGCGCCCACGCCCCCCGGGCTCCGCGAGCACCTCCGCGTGCTCTCCGTGCACGACGCACGCGGCGCGCTGCGCGGCGTTGCGTGGGTGCCCGTCCTCGCCGCGCTGCCCCGCCGCCTCGCGCGGCTCGCGGTCGGGGACGCCGCGGTGGCGCGCGCGGTGCTCGCCGCGCTCGACGCGGACGCGGACGCGCGCGCGAAGCGCGGGGGTGGGGGCGGGGGCGGGGGCTGCCTGCGGCCGGACGCGTTGATGCTGTGCGGGGTGGGGGAGTGGAGCGCGGGGTGGGTCGGGGGCGTGCTCGAGCGGTGCGCGCGCGCGGACGTGTTGCGGGCGGCGCGGGTCGAGCTGCGGGTGCCGGTGGGGAAGGATGCAGTGGTGACGGAGGCGTTTCTTGGGCGGGCGGGCGGCGGGAGGGTTTTCATGGTGAAGGGGTGGTGTGGGGTCTGCGACGAGGCGGTGGGGGCGATTCGGGAGGGGCAGGCGCAGGTGCGAGAGCAGGGCCGCGGTTGCGTTCAGCCTGGAGATGCGTCGGCGAGGGGCGTGGTGGCAGACAAGTCTACGTCGCACTGATCGTGTGCAATAATCGTATGTACTATACAGTGCGCCGGAGTTGAAGTTGTATGTCATTCTGAGGGGCTGAAAAGGTATGTCATGCGTGATGCATTGCACACCTGTGAAGCGGGTGGCAAAATCGTCTCGCAAAGACATATACTGCTTGACTTACTTAGCTATCGTACAAAGGGCGTCCAAGGCTAAATCTGTTCCAAGCACGGTCGGCGAAACACGACGTGTGGTTACGCGACGACGCATCGAACGCCACAGCCGGCGGCAAGTCTGGATCGAATCCGACCGGAACCGTCCCTGGGAGCTTCAGCGGGCGGCTGTCCGTCAGGTCAGCCAAGTGGATAGAGCAAGTACGACAAACGGAGGACGCAAACCTTTTCGTGCGCCCGGATCGCACGCAGAACGTGCTCGAAAACGACATCCACATTGTCGTGCTTCGCCGAGATCTCGACGAAACTACAGCCAAGGCGTTTTGAGAGCTCTTCGCCCTCTGCGTCACGCACGGAGTCAGCGCATGTGGCTCGATCGGAAGCGGAAACGAACCGCCTGCTTGCACTTGCCTCTCGTGCCCCTTGCCGAGCTTGCTGCCGACGAGGACGGCTGGCACGGAGTCCGTTCCCTTGACGGTCAGGACGCGCCGGTGGATGGCACTGATGCTCTCAAACGAAGGTCGGGAAGCGATGGAGTAGACGAGGAGGAAGCCGTCGACTGTGCGGATCTGAGGTTGGACCAGGTCCGATGAACTGGCGAAGGCGGCGAGTGAATGTGGATTGAATATGCAGAAGAGGCTTGGCGCACATGGTTCCAAAAGGTGATTCTAACTGCACGTACACGAGCTCCTCTTCGAAGATGTAAGCCTTCAATGCGAAGTCTAGACGGTTTGCTAACGCGTGACAGCCGAGGCTGGGGATGAAGCGTTGCTTACCATCACCGTCGGTGAAGTGTGAGTCGTCAAAGCAATTGTACTTGAACTTTTCCAGGAGCGTTCTCGCCCCTACGCTTAGAAATTTGAGTGGAAATGAATGTCCAACACTTGTGGGAGAGGCTCACCATCATCGCCAAACAGAACAACTCGCATGGGATGGGACTGTAGACGACGATGTTTAGGTGTGGGTGCTTGAGAGCCGAGAGAAAACGTGCCTCACTTGTGACATCCTTGATAAAGCGCCTCAGTCGACGGAAATTTGGAAGGTGCGACGAAAGATCATCATGAGCTGAGCATCGCGGCAGTCACGGGAAGACAGTTCGAACTGACGCGGACAGGCGTGCGCGCTTATCCAGCCCAGGCCTCCTCTTTCTCGTTCCTCTCGAGCTCGAGCTCATGTCAATGCCCGCTTATTCGTTCGTTCTATACACCAATAGCAGCTGCACTTCTTGTCCCCGCATGTTCTGGGGGAGTTTTAACCTTAAATCCGCCACTGTATAGTACCTCAGCCCCACAATATTCTCCGCCTCCCAGAGTGCTGGTGCCCGTTCGAATTCCTCACCTTTGAATTGATTCCTCTCCATCTCCATCTTCCCTCTATACCACCACCATGATCAGAACATCACGCAAGCCACCTCGACCTGCAAAGCGCACCGGCACCACTGATGTGTACTCGTGCCGGGGTCTAACGGCAACACGTCTCTTAGCTTGTCGGTTTCTTCGAGTACGCCTGTCATTCTTTATTTGGCGTCTTCCCCGTCTTCCCCCCTTCCTATCGCATCCATCCAACTACGTCCATGCACGCGCTATGTGAAGATGCGCACAACTCAGACGACCCGGAGGCCGGACCTCCAACCTCCAGCGCCGCCGCCCTCCGAGGCTCCGTATCCTCGAAGTCACTATTGCGCATGCCCTCCACCACGTCGCGGTTCGACCGGTTACCGTACCCATTGGTTCGCATCGACGTACTCGTTGCACAGACACGCCTCATCCTCCCGCACGCCGCCTGTCCCCCAAGATCCGCGCTCGCACTCCGCACTTCCAGCCCCGCCTCACGGCGACTCGCGAGTCACACATCACATGTACATGCACGCGTCGAGCGTGATCATGATGTCGCCCTCGCTTTGGCCATGTTCGACTCCAACGGCCATCTGCTTCTTTGTGGGTCCGCGAACAAAGCCCGGCGATCCGCTCGATCGACGCCAGCATCATGAGTATTAAACTCATCATTTTCGCCTTTCACGACCTGGATCTCTCCACCGTCCACCCCTCACCGAGAACAGTGGAAAGATGAACACTCCTACTTTACAACAAGGCACAGGAAGTAAGTATAACGCATGTTATCGCCTACTTGTTTTCATTTTGCGCCACAGCATTGGTGGACTCGCCACTGGGGGTTGCCACCCTCCCCTCAAGCATCCTCGAGCACGTTTTCCTGGACCTTTACAACGACTACTCGAACTCCTATCAAGACTTCGGCCACGGATTTCACGCGTCCTGGGTTCCCGTCTCATGGGTGTGCCGCCACTGGCGCGCCACTGCGCTCACCACATCCGAGCTCTGGCACCGCATCGACTTCCAGGACCAGCGCGACCCCGCGTCCATCGCCCCCTTCCTCGAGCGCGCCGGTGCCCGCGACAACCTCTGCGTCTCCTTCAGCGGGTCCGACCTGGACATCTCTGCTGCATGCGCCGCCGTGCTCCCCTTCGCCCCCCGCACCTCGTACTTCGCCGCCATCTTCGAGCCCGCCCACGCGCCCGCCGTGCTCGCCGTGCTCGCCGCTCTCGGACCGCCGCTCAAGTCGCTGCAGGTCTTCGCGACCGGGCCGGTGCTGGGGCGCGAGCTCCGCGTCGACGCGGCGCGCACCCCGCGGCTGGAAACGCTCGAGGTCGAGCACGTCGTGCTGCGTGTGGACGGCACCCTGCACGCCCTCTCGGAGCTGTCCCTCGCGCAGCTCTGGGGAGTCGGTGCGCCGGCGCTGGACAGCGCGTGGCTGCTGGGGCTGCTGAGAGCGTGCCCGAACTTGCGCGAGCTGTACGTGGACAGCGCGCTCCCGGGGGTGCACCTCGACGCTAGCGACCCGAGGATGGCGAGGGTGGAGCTCAAGGAGCTGGAGGAGATCCGGATCGACGACTTTGCGCTGGACATCCAACACGTCCTGCGGCACCTGGCTGTGCCCGAGACGTGCACGTTCGATATCGTCGTCCGGTACGACGAGGACACCGAAGGCATCGAATGTGGCAGCAAAGACGACGATAGCCTTCGAACCAAGGTCACTCCGCCCATGGACGCATTTCCAGAGAACCGGTGGGAGCTCTTTCCGGCGCTCGCCACCGCCGAGCACGTCGAGGTGCGCCTCGGCGCGCGGGGTCGTCTCCCCGAAGCACAGATCGCGGTCGGCTACTGGACGATCAACATCCCAAAGCCCATGTGGGCGGTCCCCAAGTCTCAAGCGGACGAAGAGGACGACGACAAAAAGTCGACGGTCGACCGTCCCGCGCTCGCCATCCACGTCTTACTCGGCCTCCCTGCCCTCGCGAACCCGCGCACCCTCACGTTCCTCTCGCTGCACCTCTCCCGCGCGATCCCCGCACTGCCCAAGACCACCTGGCTGGGCGTGTTCCGCGAGTTCGGCCGCGTGCGCGCGCTCACGCTCGGCGGCTTCCGCGCGTTCGGCGACGTGATGGAGGTCTTCGTCGGGAACCCGGGCGCACGGCTGCTGCCGGCGCTCCTGCAGCTCACCGCGTGCGTCGCGGTGGATTCGCGCGAGGGCGCGAACGTGCGGTACCTGCTGGGCGCGAACATGTTCGCGGCGTGGCTGGAGCAGCGGAAGGAACTGAGGCTGGCGCCGGTCGGGTTGGTGGTTGAGGTGCCAGATCGGCGGCTGAACGGGGCGACGGTGAAGTTCGCGAGCGCGTTGGTCGCGTACATGGCGGTCAGAGGGTGGTCGCAGCGTGTGCATAAGGAGGAGTGTCCGACGTGCCACGGGGTGTGTGTAGATGAGTAGTATGGCGATGGCACGGCCAGGCGCAAGCTCGTTGCGTCTGAAAGCGTGCAGACAGAGTTCAATATCAATTTGAAGTTCAATGACGATCGACTCAGTGAGTCCCACGGTGCACGTACTCATACATCTGTTTACTTGGCTGACTTACGGCCCTCGAGCTCGCTGTGTAGTCGAACGTCATCTCCGAGTTGTGTAGCATACAACATATGTGTGTCCAATGTTGATCGTGGCGCTCTTGGGAACTACACATGTGCTTCCCAGAACCACTTGATAGCAGACTCTGCAAGAGAGGTGCCGGCTGGTACCGGTGCACAGTATTTCATCGGCATCGACTTCGCGTTTCGTACTACTCAAGTAGATGGTTGGGAAACCCTCAGCTCTCCTCGTTCGCGCTCTTCCTTTGTGAGAAGGTGACTTTTGTGTGAAGTGTTCGGCATTTGAATAGATAAGCTATGTAATGCTCTCTCCTTCCATCTACTTATGACCGGGCAAGGCTTGCACTGAACGAGGATGCGTATGCTTCTGACGGCAGTGGCCGGGCGGGGCGGTCCAGTGCTGACTAACACCTCAGCGCCGCTATCAGCACGTTCGTCGCTGCACTCGTCTAGCTACCGCCATCGCCCTCACCCATCCCACTCCGCCAGATCTAGAGCTGCGCAAGTGGCTATCTGCGCTGCCTCGCGCGCCAGAGCCCGCGCTCACGGATGAGTTCCGTGCCGCTCGGGCGGGCAACGGCAAGCCTGGTCAGCATATGTCCCTGACGTCACTCCAAACATCCAGCGCAGGCTTATAGCCCTCCTCTGAGGCCTGAGGCTCGCCCCGCCCCTCTACTCGTCTCCGTCCACACGAGCCATGTCGCCCTTCTCTCGCCACATCAACTCTCCGCCTGCCGACACCAGGGCCGTCAAGCACCGCGTCCACGAAGCCTTCCTCGAGAACATCGTCCGCGTCCACCGCCACCCGTCCAACACCCCGAATGTCTACAATGGCAGCGCAGGTACGCCCTCTAGTCCCCACCCTTCCACGTTCCACCCCACTCATCCCCTCCTCAAGGCGAGATCATCGCCGACATGCGCGTCTTCCTCGCCTCGCCCACCAAGTCCCTCCCCACCACCCCCACCTCTGCTCTCATCGCGGTCCCCTTCCACGACCGCCACCACGGTTCCCGCGTCGCCTTCCTCGACACCCCCGTCGGCCCCGCCACCCTCGTCCTCGTCCGCCAGCTCCGCCTCCGCCAGGCCCCAGACTCGTCTGCCCACAAGCACGCCCGTCGCGGAAAGCTCGACGCCGACGTGCTCGAGCAGGTCGAGCTCGCCGAGACGTGGCTCGCCGCGGTCAGGCTGGTGGAACAGGCGGCGCAGGTCGCGGAGAGCGAGCCGTTGAGCGATGACGGGTGCGAGGTGCTCTATGGACGCGCGGGGTTGCTGTATGCGCTCCTTTTCCTCCGCAACGAGCTCGACGTCACGCTCCGCGACCTCGCCAGGCAGGGGAAGGTCAAGGACAAGGTCGTCCGTACCGTGGAGGGGCTCTGCTCAGACGAATGCCTCAAGGCGGTCGTGGAGGACATCCTCAGGCGCGGCAAGTTCGGTGCGGAGTTGTATAGAGAGCAGCTTGAGGAAAGCGAGAGGGAGAAGGCGCCGCGGCACATGTGGAGATGGCACAACTCGCGCTACCTGGGTGCGGCGCACGGCGTCGGTATGTCTACCTCATTCGTGCACAGTGCACGCCTTCGCTCACCCCTCGTATTATCAGCCGGGATCCTCCACATGCTGGTCCACGCACCCTCAGCCATCGTCCTCCCGCACTGGGACGACATCCTGCACACAGTAGAGTGGCTGCTCGCCGTCCAGGATCCGCTTGGCAACTGGCCGACGGAAGCTGGGCAGCACATGGCGCACATCTCTGGAGGTGCCGCTGTTCAGCCCGACACGAAGCGCCTCGGAGTCAACGAGGAGAGGGACGACACGCCCGTTCAATGGTGCCACGGTGCACCCGGGTTCGTCATGCTGTTCTCCGCGATCCTCCGGCGCGCCGCGGCGTCTCCGTCGACGTTTGTGCTCCCAGAGGAGCTTCACACGTCCATCCGCGCCGCGACGACCCGCGCGGGGGAGCTCATCTACACCCATGGGCTGCTGCGGAAGGGAGTCGGGCTCTGCCACGGGGTCGCCGGCTCCGTTTTCGCTCTGCTCGCCATCTCCGACGCGCTCGACGAACACGCCACCTCCCCTGCTCACACGCCACCGACCTCGAGCTCCCCGCGCTCACCCCGTTCTTTCGTGATGCAGCTCTCCCACCACGGCTCTATGCGCGGCTCGCACATAGAGGCGGGCTACTGGATGCAGCGCGCGGCCCATCTGTCGGACCTCGCGGTCGGATACCGCGCGCTTTCCCAGGAGGGACAGATGAACTTGCCCGACCATCCGTATAGCCTTTACGAAGGACTGGCGGGGATGTGCTGCGCGTGGGCGGAGGTGTACATCCGTCTGTGCGCGGTGGAGGGCTCGTCGAACGGGCACGCGAACGGCCATTCGACGGCCAACGGGAGCCACCACACGCCCGAGCACTCTCATGCAGGCATGCCAGCGTACGACGACCTGACGCTGTTGGGTTGAGGGCGCCCTTTGTTTGATCGTCATTGTATGCTATCATTGTACGGTATGTGGCGGTCTCACAGTGTCGTTGCGTTTGGGCTTACTCCTGCCAGTCTGGCAGGTATTGGATGTATGGCACAGCGTTTGATCTTTATGGGATCATTCCTGGGACGCCTTCTCGTCTTGTGCGCGTGCGACGAGCGTGGTCGACCCGGCCGTCGCAACTCCATCCTTTCCCACATACAACCGGCCGCAACCCAGCGCCCGGGCACACCAATGCCCAACCCGTCGTCTGTCTCGGGCACGACTGCGCGACGGACCACATACGGGACTGGCCCGGGTGCGCGTGGGAGTCCGTGGATGACGGTGGGGCGTGTGCCTCGCGTTCATGCACTCGATCGGCGCGGCGCGGCGCCAGCGCCGGCGAAGGCGAAGGCGAAGACGGCAAGTTCTTGTGTGCGGTTTCGCGGTCTGGCCTTGATGTGCTTCTGACAGGTGCACGAGATCGAGCGGATCCACCTGGAGAAGGTGCTCAAGAGCACGCGCCCGTCGGTCCCAGCGGAAGGGTGCGGGCGGCTCGGACGGATGCAAGAGTGCTCGCTACGTTGATGCTGACTGCTTACGTGCGCTTTAGACACGGCGCGTTCGTGTCAGACAGGGGTGACGAGCTGCCGGGGCGGCCAGAAGCAGATGGCATTGGACTGAGAGCGTCATTGCGATGATAGGAATCGTATGCGCGAAGAGATAGACAAGGGGGAAGCTGTACGTACCGAGTTCCAAGGGGAGAACTGGCAAGAGACGAAGGTAGATCTCTGTCTGGCCACGAGTACCGTGTACCACATCGAGGCGCTCCGGACGGGGTGGATAAGGACGAGTATAATTAATTGGGAGAGGCTCGCTAGCCTAGCTGGTACGACTCCCAAGTCGCGCTTGATAAAGTGCGACGGATATTGGGGGCGGCGTGCTGCACATTGCGATTGGTGAGCGGGCACGGCGCGCTGCCATGGTCGTCGGGCTGGGATGGTGAGCTGTCTCGCGTCCACATGCGCGAAGAGCCGGGGGCGCTATTGGGTTGCAGATACTCTGGTCTCACACGAGCCGGTGGCGGGATGCGGTACAGAGCGTCTGGGGACGGGACCAAGGTACTCCAGCTTACCGCCTTTGCGGCCCGGCTTCATGTGGATGAGCTTCATGTGCTAGCGTGCGCACGTGGGACATCTCCGCCCCCGCCCCACATGTCGGGCAGATGCCATTAATGTCCGTGCCCGCGTGGCAGATGCGATACCAAAGATGGGGTAAGTGGACAGACATCCATAAGAACAAGTCTCAAGAGGCGCCGTGCGAAGCACGGAGACAGTCGCGGCCCGTCCGGGTGGAGAACGACGGAGCCGGCGGCGAATGGACTTCTGGTGTCGGGTTCCGCCGTCACGCGTCAATATTCAATTCTCGTCCCCAGCCGCACTGTACCACACCCCACCATTGGCGCGCGCCTACATGCCAGTTGGCAATGTGCCGGGCGGGTTCAACGCCGCCTGTCCCGGGAGTCGAGTCACAGGTCAATTCGGCGGTTTCTACGTTGTTCTACATTCCTCGGGTGTCCTTATGTACAAATCCGTGTCACAGCCCATGCAAGCGGCCAATGGCGTAGTTGAGGATGGTGAAGCGGTCGACGGTACCGTGTGCGCGCACGAGAGCAGTCGACCGTCGCGCGCCTTGGTCTCGTCCCCAGACGCTCTGGAGTCTGTACCGCACCCCAACCGCACCCCGCCACCGCCTACACTTGTGAGCATCGAGAGAGCGAGACGGCGCATCCCAACGATATTATTGGTAGGGTGTCGTGGATAGCCGCATTGACAGCATGACAGCGGGGACCAGGGTGGCAGCGGAGTAGAGGGAGCCGTCACGGAGGCGAGCGTAGCGGAGGCGCCTCTCTGCCAGATCAAATCTCACAGGCCATATCTCACTTTTACGACAGGGCAGGGAGGGAGAGGATAACAAAAGAGAAACGTATAGGCGGGACACGTCACGTCGCGCCCACGGGATTGGGATTTGGCAAGTCCGGCCCGTGACAGGCACAGACAACTGACTCCGGCGCAGCTGGACACAGTACGATGCCAGATACTGGAAGGCGGTCAAGCAATTCTCGCATGACAGAAGCGCGCCTGAAGCGGGCACACCACCAGTGAACCTGCTGCCTGCCCCTCGGCAAGTCCCACTGAAGTGCCTCAACGCAGGCCACGTGCGCGAATACTCGCTGCAGAAAACGACCTTCCTTCTCGTCATGGGCACGGATGTCTGGCTCTCGCTGCTTATAAGGAGCCCAGAATGACTGCTCCCCAGACCTCTCGCTCATCATGCCACTGCCCTCAACTCTTCCAGAACTTGCCGTAGGCAGCGGTGCCCTTATGAACTCTTTACTTGACTGACTACATATCTGTCGCACTACAGCTCAATTATGACTATTCTCTGGGAGAATGGGCAGTGGTCATCCTTCCCAACAATTCTAGGTATTTTCTCTTTGAGAAGACGTGGTTTCCACTGTCGCCAGATGGTTCCCAGTTGGCGCTGTACAACCTCACTCGAGTGAGCCTCGTTCACTCGTCCAAGCGCGATCTCTCAACCTAGGCGTGCTTGCTTGCTTTCAGGATCGGGATCTCCCCGAGGGCACACTCGCCTACCTCAGGGCAGAGAACGGTACACGCGTCTGCTACGTCAAGCACCCCGACGGCCGTTGGCATCCGGCTCAACATGCCCTCAGCGCACTGGAACAGGTAATGTGAATCAGTCTGGGTCGGCGTTTTAGATACGTTCTCACACCTTGCTCGCCTTCAGACGCCAGTCCACCCTAGCTGTCAGGTTGTTCCGTACAAACCGTACCGCCCGAAGGGCTGCTCGCCGGGCCCTCCTCCTGCCAACGCAACGGACGTCGAGCTCAACGTTCTCATCTCCTCAGCCATGAAAGGGGAAGTCGCGCACCCTACTGAGCCGGCATTTCCTGTACTCAATGGCAACCAGGACCACGAGAAGTTCTCTGTCCGTTTTGGGGTCCGTCCTCTATCTCTGTTCTCCGAATCGATCTCAAGTGCTCCATTCCATCCTGCAGATAGAGGGCTTCGACGAGAAGGATGAAAGGAAGCAGTACAACACCCGCCGCAACAAGCAGCCGCTCACCCGCGCCGAGCTCGCGGTCCTCGTTTCCGAGCTCTTCGTCGCGCGTGCCGTGAGTCCTGCCTCTGTCATCCGACGCGCTGAACCCTCAACGCGTCGTTGCAGGCCAAGCTCAACCACAAGCTCTGTATCGAGGGTCGTGAGGTGGACCTCGACGCGAAAAACATCCTGGTCGTTCGTGTGGAATGGGTGACGACAGGGACCATCCAGCCCATCCTTCGCTTTGTTCACTAGGGCTCGTCACGGCATCAGGAGCGTGAGGTATCTTCTTGGGCCAGGGTGGAGCCCTGGCTCCCCGCCGAACGGCTTCCCTCTTCTTGTATTCCACTAGAGATCGATGCAAGAGCGTCAGATCCACCGCCTGGACTTGCAGCTGGAGGGACTGCGACATTCGGAGCACTTCTGACAGCCCGTCCAAAGGCGAGGATGCCGCTAGCGTGGGCGATAGAACGCAGGCTTGATGTGGATATCGTAGAAAAGGCGCTCGAAATGTGGTCGTCTGAGCATGCGACACAGGATGAGGAATGGAACAGCGATAAGTTACAGCAATCCTCCATTTCGCCCTCACGGCCCGTTGCACCACACGTTCCCGAACGCGTCCCGCGCGCCTCCCGTCGCACCGCCCCCGACGTGTCCCTTGCGCCCCGAGTTGAGGTACCCGACCGCATAGCTGTCGCTCGCGGTAAACGCCAGCAGCGGGCACTTGAAGCCGAGGAACACGGGGCACGTGCGGTCTGTCGCGTTGCACACCTCCCACTTGAGGTCCCGGAGTTACCCCGATCAAGTCGGTCAGCCGGGACACCGCCATTTGCCGAAGGTACCGTTCACCCGGGCTCGGCCGGACTCACCCGGTTACCTCGGCAGAGTCGTTCGGCCGGACTCGCCCGGTTTTCCCAGGGGAGTCGTTCGGCCGGACTCTCCTGGTTTTCCCGGGGGAGCCTTTCGGCCGGACCCGGTTGAAGTGGGTATGGTGTATAGTATGTGTAAAACATGTTGTAGGGTGTATGTAAGGCTTCAACTAGGTAGCTTGGTTTTATAAAGGGTGGGTAATGGGGTATAGTATACCACACAAGTAGGGCTGGGGTGTGCTACAGCACAGAACCCAGTCACTGGGGGCCAGCCGAACCCACCCAAGCACATAGCAGCTGCCTTTGTGACCTCCGAGATGAGGCAGGTACTATCTGACATAAGGTTTGGCACAGTGAGCAGGGTCCAATGCAAGCAGCAGACCACCAGGCAGTGGTGCAGGCCCAACACTACACCAGGTGGCAATGGATGGATGGCCGGCGATAAACAGATGGCCGGTATTAGATGGATGGCCGGCACTGGGCAGTAGATGGATGACCGCCGGCAAACAGACGGCCGGTGATGCAGCTTGAAGCGGACCGACTGTCGGCAGTGGAAGCCTCGGACTGACCGCAGCGGAGCGCCGGCTGATGGCGGCCGCGCATAGCGCCGGCGCATCAGCGGCTGTGCACTGCCGCCCGCGCTCCGAGTGATCTGAAGTGGCCGCCCCCCCGACATGTTTGTATTCGTTCTCCGCCGTTATTGGTCGTAATGACATGCAAAAGAGCGCGTTATGTGCGTATTAACAGCGCGAATCAAAAGTGCCCTGGAACGTTACGTTCCGTGCAGGCGCCGGCCCGTGACGTTATATGTAAAAATGGGGATGAGATGGAGTATGCTGACATTAACTTACATCGGACGGACGGATGAATACCCAGATAGTCTCTGCATAATCTGTGGATAACGAAAGAAGCAAGAATCGTGAAGAAATAGCAGAAACTCGCGAAGATATACTGTTTTGACCAAAAGTGTGGTTCACATATAGGTGGGCTTCCATATGTTGGGATGGAGGATAGATATTGCATATCTGTAAGCTTTCACATTGATTGTAGTGTACACAGACCAGGAATCTATGTTTGTGCGCAGACAGATTAAGAATTGATGGTACAGTGCGATATGTCATTTTTCAATGACATACACAATATCGATACAACATGCGAGCTCATCACAGCACACAATAGCAGAACAGACTCGCCTTTACAGCAGCTTTCCAACGCAAAAAGAATCTCGAAATTCCGACAGGAACCCATGGAGATGTCGCACATGGGCTCAGAATGTGGCTTCGTGTGCTTGGTGATTTGGTTCCTGGTCTGTGTACACTACAATCAATGTGAAAGCTTACAGATATGCAATATCTATCCTCCATCCCAACATATGGAAGCCCACCTATATGTGAACCACACTTTTGGTCAAAACAGTATATCTTCGCGAGTTTCTGCTATTTCTTCACGCTTCTTGCTTCTTTCGTTATCCACAGATTATGCAGAGACTATCTGGGTATTCATCCGTCCGTCCGATGTAAGTTAATGTCAGCATACTCCATCTCATCCCCATTTTTACATATAACGTCACGGGCCGGCGCCTGCACGGAACGTAACGTTCCAGGGCACTTTTGATTCGCGCTGTTAATACGCACATAACGCGCTCTTTTGCATGTCATTACGACCAATAACGGCGGAGAACGAATACAAACATGTCGGGGGGGCGGCCACTTCAGATCACTCGGAGCGCGGGCGGCAGTGCACAGCCGCTGATGCGCCGGCGCTATGCGCGGCCGCCATCAGCCGGCGCTCCGCTGCGGTCAGTCCGAGGCTTCCACTGCCGACAGTCGGTCCGCTTCAAGCTGCATCACCGGCCGTCTGTTTGCCGGCGGTCATCCATCCACTGCCCAGTGCCGGCCATCTGTCTAATGCCGGCCACTGTCTGTTTATCACTGACCATCCGTCCATTGCCACCTAGTGCAGTGTCGGGCCTGCACCACTGCCTGGCTGCATTGGACCCCAGTGCTCCCCAGTATGTCTGTCCTCGGACACCCACCTCCAAATATCAGAGGTCTTGAAGGTGGCTGCTACATGCTTGGGTGGGTTTGGCCAGACCTGGGTGACCAAGTTCTGTGCTACAGCGCTACCCATGCGGTGTATACTTCATAACTATCAAACCTGGAGGCCTAATTGATCATATGAAGCCCTACATACACCACACAGCATGTTTTATGCATGCTACACTGTATTCACTTCGACCAGGTCCGGCCGGGCGGCTCCCCTGGGAAAACCAGGGGAGTCCGGCCGAACGACTCCCCTGGGAAAACCAGGTGAGTCCGGCCGAACGACTCTGCCGAGGTAACCGGGTGAGTCCGGCCGAGCCCGGGTGAACGGTACCTTCGGCAAATGGCGGTGTCCCGGCTGACCGACTTTGCCGAGGAAAGCCGGGACATGCACTGCACCTCCAGGCACGGCGGCAGCACCTCGTACGCCTCCCCGAACGCGGGCAGCGCCGGGTTCCGCGCGCGGAAGTGCTCGCGCCGGAGGACGTCGGGCCGGTCAGGTTGGACTCGCCGCAGCGGGGGAAGGAGACGGTGCAGAGCCGGGTACGGTGCGCGGCCTGGCAGTCAGTGCAGGTCACGAGCGGGGAGTAGTCGTCGCGGCTGCAGGCGAGGGTGGTGAGGGTGGACGTGAAGTTGGACATGCCGGAGACGATCGTCTCGCCGACGGGAGAGGGAAGGGTGGGGGCGGTGTATGCGACCTGCGGGGAACGAGGGACGGCCAACGGGACGGCGTAGGCGACAGTGGGGCAGTAGGGCAGTTGGTGGACGAGCGTGCACGCGAACGAAGCTGTGGAGGCCGATGTAAGGGAATATGGGGCGCGAAGAGGGCAAGGAAGGACGTACCGGACTTGGTGAAGAACATGACCAGCTTCGAAGCGGCTATCGTGCCATCCTGGAGGGTTTACATGGCATGGTTGGTCTTGGGCGTAAGCCCCCCTCGCTCCCGCCCATGAACCATTCCCATCCCCAGCCCTGATTGTCGCGTAGCCAAAGGGTGGCGGATTTGGAGCTCAAGATTTTCGCACCGCTGCTTGATTGCTGGGCGGCGGAGCGGATAGCACAATTTGTGCGAGGGACGGAGGAAAGGGGAAAGTTGGCGGTAGGGACGTTGACAAGGGTGTAATTCGTGGGGGACGAGGGGGCATTAATTTGGGTGAGGTTCGCACTGGGGATGGTTAGGAGGGCTCGAGGTGGGCTTGGGGGTTAAATGGTGGAGAGAGGACGATTGCTTGATTCCCGGTTGTCTCGCTTGCGAACGGGGACGGGGGATTGGTGCCATCTAGAATGGGGTCAAGGACAGGCTTGGGAGAGAAGACGAGGAAGACGGACTGGGTGCAGTGAGAAGGATCTCGAATGGGGTGTGTACGCTCCCAGCCTGGATGGCGAAGAATCCTCCTCTTGTGAAAAAGCCTGCATGGCTTCTGTACCCTTCTGGCCCAAGGGAGATCTCAAACACGGATTTGCCGTTCACGTTGTCTGGGCCTGGTTGGGTGATGGAAGAGTCGTTGGAGAAAAAGAGGCGCGGCGCGCCGGCGGAGGAGGTGCAGAGACCAACATAGACATAGTGGAGGTCGGGCGAAGGAGAAATGAAGAATGCGGGCGGTGAGGGGAGGCTGGAGCTCGGGAGTTGAAGTCTCGGACCGTATCAAGAGCGAGCTGCTGCTGCTGTGCTTCGGCAAGCAGGATGGACGAGGGCAAAGAGAGAGACGGGGAGCAGCATGACCAGCGTGGGGGAGAGGAGGAGGAGGAGGAGGAGGAGGAGGAGGTTGAATTCTTTGATAGAAGGGCTGCTTAGGGGAGACCAGGTTAAATTAGCAGTGCCTCGACACCGCCGGAAGCGCCGAGGAATCCCACTTAGCCAAACCGGCCCGGTGTGACATCATACATGCACCGTCCGGCGGCTGGAATGAACAACAAACGTTCAGCGCAGAGACGCGGCGGACGCTGAGGGAGGAGGGAGCAGGGCATATGTCATGCAGTCTTCTGGAAAGCCCAAGTCCGGATGGAGGCTGCGTGCCAAACTCGCGTGGGCCTTGATTGCGATTTTCCGTGCCTCTCGGGACGGGAGAGTCGGAAGTGGTGACGTCACGCACGACGCGTGCATGTGATGCGTGACTCGCGAGTCGCCGTGACGCGCGACGCGTCCACTGCTGCAACTGGGGCCACACTGCCTGTACCCGTTCCATCCGTCTTCTCCAGACTACCATCAAACTAGTGCTTTTCTTCGAGTGCTTGGAAATGTCGTCTTCAAATCTTTCCAAACATCAGAACCGGAGGCCCAGCTCAACTTCTCTCAAGTTCAACCAACGTTCGGTTAGCAGCAGAGACGATACCCCACCTCCGACAAAGAAGGCCAAGACCAAACCTCTGATGTCGGTCAGTTTGAGCTTTTCGCTGATTGTGGTCTCATGCTCACGCCTGGAACGGCCAGCTTGCGCGACCTCCCATATTCGATCTCACCGGCCTCGAGCCTTCGCCACCACCAAAGACGGCCAAAAGCAAGGGGAAGGAGAGGGAAATCCTGTCGCAGAGAGTGGCCTCGTTTCAGCACGAGGGTTCAGGTACGTGGTTGCGTGCGTTCTTGTCAGAAACACCGGTCTTAAAGCGCGTGTTTGAAGACACAGCGTTATGGATTGATTTGTTTGAGCCCACAGCCGAGGTATGCTCCATCATCTTTGTCAACGTCCCCCAGGCTTCATGCGGACACGTCGTTAGGAGGAACTGGCGGTTCACAAGCGCAAGGTGCAAGACGTACGACAGTGGCTGCTCGAAGCTTTCGACGGCGGTCCTTCCGGGAAACTATCTAAGTACCGGGTGCGTCCCCTCATACCTTTTTCTCCTTTCATTCTCAACGTCCGATCTTCTAGCGCATACTAGCCCTCACTGGGCCCGCAGGAACGGCGAAAACGGCGACTGTACGCGTGCTCGCACGGGAGCTCGACTTCGAGATCGCGGAATGGAGCAACACCATGGACGAGCAGTTCTCCCGGACAGAAGGCACCTGGGACACAGACTACGAGGGGTTGTCCGAGAAGTTCCAAACCTTCCTTACCAGAGCCTCCAACTGCCAAAACATCTTCTCCCGTCCCCCCACGCAAACCAACACTTCGTCCCAGCGATCTACAACCGCCGTACCGTCCACGACGGCCTCCACTAGCACATCGAGACGCAAGGTCGTCCTTGTCGAAGACCTCCCGAACATCCTCCATCCTCGAACACAGGAGTCATTCCATGCAACGTTAGAGTCCTTCGTGGCTTCCACGGCGAGCGTAGGAGTCCCCCTCGTGATTGTAGTCAGCGATGCCGGTGTACGAGGCGAAGACGCAGAGGCAGACGGTCCTCGGCGCTGGTCCCGCGGGAAAGAGGCCGTCGATGTGCGGACCGTGCTGCCCCCGTCCCTCCTGAGTTCCCCCGCTGTGAGGCAAATCAAGTGCGTTCTGCCCGGCGTTGACGCTGACTCCCCGCCTGACCCGCGTTCGCAGCTTCAACCCCATCGCGGCGACGTACATGCGCACTGCGCTGAAAAGTCTGCTGGATCGACAGAGGGCCGTCGGCGTTCGACCGTCGAAGGACGTCCTCGATCTCATCGTCGAGTCTTCCAATGGCGACATTCGGAGCGCCATCATGGCGCTGCAGTTCGCGTGCACGGCGGACGGGTCAGCTCTGCCACTGAGCAAAGGAAACAAACGGAGCGCGAAGGGCAAGGGACCATCGGCAGCCACTGTGCTCCAGGCGGTCACGCGACGGGAGCAGAGCTTGGCTCTGTTCCATCTCCTGGGGAAGATTATGTACAACAAGAGTGCGTGGGCAGCCGATCTCCGGGCGGACACCTTCTCACGACGCAGCACGTTGCAGGGAAAGGCGACCCCCCGACGCAGTCGGCACCGGCGAAAGACGTGAAACGAGATAAAGAGCTCGATGCGCGTCTTAAAGACCCTCCCCTCCTCCCGCCGCATTTCAGCGAGCACGATCGAAGAGCAAGCCGCGTCGACATCGAGGTCCGTGTCCGCGCGATCCCCGCTCCTCGTGCTCACCGCCTCTTCAGGAGTTGTACGCCGATAGCCCCATCGACGCATCCCTGCTCTCTCTGTACATCCACCAGAACTACACCCAGTACTGCGACACCCTCGACCAGTGCGAAGCGCTCGCCGACATGCTCAGCTGGGTAGACTCGAGCGGGGGAGAGGCGGTGAGCGTCACGCAGCCTCGTCGCGTCTCTCTCACTGACCGCGAGCTTCCCAGTGGCACCAAGCGAACCCGCACCACTTCCATCTCGTCGCGCTCGGGACGCTGCACGCGCTCCCGAGCCCCGTCCCGCGCCGGAACCAGAAGCCGTTCAAGCCCGCGTTCTTCGAGAGCCTGCGACGGCAGCGCGCGGCGGAAGAGGGCGTGCAGAGCGTGCAGGCGTGGCTCCAGCGGGTGCGTCCGCTCGCCCTCGCGTGGTTGTTGTCGTGCTGACGCCAACTCTCGTTGGACAGGCGGGCGGCATGCCCTCGGCCAAGTGGGCGCAACGCGAAGTCGCCTTGGGAGCGGGGACGGTCCTAAGGCTCGCGGACGGTACGTATCGTCGTCCGCTCGCGAGGGCCGAACGCTGACCGCTACGCCCACCAGGATCTGCGCGCGTCCCTCCGGCTCACCGCGCGTTCTCCCGGCTCGACTTCCATCAGCAACCGGCGAGCCAGTCCGCGGAGCTCGCGGAGGAGGGCGACGTGGGCGACGAGGTTGAGGTCGAGCCGGACTCGCAGCGTCGCGTTGCTCCGAGCCCTGCTGTCGAGGCAGACGTGTCCACCGGCCGGTGCTTGTCGGACGACGACATTGAGGAATGGTAGAGATGCCGGTTTGGATCGCGTCACCGCCGCTCTCGGCGGCGGGAACGTGGTGCAGTTATGGAAGGACGGGAGCACGACGATACCCCCTAGTGTAGCTAATCGAAGAGACAGAATATGACACGGAAACAGTGTGTAACGAAAATGCTCGTGGCCAGCAGAAAGTGTGGCTCGTAGCGAGAGTGGCGAAAATAGCGAGGACAGAACGAAGGTGGATTACTCCTGGTCCAGATCGACCATGTCGTCCTCTCCCAGAAGCCCTATGGGGTGTCCGAAAGCCTTCACCTCTTCTTGCTCAACTTCATCGTCCGACTCACTGTCCAGGACAACCACACCCGAGTCCGCACGAGGTTCGTCGGCGGACACGTCGAGTGGCTTCTGGACACATGATCGTTTCTTCCCCGGGCGAGGACCTAGCTCGATCTTCCGCGTGGAATTTGGGGCGGCTAGCGTGCCCAGCTATAGCAGCATTGGCGACGAGCAAGTCATGAAAGAAGTCCGGCGCACCTTGCTGTGCGTGTTCGCGTCCGTGGTCAGCTTACCTCCCTTGCTTGCGGGGTCGAAGCCGAGCTGCTTGATGAGCTCCGCCGAATACCCGCTCTTCCTCGTCGTCTGATCCTCGTCGGACTCTTCGTCGTCGGAGTTCGCGCGCGCCGACTTCTTCTTGCCTTTGCCCTTCCCGGCCTCCTCCTCCGCCTGCGCTTTCGCAAATTCTCGTGCGCTCGCAAGGGCTCGAGTGCCCTCCTTGTCCCGCGCGAGCAGTCGCTCCAGCGCGACGTCGTCGTCCTTCGCAGCCAGCTTGCGTGCCGCCCGCGCCTGCGCCTCGCGGCCGACGCTCTCCCCCAAGAACATCGTCCCCGGGTCCGCGGTCGAGCCGGACACGACGTGCCCGCCGACCACGTACGTCGCGCCGAGGCCCGGCTCGGGCTTGAGCCCCCACTGCCGCGCGGGGTCGTACGCCGGCTTCTTCCTCGCTGCGCTCGACGACATCCCGCTCGTCCTGGAGCCCAGTCGTCAGCCCCCACCCGCACGAACAGCACGGAGCCAGACGCACCCGATCGCAAACTCCGGCCGCGCCGCGCGCGACCGCTCGACCGCGGCCTGGACGTGGAAATCGCAGACATCGCTCACCCGCTTGTCGCACCATGCCTCGCAGCGCTTCCCGTCGCGCTTGACGGCCTTGCACGCCCCGAGGTCCTGCGCGTACCCGACGACCGCGACGGCCGCGTCCGACTCCGGCGTGAGCGCGAGCACGTTCGCCGTCGGGTGCGGGGGGTCCGACGCCGCGCGCTGGAACGGGCGGAGCACGCGCGGGTTGAGGAGCGCGACGACGGCGCCCTCGCGCAGCTTCGACATGCGCTCGAACGCGCCCCGGCTCCCGCCGCGGTACACCTTCCGTTTGCCGCCGGTGTCGGTCACGACGTCGTCCGCGCCGTCGGCCTCGAAGAGGAGGAGTGACAGGTACGCGTCCCCGCGGATCTTCGCCGTCCCGCCGTCGACGCCGCCGCGCGAGCGACAGCCGAAGTCGACGAGACGCAGGTTGATGTACTTTTTCCCCCAGGTCGGCGTTGCGCCATCGGTCTTCAGCCCCCGCCGCTGGAAGGGTGCGGGGCGTGACGGTCCCGGCTGCGCGGGGGCGTCGAGGGCGGGGAGCGCGTCCATGCGCTCGTCGTCGGTGGAGGGCCGGGCAAACTCGTCGTCGCGCGTGACAGCGACGGGGGCTTGGGTGTAGTCCATCGGGCCGCGCTCGGCGACGACGGCGATAGTGAGCCAGTCGCCGTCGACGGGGACGTCGTAGCCAGCCTTGTTGGGGAGGAGGCGTACGACTGAGTAGAGTTTCGAGGGGGAGATGTAGTAGCGCCCACGCAGGTAGTCTTGGAACTGCGCGTGCGGGATTGCTCGGGATCTGGGTGCGAGTGGTCAGCGTGAACGAGAAGGAATGGACAAGATCACATACGAGAGTCGGATGTTTGAGGTGGGCTCCGGTCGTTCAAAGTGAAGATCGTCAAATGGAGGCTTGTGGTCGTAAGGCCCCATCCGGAGATCCTCCACCAGAGCGAGGTTCTCGTCTCTGGTGTTCGAGTCTGGCCGGGGTGGGGCGGGAGTCGGAGGGGCTCCCGTGAAATCCGCCGAACGAGCGACAGGATCCGACGCTTCTGGTCGATGTTTCTGCTTGTGGGCCTCAGCGAGCGCCCTCAGCACCGTCGACTCTGCGGGAGGTGCGAGTGACCGTGGCTGGTCCTGCTTGAGCGGGAATGTCGGAGGGCGTGCAGGAAGCGTACGAGACGAGTGCGTAGCGCGCTCTTCGCGCTTCCTCTTCTCTGAGAGACGTAAGGTAAGAACAGAGGGTAGATTGGCTGAGTACGTACTAGGAGGCGTTTCCGGCACGAAGACCTCGGAGTTGGGTCGTGTGCGCTCGGGAGAAGGAGGGCAATCCGACCCGTCACGGTCCGTAAGTTGGGCTTGGAGAGCCGCGATTTGTTGTCGCAGGGCTTCTTGCCTGTCTTCCTCCGCTTTCTTCTTCGTTGTGGTCGAGTACATGTTGGGGGAAAGGGCAGCGGTGAGGAGACGGGTCAGTGGCACGCGTCCTAGTGCAGTGCATGTCACGGCAACTCGCGAGTCACGGATCACATGCACGCGTTGTGCGTGACGCCTCCTCCTCTTCTCCCCCGAAAGGCACGGGAAACCGCAGCTGAAGGCCCACGCGAGTTCACGCGGCATCTCGTTTGCTCTCCAGGCCACCTATATGCTGCTCCCTGCTCCCTCTCGCCACGTCCGCCACGTCTGAGCGACGGCGCTGAACGACGGTCCGTGGCACGCCATTGGCGGAACTTGCCGAATGCCTGAGTAATGGCCGACGACCAACTGCACATCTGCTCTTGACTCACATCCACATCCTATCCGCGCACCTCCCCCATCCGCCATGCCGCTCGCGCCCCCGCTCAACTTCCCCAAGTGGCTCGCCGAGAACGGCCACCTCCTCAGGCCCCCGGTCAACAACTTCTGCGTCTACTCCGGCAAGGATTTCATCGTCATGGCCGTCGGCGGCCCGAACGAGCGCAACGACTACCACGTGAACGAGACCGAGGTGCGCCTGTCTCCTCAACCTGCTCCCGTCTCACCTCACGACGCGCGCGCGCGCGCGCGCACGAGCAGGAGTGGTTCTACCAGCACAAGGGCGGCATGCTCCTCCGCGTCGTCGACGACGGCGCGTTCCGTGATATCCGGATCGAAGAGGGCGAGATGTTCCTTCTCCCTCGTACGTCCTCGTCCCCACCCTCTCCCTCCACGTCCTCGCGCCCTCCTCCCCTCACCAACCCGCACCCCGCACAGCGAACACGCCGCACAACCCTGTCCGCTTCGCAGACACGATCGGGATCGTCATGGAGCGCGTCCGCCCCGAGGGCTCGATCGGTGCGTCCCCTTCGCCGCTCTCTTGCGCGCGGAGCCGAAGGACGTCCTGGCGCAGATCGCCTGCGGTGGTACTGCAAGTCCGGCGCGCACGCCGCACCGACGGTCATCCGCGAGGACGCCTTCCACTGCACCGACCTCGGCACGCAGCTGAAGCCGCTCATCCAGAACTGGATGGCGGACGAGAGCCTGCGCAGGTGCGGCGAGTGTGGGGCCGTCGCGGAGGCCAAGTGAGGGCGGGGTGCGCGCAAGAGGCGGGAGAAGAGGAAATGGTTGGAGCATCTGTTGTACGTGTACTGCTTGGCTTACCGCTGTATGCACATATTGCTACTCTCGTGGCTGGATCGAGCGCGTGCACGGATGGGGGGTACTATCCCTCTCAGTTTGGACAGGCAAGCGCCGGGCGAGAGAATTTGATGCACCCCCCTCTCCCTCCACGTCCGATAGCAATAAAATTTTAGAGATGCATCCAGAATGCGTGATTTTCACCATTCCGAGAGTTTTAGGCAGATCCAAAGAGCTTTGCGTGAGCGGTCGTCGATTTACTTCGTCGACCCTAGTGTTTGGACATTTCACCGCGAGGGGTCACAACGTGCCTTGAACCCAGCTTCCATGCCCACGAATCGTCTCGGATAAATTGCCCAAACACTTCAAATAGCCTCATAACACATGTCGTAGCATATCGGTGCTCTCATTTTTGAATTTGTGTGAGCCGAGGGGCATCAAGGTATGCTGAAATGCCACTCACCGCACCGAAGTTTGTAGATCACCACAGAAACACACAAAATTCGAGTCTTGGGTAAATGAGAAGCAGGAATATTTATGTGCAAAATCTTGTGGTTATCGGTGAAGGAACGGGGCAGGGACGGGCGCGCAATTCGCGTTTGTCCAATCACTGGGGGTTGTCCAATCACCCCCGGAGGGATAGTACAAACGTCCGGTAAACATGCGAACACACAGCGAAGTCCAATGTTCGACACAGCAACACATCAAACCCGACCTGCACTCACAAACCCGCAAGCTTCAACAGCTTGTTGAAGTCAGGGGTACCGAGCCCAGTGACCTGTCGGAACCCACCGTCAGTCACCACCACATCGACGCAGCCAATGACGAGCGAACGCACTGGGTCCCATCCTTCGACCGCATCAAATCCGACCTGCTCGCCATTGCACTCGATCGTGCTGTTCCCCGTCGTGATGTCCGTGAACGCGGCTTTCGCCCGCGCATACAGCCACGGGTTCAAGAACCCGAGCGGGGGCTTGCCCGCCTGCGCGAGCCGGTCGTTGACCAGCGCGACGATGCTGCCCACAGTAGGGCTCGCGGCGCTCGTCCCAGTCACGCTCTCGACGTCGTCGAACGCGATCCGGAAGTCGGCCGCCTGCGCGGAGATATCGGGGAACGCGCGCCCGGACGTGTTGAACCGGCCCGCGTTCGTCTCTCCGAGCGCGGCGAGGTAGGATGACACGGCGGAGACCTGGTACGAGGGCGCGGGGTAGTAGTTCGAGAACCCGCCGGAGGACCCGGGCCACGCTTGCTCGGGGGAGGAGCCTTGGGTGCCGCCGACGGAAGTGACGCTGGGGAATGATGAGATCGTGATTCATCGGGATGGGCAAGGACGTACTACGGGCAGTTGGACGGGAACGTGGGGTTGAAGGTGGTCGTGTTGCTGTTCATGCAGCCAACGGCGCTGTCTCCGGATGCAAAGAGGACAGAGACGCCACGAGCACCAAGTTGGGCATAAGCCTGACAAAGTTTGCTGTTCCCGAGCTGGATCAGTGACTTCAGATTGCAACAGACGTAAGAGGACTAACTCGGTGAGCGCGAAGCTGATGCTGTGCTCGGCGAAGCCGTAGCTGGTGGTCAACACTTGAGGAGGGTCGTCGAGGGAAAGGAGATAGTTGATCTCGTCGAGGTAGCCCTCCAGTTCTCCGTCGGTATTGTTGAATCCAACCATGATGAAGTCGACCGGGACTTCAGTGGCCAAGCCAACGGTGTACTGAATGTCGAGTTCCTGACACAAACAAAGATTAAGGACACAGGACTAGAGAGCAAAGCGAAACACGCACTCCCTCCGAGACAGACGGAACGTCTTGGTCGTTGTTGCCGCCATCGAGCAGCGTCACGGAAAAGTTGGTGGTCGGGTCCATATCAGGCCGGAACGTCTTCAAGAAGTTCTGGAGCCGCGCCGATGAACACGCAGAACCATGCACAAGGGTGTGGGCGTACCTCCAAGAACGTGTAGTGGGCATTGTTGCCAAAGTGGGCGGTGACACCGATCCTGTTCGTGCTGACCTTCGCGGGCTTGGTGGGGATGTTGTACAGCTTCTGAAGGCACGCGGGGGTCGTGCCGTTCGAGCATTCGGGGAGCGACGTGCGAGGGAGGACGGGCTCGTGGAAGGCGCGCTTGTTCACCAAGCCGACGCTCTTGATCGGCTCAGGGAAGCTGTGAAAAAGGTCAGTTTTGGCTGACTATATGCGCACGAGTGGACGTACTCCGTAGTGGGGGCGATGAGATCGATGTGATCATTGAGACTCGCAGGGATGGAGTAGGAAAGGGTGCGCAATGCAGAAATCCCGGAGGCGGAGTGGGAGAACATGGAAAACTCGGCGGCGAGAAGGGTGTTTGCCTGGCTGACGGTCAGGTTGACTCCTAGCCAGTCCCCAGCGGGGCTGAGGGCGGTGGCGGTGAGGCCATGCTCGTTCAGCCAAGAGGTCACCGCATCGACGCTGTCGGAGCTCGGAGCTGCGAGTTCCTGGGCCTGCAAGATGCGGCGATTGAGCGAGCGGCTTCGTGAGATGAACATCAACGAACTTACATCGGCCTTGGAGAGGTGCTGGCGGAAGGAAGAGCTTGAGGGATCGCTCACGGACTGGAGGGCGTTGACAACCGCACTCGGATTAGCCTGGGCGAGAGCGATGCGTAGAGTGAGGGGGGTACTGGGGGAGGCGAGACTGGAAAGTGCAAAGCCAGAGGGAGGGGCATCGCGGGCTTGATGAACGCGGAGGCTGCGGGAAGGCTTGGAGGGCGTAGAAAGCGGAGTAGCGACAGCGAGGTAGGAAAGGAGAGTCAGTGCGAGGACACACGCGAGGGGGGCCATGGAGGGCAGCTTGAGTGGAGGAGGACGGGAAAAGGAGGGAAGGCCGGGAGAGCACTTGCCTGGTCGGCGTCGGCGCTGCATGGAAGGGCACCGAACGACGCACGGTGGAGTATCCACGCGAGCGAGCCTTCGTTCGTCTCCGTTGCTTCGCCCGCTCTGCGCCGTTGGTACGGCCGGGAGGATGATCTCAAACGGCCGTGCGCGCCACCACAATCATTGACCCTCCAACGCGGTGGCGTCTTCGTTCGTGGATGCACCCACCCGTATCCATCGATGTTCAAGCAAGACAGGTGCCAGAACGGGACGAGCTGTGTCCGTGGTCGGTCTTAGTACACGACATGTGGAGGGAAGCGTGAGATATGAGTGTCGAGATCGTCCGTCGGTTGGTTGAAGGAGATGAGTGTTGCAGCGAGGCAGGGGGAGGTGCCAACTTGTGGTGCATATACTCAGTAGGTGGGTGGAAGACGAGAGAGTGTCTTTACGGCGAGGTCAAGACCAAGCCTCCTGACGTCACTTCTTCCCACGATCTGGAGCGGCCTGAGCCGAGCTGAAGTTCCCACGCGCCTCAGTGGCTGCACCAGGCTTGGCGCTGTCACTATATATATGTTTGAGCAGACTCTGCCAGACCGTCACGCGTCATCTTTTCTCGAAAACAACCTCCGAGGCGTGGATAAATGTTTGTCGTGGGCGGCGCTCTTGACGTCGGTCGGTGCTTTCTTCCTCCTCTCCTCCTCTCACGCGAGCTCACCGTTCTTATACAAATCATCAAATGCCAACGCACCGAAACTAGTCCTAAATTAATGAATCTTGACATGCTGCCATATGGACGGGCTCAAGTTCCTCGGTCATTTCTGACTTGCCACCTCTTACATGTGTAAGGTGTCAGGTGCCGCAAGCATCGCCAACAGCGGCTGTGGTAGTCGAGTGAGCTGTTTCGACTCTTCCTCTTGAGTCTCACGCTCTCAAGTCTCATAGCCATCCCTATCGACCACAACATTTCCAGATATGGCTGCTTATGTTTTCAGTTAGAGGGTAGCCGAGTGGAGGGCGGAGGCAACCCATGCTCCCGCCACGAATCTAAGTTTCGTCCTGACGTGGCGTCCCGGTTCGCATCTCGCTCGGTCCTTGTTCTTCAATCCCGGAGGCCTGAGTTCCGAGCGGAAATAGGAGAAGTACGGAACACATCCCCGCACTTTCCACATTGTTGATCAGTTTCAGCAGCGCACGGTCGTCCACAACAAGGCCAAGCGATGGATGTGAAGCCGGCGTTTTCCTGCACAAGATGACTCAACTCATGGCGCTGGCCGGCCACAGTTCCCCTTGCGTTTGAGAACGGTATATTTCCGCACTGCGGCGCATACCGGGACCTGTCAAGGCGCTGGGCGACTTTGATATATAAACCCAAAAGAAGCATCGCCAATCCTCAGCTCGTCCTCGTTCCTTTCCTTCGAGTTCAACTCCTTTATTTACTTCATTCGGCTGGTGAGATGAATTTTGTCGCGTTCTTGCTCGTGCAATGGACTAGCTGACGTTCTCTTCATCCATCACAGCTGCGCGGCTTCTTTTTTACGACCCAACTTGCCGCATTTCATTCAATCCATCCGTCCTCTCACTTTCAACTTCGCTCACGACCATCCCACCATGCCGGCTCTCAATCGTCTCTTCGTACTCTCTGTCCTCGCCATCTCTCTGTCCGTTCACGCCATCCCCGTCCGCGATGCGTCCACGGATATCGATGTACACTCTCTCCCTTCGACCTTTTTGTTGGACTCGAGTTTAACGCTTTATCAGGTCGTCGCACACGGCACTCAGGATCCCTCCGCTTACAACAGCTTCGTCGAGAACGAAGGCTTCGACGATCACGAAGACGCCGAGGTACGCTCGCCCCGTTATCCCGAGACCTGTCCCGTTCTCAGTGGTGGTTCCAGTTCGTTGCACACGAGGACGACGTCGCGGAGCTGGACCGCCGCGGTGGTACCAAGTCGACACGGCCCACGAAGGCCGCTCCTGCCAAGGCTCCGGTGAAAGCCGCTCCCGTCAAAGCTCCCGTCAAAGCTCCCGTCAAAGCCCCGGCGAAGGTGGCGCCTGCGAAAGCGCCTGCGAACGCTGCCCCTGCCAAAGCACCCGCAAAAGCTCCTCCAGCGAAAGCCCCGGTCAAGGCACCGACCAAAGCTCCCACCAAAGCTCCCACCAAAGCTCCGGCGAAGACGTCCACGGGCAAGGCGTGCACCGCGAACAAGTTCAAGAGCAAGCGAGACGTGCGCGAGAAGCCGTTCTCCGAGTTCGAGCACCTCTTCAAGCGCAACAACCCAGAGTTCGTCGGTTGGCATGGAACCAACAGCGTGCGTCTCTTTGATCATCCTTCACTCCCCCCAACTAACACCCGACCGACTGCGTGCACATAGGACACGGCCGCGTTTTGGGCGGAGAAAGGTCAGCTCGAGAAGCCGACGAAGCCGAGCGGTTTCTTCGACTCTTTCGGCTTCGGCTCCAACGTCGCGAAGGGCAGCAGTGGCGCGGACGCAGAGCTCGGCGTCGGAGTATACGTGACCGACGAGCCTGTGACGTGAGTGCCATCTTCTGTCGGACCTACGTTTCGTACAGCCGCTGACGGACGCGACCAGCGCGCGGGGGTTCGCGAGCAAGAACGCGCTGGAGAACAAGGGCACGCAGCCGATGCTCTGCGCGATCTTCGCCAAAAGCACGACCAACTGGCGCACCGCCCTCCGCAAGGCGTTGCTCCCCGAGGCCCTCGTCGGCGACTCGTCGACAAAGTCACAATCGCAGGCGCTGGAGCAGGGACGCAACCTGTACCTCAAGCGCGTCGTCCCCGACGTGACCCCCAACACCGTCGTCCGCTTCGCGCTCCTCGGCCGCGAAGACCGTGCGTTTTCCTCCCCGTCGATTCCGATGCTGGTGCTGACCTCGCGCGCGCTCGGCAGGGAACCGGAGCGGCCAGATGGTCATCCCCGCCGCTATCACAAACCAGTTCACGGCGCAGTGCGTGCCGAAGGACAGCGCGACGCTGCCCCCGGGCACGACTACTCTCAGCTATCTCTCCCCGGCACTCCAGGCGGCATGGGACATCGCGCCCGAGCAGGATTGCTCGATATGAGTCTGATATGTATATGATACGGGCGGCGGGTAATTGAAGACTCATTACTTGCGGTATACGTGATGTGCCATCGACGCCAGTTTGGATGCGCCAGATGGCTCGCCGCTCGGTTGCATCTAGTCCACTCGTGCCAGCCCGTTGAACGGGCCAACCATGGTCGACGACCGCTCACAGTGCCGTAAACAATCGCTGTGGTTGAACAAACTGTGTGGCTTCCCAGCAGCCAGTGTGGTGGCGCTCCGATTCGGACTTATACACTGGATATAGAATGGTGCCTTACGAAACTACGCAGCCACTACCACTGCCAAGATTAGATCGCAGTCTCCGGACTCCACGTTGTTGAAGATGAACTTCATCTCGGAGCTGCTGTGGGAGAAGTCAGGGCTAGACGGAGTACCGAGAGTGTGTGCTCAGACCTGCCCGGCGTGCTTTCAAAAGCCATACACGACAACGTAGAAAGCTTCGTCGACGTTGATACGCCGCTCAGCAGAAGTCTCTATGAAGGGGCAGCCAAGGCGTCTTGCAAGCTCATCGCCCTCTACGGAAAGCAGCCGTGAGCCCGCGAACCGTTTCTAATGATAGTGTGCCAACCATGCTTTTGGACTTCTCACAAATATTCCAGATCGGACCTGTTGCCAACGATGACGATAGGAAAAGAACGCTTTTTGTTCGCACTCATCAGCTGCCGATGGATAATGCTGACGTTCTCAAATGAAGCGCGGGTGTCAGTCGCGTAGATTAAGAGAACTCCGTCGCCTGGGCGCATGTGCTCTTCCCTCCTGGTTCTGAGGAGGATGGAGTCAGTCCTGAGAGCGCAACTCAATGACCATAGGCGTACGGAGTCAATGATTGCGCCTTCGTTGTCAATTACGCATTCTTTTCGGGTAATGGCAGTTGAGCGCGTTGAAAAGCGGCGGAGAATAATGAAATAGAAGAAAAGTCCGCCGGCGCACGTGTGCGGTCCGATCGGCGCAGAAAAACAGTAGAATTGACATTATGGGGGCTCAGGGACGTATTCCATGTCGAATTGGTCACGAATGAATTGGTGGAGGAGTTCAGAATTTCCGACACCTTGAGTTCAGGAGTTGAAACCCAAGCCAGACGCAATGGCGTAGCTGAGGGGATTTAACAGTATTGCCACAGAGTACAACTTTGTATTCCGGAAGGTACTAGGGATAAAAGTGTTTGCATCGATCATAGCGACCAAAGAGGGTGGTAATGTACGTACCCGGGCGGCGTTCATAGCGGAGGGAGGAAGTGTACAGAATGGTGGCCCGTGGAAGAAAGTTAGATTGGTATCTCCTGGCCTGAGTATGAACGGGTGTTCTTCTTTGTGGTAGAGTACATGGTGTGCGCGCGTGCGAGAGAGACGCGTAGGCGCTACTTGGCAGCGTTTGGTCTCGGTTCGCATCACCTGACCGCGCGCGCGTGCCAGGGCCGCGCACGGCGCTCGTTTTTTGCCCGCATCGACTTGAAGTTGAACGGCCCCACACCGGCGAGGATCCTCGCCGTCCCTCTCCGCTGCAGCATCGCCATGGCGCCGCCGCACACTCTCGTGCGACGGCCATGCTCTACCATCAACACACGCGCTCTCTCGCCCGGTGACGCTTGGCTGGCCCCGTCATTCAGTGAGTTCTCCCCGTCGTTCTCCGTCGTGCCAGACACCGCGCGCAGCCGCCGCATGCCCTCTGCGCGCCGTTGGCTGTCTTGACCAAGACATTCTCACCGCCATGCACTCCGTCTCTTTGCTAGATATACGCCCGTAGATCCACCGGAGTGTTCCACCTTGCTCCACGCCTACGCCTACGGCTCTATGCGCCTGTATGCGCACATCTCAGGTGAGCCGTCCGTCACCGGTTTATCGAGCTCACCTTGGCCGCGTCTCAGCAGTGATGGGCATCTCGTTAACGCGCCCACGCCCACGACTATATGCGTCTGTATGCGCACACCTCAGGTGAGCCAAAACTTTTTTTTGGTAGAACACGTTGGTCTTACGAAGGCATTGGTCCCGTTTTCGGGCTTGTTGTACCTCCTGTCACAGGTGAGCCAATATTCCCCGCCACAGACTCCGATCGCGTCGTCCGCAGTGCGCATCTCCGCCCGCTCTCCCAATCCCCGCGTTCATCGTGATTTCGTACTTGCTCGCGGAACTCCCCCACGTTCCCCGCTGGCCGCCACCGCCACCACTGCTGCCACGCTTATGGATATACACCCCATCGTGCAACGTCAGCCCCCCGGCGTGCTCACTTTCAGCTCACGCAGCGGACGCGGCCGACCGAACGGGCACCCACTCGATGCGAAGCAGGCCGACGATTTGGGTGTACTCCCGGACGCCTTCAATGTTGCAAGGAAATCACCGCGCTCCCCGTCGAGGCCCTTTCTTGGCAGGATGTCCACGCGCCCGACTCGGACTCCAATGACGATTCCGAGCCGCGACTAGGGCAAACGTGCAAGACGCGTGTTGCGATCCCGTACCGCCTTCGTTTCTTCGACGTCACCGTCGACCACTCCGAACACCCCGATCAGCCCTTCGTTCCGTATCATGGTGTTCCCGTACTAACCCCAATGTTCCCGACAGCGTATCCGTCATTGATTCCTCTCGCACATATGCGTGCTGTCAGCTCGATCGTCGAGAACTGTCTCGCGTATCACATTGTGCGTACCTTCTCTGTCCTCTCCGACGTTAAAGTCGCATTGACGAATATGTCCTATCGTTAGGCGATCTCCCCGTTCCGGTTCATTACAGTCTTCGCGCTGAAGAGGTCCGTCTTGGACCACGTTACCATGCTGATTACTGTCGTCTTCAAGAACGACATGTTCGGTGCCGACAACAAAGAGTCTACGGAAACGGGTGCTAGGTAAATGTGTAATGTTGTCGTGCGCAGTATGCCAATATCTATCTACGTGCGCAGCATACCGCCGCAATACATCGGACTACAGCGACACCTTCATTCGCGCTCCTTATGTTTACCGGTGCACAGCTATCTCGCACGATATTTACCTGCGACAGCGGAGTTGTAAGAAGATAGTATCAGCACAGGGCAAGACATACACAAGGTGCTGAGAAGGTGAACAGATGTGATGGCAAAGCGTGTGCGCTTCAACAGACTCACATTCTCACGTGGCACGTGTTCATACCATATGCTGTGTCACGACGGGCCCGGCCCTGTTGAACATCGACTTCGACACCCATGGTCATTGGTGTATCACGCCCTTGTGTTCTCATCTGACCCACCTGTCAGCACGATAATCACAAGAGGGGTGGACAAGGGCTAGCGACTCGGCTCAAATGTGGCTCCTACACACTCGCGACCTCGTCCTCCACAAATTCGAACGGCCCCCCGTACAGTACGCCATCCTCTCCCACGTCTGGCGCAAGAGCGAACAATCCTTCCAGGACATCTCCACAGCGAAGAAACAAGCCCGCCTCTCTCCCAAGATAGAGCAGTCTTGTCGCCACGCTCGCCTTGACGGTTTTGCCTGGATCTGGATCGACACCTGCTGCATCGATAAGACCAACTCTGTTGAGCTCTCGGAGGCAATCAACTCCATGTACCGCTGGTACGCGGGCGCGGCAGTTTGCTATGCGTACCTCCATGATGTCGATCCCTTCGAAAACCCAGGAGCACCGGGGTCGACCTTCCGTCTCAGCATCTGGTTTACCCGCGGATGGACGCTGCAAGAGCTTGTTGCCCCCAAGGAGATGGTCTTCTTCGCCCGCGACTGGACGATGCTGGGAACGAAGGGATTCATGGTGGACCTACTACAACAGATCACGAACGTCGATGTCGACGTCCTCCTCCACCAGAAGAGCCTCGTCTCCGTCCCTGCCGCGAAACGCATGTCGTGGGCGGCGAAGCGCCAGACGAGTCGATGCGAAGATGAGGCATACTCGCTCATGGGCATCTTCGACATCCACATGCCGACCATCTACGGAGAAGGCTCCCGTTCCTTTCGGAGACTACAAGAGGAAATCATGCGCAGTGCGCTCGACCACTCGCTATTCGTCTGGGGCACCTTCACCACCATCGAATCCTCCGTCTTTTCCGAATCCTCCGTGGCAGACAGTAGGACGGACGTTCTCTCTTCAGATCCAGAACAGGGCGACTTATGGGAAAGTCCCTACGATAGGATGGACGCCTCGTTGTTCAATCTTCTTCCCCTTTCCCCTAGTGCGTTCGGCAACTGGGATTCTGGGGGCACCCCGGGACCTGGTCATCCAACCGCGTTACAGCATAGGCGCTTCAAGGAGGTGTTGTCCAGATTCGGAACGGGAAAAGACGCGGAGACAGACGTGAGCATGACCGGAAGTGATTGTTTTATGTTGCATCCGCTGACAAGATATTCTCAGATTTCTTCGGTCCCTGAATTCACGCTTACGAGCAACGGGATACGAGCCCACATTCCCATACTGCCTCTCTCCATCGATCTTGTCGACCCCAAAGCAAGGCATCTTGACCTCGAGTACTACGTGGCGCTCTTGGCCTGCAGACTCCCGCAGCGAAACTCTATGGTAATCGGTCTCGTTCTGCGCCGGTGGAAAACCTCATACTTGTATCGCGTGGGAGCAGTACTTTCAGACGTCGGGTTCGCGCGCTACGTTTCCATCACTCCAGGTCCTCCCCAAGGGACCGATTCCATCGCGAACCAGAGCCTCGATTGTCGCTGGACCGATATATACATCGCTCAAGGACAGCTTTCCGAGAGCCGGCCTGCCCTTCCGAAGCCACCCAGGGCCGCACAAACAAGAGAAGACGCACGGCAGCTTGTCGTTATCCCGCGCTGGGTCCTTGTTGCTCTTGCTAGCGCCGGCTTCACTCCCATACATCCTCCCCCAGAAGCAGGGCCGTCGCTCGCGCGCCTGGTGAGCCATGTGCAGCTTCATACATACGCCTTCGCGCAAACGCACTCGTCCCACGAGTTCCGCATCCACGTCGGGCGGTGCTCGTCAGGGCTCTGGATCAACACCGAGTTCGTCGATGGCTGTGCGGGCCGTTCGCTCCCCGTTGACCCATTCTGCGCCGACGTCGAAGACAGCACACGCCCCGTCTACCTCATCGACCACCTGTGCAACGCTTCTCCCCACGCGCACGTCTGCGACTGGGACCACGCGGACGCGTCCGTGCATCCGGCCGCAGAGGAGGACGATGCTTCCTCGAACGCACACTCGGACCTCCCCTCCAGGACTCCACACGCAGCCAGCCTCGACTCCACGGGCCTGCGCTGGACGCGTCGCCGCACGTTCTCCGCGCATGGGTGGCACGTGCACGTGCGCGTCGTCGACAGCGCCATCCTGCGCGGCCACGGCACGGGCGGCACGCTCTGGGTGCTTGGTGTCGAGGTCACGGACGCGTGGCTGCCACATGTGCGCACACTGTCCGACACGGAGGGGCGCCGCGTTCCACCGCTTTTGCCACCTGAGTCGTCGCCGGCGAAACAAGTCGTAGCCGACCCAGAGCGACCGCGAAAGCGGTGGTTCTCCGGCGTTGTGTCGCTCACCCAGGATGTCCAGACGCTGTGGAAACGATGACGCTCCTTCATACGCGATTTGCCCAACCTCGCCGGCATCGAAGCCATCCCAATATCTGTATATCGGGAATAGGCCCTCAAAATACACTCGCTTGCGCCTCGCAGAAGCCGGATGCTGTGTATCCATGACTTCTCATCTGTGGCGCGCAATCTCCGTTGGAGCTAATATCACCTGACGCAAGGCTTCTCGTGCAGCATGGTGTCTGCAAGGCTCTATCCACTTTCCGGTGCATCTTTCCCTATAACTCTCCCATCTTCGCTGTCCCCCTCAATATCACCCTCCCCCTGGTCATCTACGCCATCCGCTCCGATCATGTGGCTTCTCGACACCGAGCACTACGGGCTCCGACACTTTGACCATCCCCCATCCCGATACGCCATCATGTCACACGTGTGGAACCACAACCACAGCAGTAGCGAGTCAGAGCAGACCTTCCAGGACCTCCGTGCGTTCCGCTCCCCCAGGTCCGTCTCCTCGAAGATCCGGGAATGCTGCAAGCACGCCCGTGTACAGCACATCCAGTGGGTCTGGATCGACTCCTGCTGTGTCGACCACACGAACAGCGTCGAGCTCTCCGAGTCGATCAACTCCATGTTCGCCTGGTATGCCGGCGCAGCCGTCTGCTACGCCTACCTTTCCGACGTCGATCCGGACGAGAACCCGGCCGCGCGAAATTCCTCGTTCCGCAACAGCAAGTGGCACCGCCGGAGCTGGACTCTCCTCGAGCTCCTCGCGCCCCGGAGCATGGTCTTCTTCGCGCGCGACTGGCACACGATCGGCACGAAAGACTTCCTCGTCGACCTCCTCGCGGAGGTGACGGAGGTCCCCGTCGACGTGCTCACCGCCAAGAAGCCGGTGGTGGAGGTGCCGGTCGCGGTGCGGATGAGTTGGGCGGCGAAGCGCAGGGCACAGCTCGTCGAGGACGAGGCGTACAGCCTCTTTGGGCTCTTCAACGTCAACATGCCGGCGATATACGGAGAGAAGCACCGCGCGTTCCGCAGGCTGCAGGAGGAGATCATGAAGACGTCTGGAGACCTCACGCTGTTCACGTGGGGTCCGTGCGTCAGCCTCCCTCCCGCGCCGAAGGTGTCCGAAGACTCGACGCAGTCGCACGAGTCATCCTCGGCGGCGTCCGCGGATGCCGTTACCCCGCTCACGAGCCAGACGTACCTGTGCACTCCGGTCAACGAAGCCGGTCCCCCGTTTGGACACGTCGAAGAACTGAAGCCTGCCTCTGAGAAGCCTCTCAAGACGCTCCTGGCGCCCTCCGTCTACGACTTTGAGACGTCGCTTCTCCTCGCTCGGCTCTTCAAATCAACGCCTCAAATTGTAAATGAAAAGGAAATGAAGTCATTTGGCATTCAAGGAGACAAGAAGCCAAGTGTATGCCCCGTCGTCTTCGCCCCCTTCTGTAACGTTCTGACAAACCCTTCTAGACGTCAATGAAGCCTACCTTCACTCTTGCGGCGGGCGGAATCAGCGCTCGGCTACCTCTCATCGAGATCCCAGGGGATAAGCTGGATACTACCCTCTCCCCCGTCACCAACCAATACCTTGCAGTCCTTTCGTTCGTCCGCAACGACTCTCAGATGCCGACGAACGCGCGAAGCACAACCACATTCATCTGTCTAGCGCTATCCCGCGCCACAAGTGGATCGGATATTTACGACGTGGGAGCTACCGTCAAGGGCGAAGGCTTCGCCCGCGTATTCCTTGTCGACTTCAGCGACCCTTCGACCCGGTCCTTCTTCAATCTCGTCTCCGGGAGCCACTTCAGCTACCACTGGAAGACGATAACCATCTCCCAACCGGCGGACAACCATGCCGCCAACTCCCAAGTTCCTGCGCACCCCTCACCCCCTTACAATGAGCGTCCAGGCGCGCAGTGCATTGTCATCCCGCGATGGAACCTCAAGTCCCTCGACGCCGAGGGGCTCAAGGCAATCCACCCCGAGAACCCGACCTTCCCAAAGACCGTAAGCCCGACCGCCGGCCAAATGTTCGTCTTCTCTCACCAGGCCAGGCGCGAAGAGATACGCGTCCACGCTGGCTGGTGCGCGCACGACCGCGGGCTCTGGTTCGCCGTCGAGTTCGTCGACCCCTCCGAGCACGGCGGCGCGGTCCTCCTCGGACGCGTGCACGACGCGGCCGACTTCGTGCCGTCGGACGCGGCGCCCCGGTCCTCCCGCAAGACGGCGGAGAAGAAGTACGGCGTGGCCCAGGCGCAGCTCCCCGGGATTCCGGTCGCCCGGTGCGATATGACGCACGTCCGCGGCTGGGATGCGGCCCTGCCGCGCGCGCGGACGCCGACTCCCAGTGCGGCGAAGACAGACGACGCTTCAGCGGGCCTACGCTGGGCGCGCTTCCGCAAGTTTGCGTGGGGCGGGCGCACGGTCACGATTCGGGTCGTGGATGCTGGGGCGGAGGGCGAGGAGTCTCAGCGCGCGCCGGCGAGAAAACACAGTCAGATGTGGGTGGTCGGTATCGAGGTCGACTTTGCGGACAAGCTGGAGAGTATTCCGCCGCGCGCGGGCGACCAGATCGGTGCGAAGAAACGAGGGCGATTGAGTCGCCTGTTCAAAAAGCCATCATCATCACCGAGAGCGCAGAGCGCGTCGGGAACGCTGGAGTCTGGCCGCGAATCGGAGTTGCCATGATTGGAGTTGTAGCTTGAGACGAGTACAGTACGAGACTGGGGTTTGTTTGTTTGTTTGTTTGTTTGTTTGTTTGTTTAATTCCTGGGCCCTGTGGTAGGCGGTACATACAGGCATTCTATGATGTATCATGTGAGGCCTGTCTGACGCACTTCGAATTATCCACTGAGTTCGATTTGTGGTGGACAGACGCCGTCCGGGCCGCTCCGAGCCGCCGCGTCAGGCTGTGCGACCGAGTCTCGGGGGCGATCGAGGCGTCGTGCCCAGTCCATTGCCCACTGCCAGGTTCGCTGCTTCCACTCGCGACCACGGGCAACCATCGGCCTTTCCACCATGAGGTCTGCGACCATCTTCCTAGCCACCACCGCTGCATACGCCTTCCAGCTGCCGTTCAACCTCCCCTTCTTCTCCTCCGCCTCCCAGACCCCTCTCGTCGCTCCACCGCAGGAGGTGCATGATGCAGCCGTGCCCAACCGCATTGCTATCATTGGTGCAGGTGCTGCGGGCTCTTCTGCCGCGTTCTGGATCTCCAAGGCGAAAGAACGGTATGGGGTCGACGTAGAGGTGGATGTATATGACAAGAACGCTTGGGTCGGAGGACGTGAGTAGATGCTCTCTCATGCAAACTTGTCCATTTTTATATCCCGTACGAGCCTATGTTGACCACTTCTACAGGCAGCACCACTGTGCAGCCGTACGACGACGAGTCGGCAATGCCCCATGAGCTCGGCGCGTCCATCTTTGTCAAGATCAACAAGAACATATGGCGCGCCGTCGACGAGTTCGGTCTCGAACGTGTCAATTTTGAGGACGAGGACGACGTGATGGGTCTGTGGAACGGCCAGGAATTCGTACTCTCGGTACGTCCTCAATGCATGTATGCGCATACAGCCTGGCTGAATTTGCTGCAGACCGGCGGCGGAGGGTTTCTCAATGGCTGGATGGACAAGATCAAAATCCTCTGGAGGTACGGCTACCACGCTCCTACGAAGACACAAGAACTGTGAGTCCACCTTTCCCGAGACTACGTCCAGTGCACGTACTCAATGTCACGACTATGCCCAGCGTTGGAGCAATGGCCGACAAGTTCGCCCGTCTGTACAAGCCGAACACTCCTCACTGGACGAACATCTCCTCGGTCTCAGATACTCTGGAGTTCAGTCCACTTGTGGCTCAGACCACTGCTGAATACCTCGACCTCCAGGGTGTGAACAAGCTTTGGTCCAGGGAGCTTGTGGAGGCGGCTACTAGGGTCAACTACGGTCAAGTGAGTCTATTCTCCTAAGTGCGGTATGCTTTGAAGCCGATCTAGGATACGCAGGACGTGGATAAGATCCACGCCCTTGAGGGCATGTGCTCTCTAGCGGCCTACAGTGCATCGAGCGTGAAGGGCGGAAACTGGCAAGTCTTCGACCACTTCCTTAAGCATTCGAAAGCGAACCTTTTCCGTGAGACGACTGTAAGCATGCTCGTGCTTTTTTGTTGCAATATTTGCTGACCTTGCCTAGGTCAAGTCTGTCCTTCGCACATCGTCGGGCTGGCTCGTCCACTCCACCCTGTCCGACGTTCCCCGCGCCTACCGCACCGTCGTTCTCGCTGCCCCCTACCACCAAACCGGCATCTCCTTCTCCGCTGAGCCCTCGCTCGCACATGTCCCTTGGCAACCGTACGTGCACCTCCACGTCACACTCCTCAGCACGTCATCACCCGCACCCAATCCTGCATACTTCAATCTGCGCCCCGGGTCCAAGACACCGAGCACTATCTTGACGACATACGACGGTGTCCGTCATGGCGGCCCCGAGCCCGAGTTTAACTCGGTGTCATACCACGGCCCGCTGATGATGAAGAACGGAGAGCGTCGCGTGAACGCCCAGGGAGAGCAGGAGTGGACGGTGAAGGTGTTCTCGAAGAAGCGGGTTGACGACAAGTGGCTGAAGGAGATGTTCGAGGGCAAGGTCGGGTGGGTGTATCGCCACGAGTTCGACGCGTACCCGGTGCTGCCCCCCACTACGACATTCCCTCCGGTCAAGCTCGCGGAGGGGCTGTACTACGTCAACGCCTTTGAGCCGTACGTCTTCTTTAATACTCTCTTCGGCCAATTGTACTCACGCATCTGTCCACCAGGCTAATTTCGACCATGGAGACGGAGACCATCGCCGCTCGCAACGTGGTAGAACTTCTCATGAAGGAACAGTTCGATGCCGGCCTCTGCAAGGCGGAAGATGTCGAAAAATCTATGGCCGACGGCAAGTTGGACGATGACGATTACGTGTACGGCTGGGACTGCTAGATTGGAAGCTCGAAGTCCCTGCGGAAGGTAGTGGAGGATGATGATAGGTTGTGGATTAGTCGGATGCCCATACTCTATCTCGTATGTTCGCTGTTCTTGCTCTTATCTGGAACGCTACTCTGTACATCACCGCTCTATAGTTTCTAGTTCTCTGTTTACTCGCTTTACTGCTGTCATGTGCGGTCTTTCTGCTCAGCGAACACTCGAAGCCGAAGGTCCCCCTGTGGCTCGTCTGCGGTGTTTGTTACGGTCACACAGCACGTGCCGTGACACTACGCGCTGAGTTTTCTTTTTCTCCCCCCCATTCAATCCAACTGACGCTTGTGAAAACCACTTTAACAAAATCTATTCCCGCATCTCCATACACCCACTACGCCCACCCTATCCCACTTCAGTTCTGCTTAGGAGGCAGAGGGATGGTAAGGTCCATGTTGATCTTGCCAGTCTTCCGGAAGCGGTCGAGGCGCCTCATGAAGTTTTCGTGTACCGCAACCTGCACAAAGCGATTTTGTAAGTAGCCATCCCCTCTCATGTACACTGAAAAACGCTCACCTCGTCCCACGTCTGTACGAAGCTCGGCCGCGCGTAGTTGCGCTCCTTGTACCCCTTCAGCTTCTTGAACCGCTCCGACTCCAGCGCCTCGATGATCGCCTTCGCATTCTCCTCGCCCATCGGTTTCGCCCCGCGGCATGCATTATCGAGACGCGCGAGGAGCGGCACGAACGCCGCGTCGGCGATGCTCCACGCATCGCCCACCGCATACGCTCCCCCGAGGAGCGCCTGCATGCCCTCGAACGCGTCCAGGAGCGGCTCGACGGGGGCGCCGAGGAAGAGGAACTTGAAGAACGCGGGCAGGAACTGCTCGTCCACCGCGCGGGCGAAGAGCCGGGCGTGCGCGCGCGCGACGGGGTCCGCCGGGAGCAGGTGTGCGTCCGGGAGGAGGTCGGCGAGGAACTCGTTGATGGCGAGCGACTCGCCGATCTTGACCGCGTCCGCCGCAGGGGCCTCGTCGGGACCGAGGGGGCCGCCGCCGTACACGAGCATCGGAACCTGTGGGAGTGGATGAGGAGGGGTTGGGGGGCGCGGAGGAGAGACGTACACGGGCGGTGGGGTAAACCTTCTTCTCGTACCATTTTGGCTTGTCAATGAGGTCGATCCAGATGGTGTCGTACTCGACGTTAGCCTCGGCGAGGGCGAGCCTGACCCGGTGCGGGAACGGCGTGTCCTGGAAAGCAGGCGAGTGAGGGTCCTTGGCCACAGAATGATGAAATATTGACTTACGTGGGCGGCGTACAGGGTCATTCTCTTGACTTCAGACATCTTTGCGTGTAGAAGCTTGGTACCGCTTGAGCTCGATGGGTTGTTTTTTCCAACCGTTCACCACGACCGAGCTTTATACCCTCCCAGCTTCACGGCTGGGCTCCACAAACACACCGAATGCAGCCGCTCTTCGCACGCACGCAGCTCATGATGCCGGACGCATTCGTGTACATCCTAGACGGCATGCGGCCAACGCGCGAGTACGTTTCTCGCCGGCATCGCTAGCCGCCGTTAAATCAAAGCACTGGTTGTCGAGAATTTGACTGCGGTGGTCGCGCGCATCAGGCGAAGCTGACATACGGACGCTCAAGCGGAGTCAGCGTTTTCGGCGCTGCGCTGTCATGCAACGCTCTACCAACAAACATTGGGTCCGCATGAACTAGCTTCGTACTCCTAGAATCACCTGGGCCGCCGTGCCCCTGCGGCTTTCACACGGCGCGACGACGCAGACGAAACGCCGCGACGTCCCCGCACGACGGAGCGAACGACATGCCCAGTCGGAACGTTCGACCAGCATTCATATTCTGATGGTACGTGCGGTTACAATCCCAGCGATAGTGTCAGTGTCGCCCATGCTGTACTCTCAACGGTACTCGGAACGAAGGTTGACAGCTACGTCGAGGCACGAGTCGGTAAGCGCGAGGGCTTCGACAAGATACAGCTACGGTCACAAAGCTTGTCCAGGCGCCGAAAAAACGCGACGCGCGTCGAGAGAAATCGAAAATAAATCGAAAATGGTCGAAAAATCGCCAGCGGTGACGAGCTCTCCCTCTCCCTCGCTAGATCCCCCCGACGGCCATGGAAAGTTGAAGAGCGCATCGGGCGCATGTTTGGGTACGATATGACGCTTTTTCGTGTTCTCAACGGCCGAGCTGACGTGTTCCGTGGCAGACAGTGGTCTGGTGGTGGTGCACGACGTTCTTATCCCCGTCTGCCACCTTGACGCCCCTCGAATCGTGTCCGACGATGTATAGGATGCTGAGTATATTCTTATGTGTGAGTTCTTAGTGTTTTAACGTCTTCTCCACCACGCCGAAGACGCCATGTACTCCCCGCAACCGGAGCCTCAGACTTCCAGAATTGTGGGTGCAACCACTGCATGGTCCTTGATTCCACACACAGGGCCTTGGGCCACGACGCGGACGACGTCGTGGCGGCGAAGTGGTTTGGCTCACACGGGATCTTGCTTGCGGACTTCAAGGCGGCGCGGAGGGAGCTGCAGAACCTCATCAGTGACCCCGTGAAGCACGGGTGGGAGTACCTGTGCGCGAACGCTGGCAAGCTTGCGTGCGATGCGGACAGGCCTGGGGTTTCCATCATGGAGAACTTCGGCCAGCTTCTGATCTTGGAAGCGACTGGGGACAGGTGAGTAAGCTCAGAGTTGCTCTGCGTGCATGTTTCTGACGACCGTCGCAGGAGTCTCGTCACGCTCAAGGAGCCCGAACGGTACTGGAACTACTTCCAAGGCAGGGGCATCCTCAGTGCTCACGCATGAGAACTTCTCCGATGACCTCGACACAACCTCGCTTGGCCTCGTCACCATGAAGCCTCCAAAGGAGCACGTTCACTCCATCATGGACGAGATGCTCACCCTCCTCAGCGACGACGGCCTCCCCTACGTACGTCTCCTCCTTCGCCCCCGAGTGCCTGCGCACCTGACGTCCCTCCCGCACAGACCTACTTCGACCGCGAGTGCCCGCGCCTCGACCCTGTCGTGGCCGTAAACGTCCTCCACCTCTTCTACACCCACGGCCGCGGGTGCGAGCTCCCCGGCATGCTCGCCTCCGTGCACCGCATGCTCCTCCACCGCGAATGGTTGGTGTTGCTCGGAGGGCTGGGGGAACACTCAAACGGCGAAGTGAAACCGGAAGGCATGTACATCCTACAAGTACTGTACATTCCCCTCTATCTATAGGTTTATGAGAGCCTCCCAGCTCGTTAACACCCCACCAACAGTTCCCTGTAATGAGAACTTGAAACATCCTCGTGACAATGAAGCTGGGAGCATGAAGCGAGGACGGCGGTGTCTATGAGAGCGAGCCGCGCTTCGAACCACCATGGACTCTCCCAATGTAGCCACAAAAACTCGGGCATACGAACATCCTGCACCACAAATCACAGCAATAGTATAACTATGCTGCGACGATGGGGGGGACGCAAGATATCAATGGGGAACTCACCAAAGTTGGCATTCTCGCTTTAGCACACGTACCCGCCCGCTCCCGCACCTCCGCCAACGCCTTCTCGACAGTCGTCATAGATGTGACAAGTTCCTTGCGTCGCAGACGCACGCTTCATGGGCACAATTTCAGCCTCGGGGTGGCTCGAGGGGCGTCAAGGTGGCAGACGGGGATAAGAACGTCGTGCACCACCACCAGACCACTGTCTGCCACGGAACACGTCAGCTCGGCCGTTGAGAACACGAAAAAGCGTCATATCGTACCCAAACATGCGCCCGATGCGCTCTTCAACTTTCCATGGCCGTCGGGGGGATCTAGCGAGGGAGAGGGAGAGCTCGTCACCGCTGGCGATTTTTCGACCATTTTCGATTTATTTTCGATTTCTCTCGACGCGCGTCGCGTTTTTTCGGCGCCTGGACAAGCTTTGTGACCGTAGCTGTAGTCGAATGCAGGTGGGTGCCCAATGGACGAGAGTGCGGCCATCGTGACACGCTCGACAACTTCACCGAGCTCCACGTCATGGACGCCTCCGGCCACAAGCACGACCTCGACCGCACCGTGCGCGTGGAGTTCTTCAAGGGGGTCGAGAGGATGGTGATGCTCTGCCGGTGGGCCGGGTGCGAGCTGAACGAAAAGGACAGGTTCATCGACAAGGACAACTTCCTGCGCCACGTCAAGGACACGCGCCCGCAGGACGGAGCTACCTCGAGTCCTACTTCTGCAAGTATCTACAGGAAGCGTCACGGTCCCACGCTGCGCTGCCCTCGCCTCCCGTACTACCTTCTCGCTAACGCAGGCTCGCCGGCTTCTTTATGTCCCACGTCTTCCTCATCATGTTTCCGACTGGGTATTTCTTTCTTCTTTTGTTTGCTCATCAGCAAAATCCCATCGGGCGTGCGCGCGCGCGCGTGCGCATGTAAGCGCGCACAATCCAGACAATCCAGCCATTCTGTGGCGCAAGATCCCTGCACAACTCACGGATTACAATCCGCCCCAATTCTGCACAAGCGGCGCCAATCCCACGCAATGCTACGCCGCGCGCGCGCAGTCTGAGCATGGGATTGTTTAGATGGCGGGCACTTGGCCCGATTGCGTGCCCTCGTACGTCAGCCAAGGGATTCCAGAAGCACGATGTCCTTGGTAAGGCTCCATGCACTTGGGCGGAGTGCACGCTCATGCAAGGATGTTGGTAGCTGGCAGGGCTGCGGAAGGATTGACCGGATGGCGAGCAGATGGGGCAGATTATTGCAGAAGGGGCGGGATAGGGTGGACTGCCGTTGATCAGCAGAAAGTTGCGGTCACACTCGGAGTTCAGTAGAAGCCAGATGGGAAAATATTGAATACTGGCTTGCATACATTCACTATAAAATTACGACTACTATGATGTTGCACGAGCACGGCGCTGAGCCTGGCGCCGGGCCTGTCGGGATTCAAAAATTTGATGACGCTGGTTCGGGCCGTCGTCATTGTCACCAACTAGTTCAAGGTTCATGCCCTGAGATAGTTGGCCAAACGGAGTCCCGAAGACCCAGCTGTGAGCACGTCAGCAAGAGTATGTGACATAAGGAAATAGGGTGCATACTGATTCCACCACACCATCAAGTTAACGTCGTCATCGTCTAGCTTCTGAGTGACACAGGCCTCCGTGTTGTCGTCAAAATCCTTCTGCTCAGCTTCAAGAAAGCGGAGTATGTCGCAAAAGAACTGGTGCCCAGAGTTCGCCGCATCGTCACCTCGAAACTTGTCCTGGGCGCGGATTACAAAGCGCACCTGAAAGCGATGTCAGCGACGAGATTGAGATGATGGGAAAGTGACTGACCAGTGTCGCCAGATAAGCAAGCACCCGGGGCTCGACTCGAGTCATCCGGTAGATTCGAGAAAGTGAGCTCCCCTTTGTCTGCTCGCCCGGGGGGTGAAGAGCTGTTGAGCGTCCGGTGTAGACCAGTCGGAAAAGCTAAAATCATGTAAATCTCAGGCGATTTATGAAAGATAGGTAAGGGAACACTTACCTTGACGAGGAATGTGCTTTGTAGTAAGCCTTGATCTGCACAATCCGGGTCGTAGACAAGATAGTCAGGGAAGAGATACCCCGCATCAGTAACTTCCAAATCCCCTGAATCCCTGAATCCCCTGATTTCAGGGATTTCAGGGATCCAGGAGAACGGGGACCATGCAGGGCATACAGGGCGACTCAGGGATCCAGGGCGCCCGGCGTGCGCAGGGACTCAGGCAGCCGAGTGCGAGAATCGAGCTCATTGCAGCAGTATGTATGTACATAAAAATGCTCGTGGTTGACCTACTCCGCACGCGCATCGCAGAACGACTGTCAAACGCATGCAGTGCGGTGGGCATGCACATCGCAGTTCCTGGGCCAACGAGTCTGGCCGCAGATGGGGTGAGGCGCGCAGTACCACGGCAGAGCGTGCTGCAAGGCCTGCGGACGTGTGCAAGGATATCAACGCACCCTAATGGCCGAGCGACGCTGGCCATAGAGGGAAATGGGTGATGCAGTCCGAACAGCTGATGGCGCAATGCTGGCGGGCAACTTGCTCTGTACCGCCGACTTCCGCAACTACGCCCAATACTAGACGCCCTCCCGTGTCGCAGAGACCTTCCACACCTCGGCTGGGTCCGTCAACACTGTCCGCGCATGGCTTGAGGAAGATGCTGCGATATCGCCTCAATTCATCGCGCCGAGCACGAGCAGCGGGTGGCTCACCGCGAACATGACCGTCGTGGAGGCTGCTCAGCACGGACTGCTACGAGTACGAGCATGCGCGCAACAGGCGGATGCAGCTCGCGTTACGGCGCGACAGGCGGATGCCACTCGGTGGCAGTGCTGTAGCCCGTCGGTAACGCCCATACGAGGTGCCCGCGTTGCCGTCGGTAACGGCCATACGAGCTCGTACGAGCTTCGGTAGTGTAGCCGTCCGTAACGGTCGTACGAGGTATTTTGGAGGATACCTTTGGTTCCTGCATAGGGCCTTTGCACGGCTTCCCTACATGTAAAGAAGTAGTAATTCGTACCACAAACAATGCGAATAGCACTGTGCTACCCTACACCGGCATTACCGAGGCCATCCTTCCTCAGACTCAAGATCCTGGCCCATACTCGGGGCCCTCAGGCCGGCACGCAATTCATCTCCATCAACGCATGTAATACATTGCCGCAGACCTCCGCGGCACTTAACAGCTGCTTGTGTCACCATATGTGCGGTGTTTGTCCCGCAACGGTAGAAACAACCTCGGTAGTCGTACAAGCCTGTATCCCGTCTGGGACGGTCGTACGAGCTCCCTCAGGCGACACACACCAGAATTGTTGTAATGCATTTAGTACGTAGCCACGGCCGTCCTGATCACATACCGACTTGTATTGCGGCCGTGCGCGCCGTGGTTACCCCGCGGCGATGCGCACACTGCCGGAGCTCGTACGAGCACGTACCCCGTCCGAGACGGTCGTACGAGCTACCTCAGCCGGCACGCACCGGAATTGCGGTAATGCATGTAGTACGTAGCCACAGACGTTCTGAGCACATACCGACTTGTTTTACGGCCATACGTGCAGTGGTTACCCCGCGGCGATGCAAACACTGCCGGAGCTCGTACAAGCTCGTATGGGAATGCAATTACATAAGTAAATCAACACCGAAGAGTGACGACGGAGCCGATTGTCGGCATTCAGAAGGCGGAGCTAATACCGAACCTTCAATACCGAGCGCCAATACGGCCCTTATCAACGAACAAGGGGTCCCACTGCTACATCACCAATCCCCCCACTACCATGTGTTTCCTGAAGATCAAAACCGGTGTATACTACGTGGAAATTGTGTCCCGCGTAGTAGAGGTCACTGTTGCTTTCCTCACCAAGATGATCACCGCTGACCACTTGAAACACAGATATCCGACATTGCCCCAAGAATATACTTGGAGTGCCCGGTGAATGGCTGTGGATCGGTAGAGGTCGACTTAGACCCATATGATGTGGTATATAATGCTGACACCCCAAAGCTGTATGTGCACTGATAATATTCGTCTAGTCATTGGTCTTTCCACGGCCGAAGTTTGGTCAAATGGTTCGGATCCGCGGATTCGTCGAACAGAACAACATGTTTGAGTGCGAAGAGCTCATAACGGCACAAGAGGCGACGTGCACCGACGGTATGATGTGATCGGCTTAATATTTGTGTTCGCTGACTAGGCCTGATAGAAACCACACCTCGTATGGCCTTGTCCCGGACCAGACCTTGGAAGCTGGAGAAGAAGTAAGTCAGATTACGGGATAGGAATGTACATCGTAAACCTTTGTATCGGTAGGTGTAAATGGACACATTGTCCTCCGTGTGCCTCGTTACCGGAATGCCGAGAATGCCGATAACAAACAAAGCGCTGAGGAGCGGAAATGCCGGCACAGAGTTCATTGCCGGATACATGCAATCACTACCGAGGCAGATGTGTCTATACAGCCAAATACAGGGTATAATCTACTGAAGAGGTTTAGGATGCGCGAGACGGACGGTGCGGAACATATCTGCGCTCTGCTTCTCCTTTCTCTCCCACATGCGAGCTTGTCCGTTCGCGTAACACTTATGGCAGGGTGACTCCGCCATGAACACGGCCCGGCGGAACCAGTTCTCCTTGAGGCGCGCAAAATCCAGCACCACGCAAAGCATCTCCAGGTCAAGCGCATTCAGGTTCTCCCACCAACGGTCCTTTCGCTCGTAGCCACGCTGCCACATTGTTCGTCAGGCTACAAGATGTCAGGCGTGTTAATGACCAGTGGGCGGAGCCACGTACTTTCATCATTGTACAAGGTGGAGCCCTCTTCCGATGTTCCGGTAAACGTCCAGATCCATGAAGGGTGCTTGTTCCGAGCACCCCTGGTGGTTGCTTCCAGGATCGTGGTGTTGACAGTGAGATCGGACTTCATGATGGGCTTGTAAATGACCAGATCATCCGATTTTTTCTTGACATCTTCAGGGTCGTTCGGGTCGTACAGGGCAGCGAGGGCGGTGCGAGAAAGCATGTAGAGCCGGACATACTTCGCTACCGAGTGGTCGACCGTCCGGATCTCGCTAAAGGAGCGGAGAGATTTGCGGACGGAAGTGGCGTTGCGAACTCGAGCGTAGTAAAGGTAGGACTTGGTGTCAATCCCGTCACGAACACCGGATAGACATTCGTTCATCTCTCCCTTCCGAAGTTCTCGCTCCGCAAGGACGACGTCTATCAGACCGTGATCCTTGCAATACTGAATACCGAGTGAGGACGGCATGAGAATGGGAAGTTGCTCTGGACTGCCGGAGTCAGTTGCCTGCGGCGTGTTCGCTGTTGCGTCAGTCCCGTAGTCTTTGAGGGAATCCCATTCCTCGCCGAGATCCACGGGGCCAACGACCAGCCGGGGAGGAGCGTTACTGAGATACTTTGTCGCGTCGGTATTGAACGATCGAATGTCCGATGACAACCGTTGCCTCTTCTCCGAAATCGTCAGTTTCGCCTTGTCGGTAGAGCTCTGCCGCAAGTCCCGAACGAGTCGCGCAATGACCACCCTGAACATGATAAATCAGCATGCATTCTGCCAAACGCATTATTGCACATGTGCCCCAGTATCCACTTCACGGTCGAGCGCCTGTGGTGATTACCGACACGCGAGATGCGGACCCTCGGCATTGGCAATACCGATCATTGAATACCGAGACCTTGACCGATATATTCAGGTGGTGCGGAACTGGCTCACCTCTGGCGGTCTATACTGATTCCCAATGAGAGCCATGCAAGTAAGTCCGCTGAGATCGGATTCTCGAGTGATACCGTGTGCGTGGTGTCGCCGTTCAAGAGAGCCGTCCTGACTTGCGTCTTGTTTGCCGCTGTAGTCTAATGAATATAAGTGTGCAGTTATTAAGATCAGACTCACGTTTGATCTTTTTCGGTGTAAAAATGTCCATGGCGGAGGCATCGGTTTTGCGTGCCTCTCGCGCATCGAGAATCTCCTGTTTCCATTCGGCGCGCTCTTCCTCATTAGCAACACCGTCAATTTCTTGAAAGGCCTCCTTTGCTGCAGTGTACTCTTCCACT